GCTTCTGGTTCCACCTAGTAATTTCCTTAGGGTTTCTGTTCCCTCCAAGGAAACCCTTGATCCTGCTGCATAATGGAACACTATTTTCAACACTCCCACTTTTTCCATTATTCAGTTCATTCCCATCATTGATCTCAGCTTTCCAAATTGCTCTCTTGCAATTCCTTTGGTCAAAAGGTCTGCAACCATATCCTTGGTTCCACATCCAATAATGTTGATAATGCCATCAGTGATTGCTTGTCTGGTGAAGTGATAGCTGACATCAACATGCTTTGTTCTCTTATGGAACTGTGGATTCTTTGCCAATTTGATTGCTCCCTGATTGTCTTCTGCGATTTGAATCGGCCGGTGTGAATTCTGGCTCATGAATTCATAAAGTCTCTTCAGCCAAACAGCTTCCTGAGCTGCTAGCTTCAGTGCCATATATTCTGCCTCTGTGGTTGACAAGGCAACTGATTTCTGGCGCTTGGATTTCCAACTCACTGCTCCACCTCCAAGGACAAAGACATATCCTGAGGTTGATTTCCGCTCATCAATATCCATTGCATAATTTGCATCTGAGTAGCCGGTAAGTAAGTTGCCATGGTGTTTGCTGAAGGTGATTCCTATGGATGCCGTTCCTTTGATATATCGCAAAATTCGCTTGACTGCTGTCCAGTGCTGCTTTCCATAATTGGAGTTGAATCTGGAGACTTCTCCCACTGCATTTGCAATGTCTGGTCTCGTCCCAATAGCCAAATAATTCAGGCTTCCAACAGCACTCTGATAGGGAATTTTCTCCATTTCCTTTTCCTCAGTCTTGGTCTTTGGACTCATTTTCTGAGAGAGTGTAACACTCAAATCCACAGGCGTTGTGACAGGGTTGCTGTCTTGCATATTGAAGGTTTTCAAGACTTCCTCAGCATATTTCTTTTGACAAATTGTGAGAGTGCCTTTGGCTCTGTCTCTGGTAATTTCAATCCCCAAGAAATAGCTTGTCTCACCCATATCAGTCATCTGGAACCTTTTGCGCATGTTCTCTTTGAACTTATTGATAGAGTCCAAATCCTTGCCAGTAATTATCAGATCATCAACATATACAGCAAGCAATAGGTTTGATTTTTTGCTTCTGTAAATGCCATAGTCATCGCTTGACTGAGAGAAACCGATCTGTAGCAAGTAATCATGCAGCAGCTCATTCCAGCATCGTGGTGCCTGCTTCAAACCATAAAGACTCCGCTGTAATCTCCATACTTTCTTGCTGTTCTGAAAATATCCTGGAGGAGGCTGCAAATAAATTTCCTCTTCCAATTTTCCATAGAGAAAAGCAGTCTTTATGTCCATCTGATGAATATGGTAGTCATTGATAGCAGCATGAGCCAAAAGGATCCTGATTGATTCAAATCTGACCACTGGTGCAAAGGTCTCATCAAAATCAATTCCATATTCTTGAGTGAATCCTCTGGCAACAATCCGAGCCTTGTATTTTGTGAGCTGGCCATCCTTGCCATATTTCTTCTTGAAAACCCATTTGGAAGTAATTGCTTTTCTCCCACTAGGTAGCTCACTCCATCTCCACACTTGATTTTCTTGTAGAGAATTCAGCTCGTCCTCGCAAGCCTTGCTCCAGTGTAACCATTCTGGGCTTGCCTTTGCCTGCTGAATTGTCACTGGCTCTGCCGTATCTTTTGTCCTGACTGCCCATGCTTGAAGACTGAGTGGATCCTCAGACTCACTTCTGTCGCTCCTGTCGAGAATCATTCGATCGCTGTTGATCCTGTTGCCGTCGAGCCTTCGTTTCTTTGAATTTTCTCTGATGAATCGAGCATCATCGCCGTCTGACTCTTCTTTGTCGAGATCCATCTCATCGTCTTCCTCATTGTTGTCCTCATAATCGTAGTCATTGAAATCGAATATTTTGAGAGTGCCCTGGGAGTTTCTTTCATCCTTGCAATTCGCTGTCTGATTCGTTCCTCAATGGCGTCCACATCACGGATTTGCCGTCTTCTCGGCCCTTGGTCCTCATTGCGAGTAACGACTCGCATCTCTCCTTGATTTTCCTCCAAGTCGTGATCAATTTCCATGTCTTCAGACTCCTGAGCCTCGACCGACTCATCCTGAACATCCTCAGCTGGTTCATCATTTTCTCTTCTCCCACTTGATCTATTATCTTCTGATGATAGAGCACTGGATGGATGATGAACTCGAGGCCAAAAACCAATACTGGCTCCAAGTTGTTCAACTGTAACTTCTGAAGATCTTTCCAACCCGCTATCCAAGCGTGCAGGCTTGTACCAATCAAGCCCTAATGTTGTCTCATCGAAGACAACATCTCTGGCAAAAGTTACCCCTCGTGATGGGATATAAATCCTGTATGCCTTTTTGTTTGCAGCATAGCCAACCATCACTCCTCGGATTCCTTTTGGGGAAAACTTGCCACCAGCCTGAGTTTTCGATTTGTGAATCCATGCCGTACTTCCAAAGACCCGGAAGTAGGAAACATCAGGCTTCCTGCCAAACCAGAGCTCATAGGGTGTTGTGTTGGGCGCTATAGCTCTGCTAGTGATCCGATTTGCGACATGAACCGCGCATTTGATCGCTTCTGGCCAAAACTTTTCCGGCATTTTTGCCTCGATCAACATGCTCAATGCTTTCTCAATTAAAGTCCGATTCATTCGCTCAGCGACGCCGTTCTGTTGAGGAGTCTCTGCAACAGTAGTCTGGTGCTCAATTCCTTGTTCATCCAGGAATTTCTCCAGATCTTTCGAGGTGTATTCGCCGCCATTGTCTGACCTAAGGGTCACCATTGTCTGTCCTAGTTTGTTGCTAGACTGACGAATATACGTCCTGATAGCCTCTGCCGCGTCCGACTTATTTTCCAAGAAGTAGACATTCACATAATGTGAGTAGTCATCGATCATTGTCATGAAATACTTCTCACCAGTCAAGGAATTGTAGACTGGTCCACAAACATCGGTATGAACGAGTTCCAGTGGACGCGTCGTCTTGGTAGTGCTTTCCTTGTATGGTAGTCGATGAGATTTCGCAGCAGCGCAAGTATTGCACTTGCAACTTGAGATGTGAGTGTCAAGACCTTTGACAGTGCTGTGTCTTTGCATCTGCTCCAGGATCTGATCAGAGACATGTCCGAGTCTCTGATGCCATATAGAACTGACTGCATTGATTTTGTTGATATCAATTTCAGCAAACTGTCCATCAAACCGGCACAGCTCTTCGAACTTTGAGCGTGTTCCGATCTTGATCTTCTGTCCTTCCGAGGTGCTCACAAAACACTTCAGCCCTGCATCAATTGTCCAAACATCTGAATCCTTGCTCAGCATGCTGGTAGATACAAGACCCATCTTCGCTTCAGGCACATGCAGTACATTCTTGAGAGGCACAGTGTATTCCTTTCCTCTGTCCTCGACTTTGGCAAAGGCATTTCCTTGTCCCACTGCTCTCATATACTGCCCATTAGCAACCTCTAATATTGCTTCCAGAGGTTGATAATCCTGGAGAACGGCTCTGTTGGATGTAATGTGCCTGGTGGCTCCCATGTCGATGAACCACCCACTATCCTCAAGCCTTCCAGACTGATTTCCTGCCACCAACCCTGCCCTTTCCACCCGCTGTTCAGCACCGAGGTTGCTGTTAACCACAGCTGCATGGATCTTGAACTTGTTGTCCTTGTTCTGATCCTTTCCTTTAGGGCAGTCTCTCTTGAAGTGGCCTTCCTTTCCACACTTATAACACTTCAGTTTCTTCTTCCCTGAGTCTTTCACTGCAAGCAAGCTACCTCTGCCTTGGTTTCCTTGAGGCTTCCTGGTCAGGGAGGTCCTGACTCCACTGAAGACATCCTGGACTGTGAGCGTATCCTTCTGCTGCTCAAGGACTGAGATAGTGCCCTCAAGTGCATCTGGGAAAGATCTGAGGAGAATGGAGGCATAGACATCTTGAAGTTTGACATCAAGCTGGTCCATCTGCTCAAGAACCCCCATAAACTCACGCTCATAGGACTCAAAGGCTTCAAGTGTTGCTTCCTCCAACTTGAGGAACAACAACTTGGCCACCAAAGAGGCTTTGACTCCTGCTGCATCACTCATGTATACACCCTGAAGATTTTTCCAAGCCTTCCTAGCATTACCGCATTTCAAGTGCCGATAATCCTTGACTTGTACCGCGCCCATCATCAATATAAGAGCCTGTCTGTTGATTGACTCAAAGTGGGGATCCTCCTCTTGTGACTTTATGTCAAGGTCACTCAAAGGTGTGCCCACAACTCCCCACAGGCCCTTCTGCTCCATCACCATCCTCAAGGCAAAAGCCCATTCAGAGTAGTTGAGAGCATTAAGGATTGGTAACTTCAAAGAGTCATTGCCAGGGCTCATAACCTGTTGCAAATTGTCTTTGCCAGTGGAAGTTCCAGACATATTGAAGTTGTCAGAGTTATCCATTGATGATGATATTCCTTAAGTGTGCTTTGATAGATAATATGATATGTTGTTGATTGAATGATATGTACAAAACAAGGGAGGGAGCTGGTCAATATATAGACAAAATAAGTTCATACAAAATTTATACAAAGTTCTTCAAGTATCATCTGATCAGTCATCTGACCAGTCATCTGATCAGTCATCTGATCTTTCCAGATCATTCCAGCTCCTTCCAGATCCTTCCAGCTCCTTCTAGCTGCTTCCAGTTCTTTCCAGTTCCTTCTGGTTCCTTCCGGTAGATTCCAGTTGCTTCCGGTCCCTTCTAGCTGTTTCCAGTTGCTTCTGGTTCCACCTAGTAATTTCCTTAGGGTTTCTGTTCCCTCCAAGGAAACCCTTGATCCTGCTGCATAATGGAACACTATTTTCAACACTCCCAGCCCCTTGCCCTCGCCCTCTCCGCCTCTGTCTCAGTCCCCTCCTCCTTCGTCCACTGATGAGATTGACTTCCTTACTCTCTCTCACCACGTTGGCCTTCCCGTTCATGACGCGCTGTCTGTTCAAGGAAGGGATGATGAGGCTGATGATGACATGACTGATAACGTGGCTGCGCCGAATGATGATCAGAATGTTGGACTGCCAGCTCTTAATGAAACGGCAACTGCTGAGGACGTCGAGATGGACGAGGATCCGCTATGGCTCGATGAGGATCTTTACCTTCATCAACTGGCTGAGCAAGCTCGCATTGAGGAAATGGACATGGATGATGGGTCAATTGTTCCTGAGATTGTCGTTGGGTCTGCAGACAATCATGTCGTCCCCTTGGGCAACGCTCCGCGCATTGGACGCTTCAAAGTGATCAAGCCAGTAGTTCATCGACCAGTCACTCGCTCACAGGACACTCAGGACATCGGGATTCACACTCGCTCGAAGACCAAGACAGTGAATAAGCCTAAGACTAGTGCTTTCATTGTCGCATCCTGCTTTATTGCAGCTGAGATGATGATGATGATGATGAATCTTTTTATTATAGTCTATTTGCAACAACTAGGTTATGACAGACTGTCTCCAACTTCTTCCACCAATATGTTTTTTTTTATCTCCATTTTTCTAATCCAACTTCAATTTTTCCATCTCCCTGATAGGATATCCAAGTATGCCTGCCTGAAGTGGACGACAAGCTATCCAGTAGGTGCTTCAGTTCAACCATTGCCAGAAAGGGAAGGCGTGTAGTAAAGTCCATAGTATAATCCATAAAATCCGGGGGATCTCATTTCTTTCACCGCTTTGTTGTAAACTTGGTGCTACTGCAGTGGGGGGTTCAGTATAAATTTTGCAACCAAGACCATTTTTTGCTGAAAATTATCAAGGTGAAAATTGGGGGGGTGTTCAATATTAGGCCAAAATCCAGGAAAAGCTCACAAGCGGGGCTCGAACCGTGGATCTTAAGGGAGCAATGCAGCGGCCATACCGCTGGGCCATATCACTGCAGCTGAGGCTACCTATGCTCGAGGCGTCTTACCTTCAACTTACAAACAAGTGTTGAAAAATGATGACAAGGACAAATGGCTTGCTGCTATTGATGAGGAGCTTAAGGCACATGAACTGAATGGGACATTTGAGGTGGTTGATCGCGTCCCTAACAAGCACGTTGTGGGATGTCGTTGGGTCTTTGCAAAGAAACCTGACCGCTTCAAAGCAAGATTGGTTGCACAAGGTTTCAGTCAAGAGTATGGTATCAACTACACTGAAACTTTTAGCCCAGTCATTCGCTATGACTCGCTTAAGGTGCTACTTGCTGTTGCTGCTGCAAGAAACCTTACTGTCCATCAGATGGATGATGATGATGATGATGATGAATCTTTTTATTATAGTCTATTTGCAACAACTAGGTTATGACAGACTGTCTCCAAATTCTTCCGCCAATGTTTTTATCTCCATTTTTCAAATCCAACTTCAATTTTTCCATCTCCCTGATAGGATATCCAAGTATGCCTGCCTGAAGTGGACGACAAGCTATCCAGTAGGTGCTTCAGTTCAACCATTGCCAGAAAGGGAAGGCGTGTAATAAAGTCCATAGTATAATCCATAAAATCCGGGGGATCTCATTTCTGTCACTGCTTTGTTGTAAACTTGGTGCTACTGCAGTGGGGGGTTCAATATAAATTTTGCAACCAAGACCATTTCATGCTGAAAATTATCAAGGTGAAAATTGGGGGTGTTCAATATTAGGCCAAAATCCAGGAAAAGCTCACAAGCGGGGCTCGAACCGTGGATCTTAAGGGAGCAATGCAGCGGCCATACCGCTGGGCCATATCACTGCTATGGCCGCTGCATTGCTCCCTCCATCAGATGGATGTTACCACTGCCTTCTTGAACGCTGAACTTGATGAAGAGATTTACATGAAGATCGCACCTGGCTCTGAAGACAAATACCCCGGCAAGGTCTATCGTCTAAAGAAATCAATCTATGGTCTCAAACAGTCTCCAATGCTCTGGCACAATGTCATTGATCATGTACTTGTCAAGGCTGGTTTCTCAAAGAATTCTGCAGAAGACTGCCTCTATTCTCGAGAAGGTCCTAATGGTGTTGTCTTGATTGGTCTATATGTTGATGATCTCCTTATTACGTCCAGTAGTAGGTCTGAAATCTCATCAGTGAAAAAGATTCTTACCACTGCCTTTGAGATGAAAGACTTGGGTGTTGCAGACAAATTCCTAGGGATGAGCATCACTCAAACAGATGCTCATGTCTCATTGGATCTCACAGACTATATCAACCGTGTTGTGTCTGAATTCGATGATGGAACACTTTACCCAGTTGACATTCCCATGACACCTACCTTCTTGGATGAACCAGATGTCTCTCCGTCTGTCGACGCTACCAAGTACAGATCCCTATCCCTGGTTGGCAAACTGCTCTTCGCACAGAGTACAGTCAGGCCTGATATCTCACATGCTGTCTCAGTACTTTCTCGCAATCTCATCTGGATTTGTTGCAACAATCAATGGTACTGCTGTCACTTGGATGTCAAGGAAACAACCAATTGTCGCCTTGAGCTCCACTGAGGCAGAATACATTGCCTTGAGTGATGATGATGATAAATCTCTGTTTTAAGTCCGTTGCAACAACTAGGTTATGACAGACTATCTCGCCCTCCTCAACTATATAATAAAACAAAATAGATCCTAAGATCGTGTCACAATAACAAATAATCAATAACAAATACATCTCCAAGTCAAAATAACACAAAGAAATTTGCAAAATTCACTATAACATATTTCAAATAAGAGATAAAATCCAAAATAAATTCAATAATAACCCTCCTAGCTATCAACTTCCTTAAGAGACCTCACTGCTACTCCTCCTCCTCATTACTGGCGATCCCCGCTCTCAAATCCACCAGAAAATTGATCCATAACTCATCCCTCTGGCTCTTAGTGAGAGACTTGTGCTGATGATACCAGTGACCAGTGCCAACATGGGTCTTCCGAATATATTTGATGAGTGCAGAAAGACCTCTGTTTGTCCGTAGAATGCGATCGAGCGTGCGTTCGGCTATAGGGATATCTTCAAAGGCGTTCTTCCGTTCCTCTGTGTGCTTGGAACAAGAAAGAAGCACATGCTCAACTGACTGCAGTGAGTCTCCACACCAACAGTCTGGAGAGGGACGAGGCTCCCTGCCATGTCTTGCAAAATAGCTGTTGAAGAAGCCATGTCCAGTCCGGAAGCTCACAATACAACTGGCAATGCTGCGGGAGATATTCACAAGCGGCTTGTCAATAGAGAGTCGAGGCTTGCCTTCATATTGATAATATTCTGATCGAGGCGCGGCTTGAAACCTGGCATTCCATTCTTCAAAAGCGAGGTCATCGACGAGCTTATAAAGAAAGCGCAAGGAACAGTCATGATTGACGCGGTCTGGCGACGAGGCTGCTTGAGTTGCTAAGGCCAGGGCGCGATTGCTGCCCTCCACTTTGGTAGCGGAGCGAAGCCAATAGATAGAGACTTTAGTGTTGATTTCAGACAGTCGATTGACGGCTCGATAGATCACAGTGGCTTGGCGTTGATTGGAGGCACGCCGAGGGTTCTCCAGGCGTTTCAAGACAGCAGTGACATCAGTGAAGAAATGGATGGCCTCGTTTGACAGTCGATGCTTTGTTGCCCAAGTTGTGGCCTTCGCTAAGGCGGTTATCGCCGCAGAATAAAGATCTGATTGAAGGCCCAAAAAGCCAAACTCATCATGCCTGAAGCGCCCCCCATATTCGACAGTGAAAGCCCAGCCAGCAGCATTGTTCTCAGCGTTGCATAATGAGCGAGTGTAGATATTCCAGCCCTCGCCAATGATTTCCAAATTTTTTTCTTCTGGTAATCTCTCAAGCCTGCTAGAGATGTTCGGAACACGCCAGGGTGGGTATTCCCTAACATTGAACGTCTCAGTCGTCGTTTGGGGTTGAACATCCAGCTGAATAGTCTTTAACAAGTAGTCTAGTCGACATTGAAGGCTCACTTGCGGTCCAGGCTGGAACCATCTCCCATGAGGCGCAGCAGGAGATGTACGAGACTCCTCCGGGTGGTTGGGAAGCGCGTCGCATCTTGGAACCAAAGGATGAGTACTTGGGAGTGTTGCCAGTCGAAGAGCGTACTTTCGCATTCGTCGTCGGAGTCTGATGGCCACCGGAGGGATCGCTGCCTCACATTCAAGCGCTGCAATTGGAGAGGACATAAACCCGCCCAAAATCATCCTGAGCGCGTCATTCTGTAGCTTTGTGAATCTTCCAGTTATTCCCACTTTCTCGGTCCAGTAGAGCTCTGTCCCGTAGTCTGCAAGAGAAGTGATGCAAGCGATATAGATCTGGCGGAAGGATGAGTGCGAGAGGCCGCCTGTCGATTTGCCAAGCCGTCGAAAAGACATGAGCGCGCGTGTTGCCTGCACCAGCCTTCGCTTAACATGTTGTTGAAATCCGATCTTGTCGTCAAAGAAAACACCTAGCCAGCGTACGACGCGCGCCGGCTTGAGTACTGTGCCGGAAGGAGTCTTCAAAGTGTCGGTTGGTCGTTTCCGAAAGCTGCTAAAATGAATAAGCTCGGACTTGCTGTCGTCAAAGGCCACGGCATTTTCTCTGCCCCATTCAACAGCCGTCGCGAGCGCGTTAGTCAATTCTTTAACATTTTTTGCGATCGACTTACTGGAATAAATCAGCGCAACGTCATCAACATAGCTAGGACAAAAGACCAGCTTGTGCTTCGCATTCAACCTCGAAAAAAGAGGGCGCAAATAGAGAAGGAACAAGAGCGGAGACAGCGGTGATCCCTGAGGAATACCGGTCGACACAGCTTGCATCTCTCCCACTTTGCGATCAAAAGCAAAGGAGATACTTCTCCCAGTCAAAAATTGAGCCACCCATGACATCACTTGAGCTGCAAATCCCATCTCTCTAAGCGTCTGAAGAAGCCGCTCGCGAGACACGTGATCGAAAGCTCCCTTGACATCAATAAAAAGTGCTGTAGTCTGTTCCCCTCTCAACTTTGCAAGCTGACGCTCGTGCAGCAGAAGCATCGCTGCATCCACCGCTGATCGCTGAGCTCGACCTCCCATCTGATATTGATCCAGGAGACTGTTCTCTTCTGCAATGAATGCCATCCGAGTTGCCATGATTTTCTCTGAGATTTTGCCGAGGCAATTCAGCAAAGAAATAGGCCGGTACGCTTTCGCAACAGAGTAGTCTGGTTTGTGCGGTTTTGGAATCAGTACACAGATCGCCTCGCGCCAGGCACGAGGGTGATGGCCAGAGTCCAGCAGCGTTCGAAAGACATGAAAAAACAAGTCAGGGATCGATTGATAGGCCTTCTTCAAGACAGCAAAGGTAAGACCATCAGGACCCGGCGCCTTTTTGGGGTTCGAGTCCATGATTGCATCTCTAAGTTCGCTTTCTTGCAGTGGTTCCCATCGATGCTGATCTGTTGCAAATTGTCTTTGCCAGTGGAAGTTCCAGACATATTGAAGTTGTCAGAGTTATCCATTGATGATGATATTCCTTAAGTGTGCTTTGATAGATAATATGATATGTTGTTGATTGAATGATATATACAAAACAAGGGAGGGAGCTGGTCAATATATAGACAAAATAAGTTCATACAAAATTTATACAAAGTTCTTCAAGTATCATCTGATCAGTCATCTGACCAGTCATCTGATCAGTCATCTGATCTTTCCAGATCATTCCAGCTCCTTCCAGATCCTTCCAGCTCCTTCTAGCTGCTTCCAGTTCTTTCCAGTTCCTTCTGGTTCCTTCCGGTAGATTCCAGTTGCTTCCGGTCCCTTCTAGCTGTTTCCAGTTGCTTCTGGTTCCACCTAGTAATTTCCTTAGGGTTTCTGTTCCCTCCAAGGAAACCCTTGATCCTGCTGCATAATGGAACACTATTTTCAACACCTTGTTGAAGCCCTCAATTTCCTCCTGAAGAAACTTGAGTCCATCGTCATTGTCGGGGTAATCCAACAAGCTAACGCCATGAATAACCGCCTTTGGCCAGCTCTCCTGGATCTCCACGCTCTCGACTTTGAGCCCCTCCGCTTCGGCTTCCTGCTTGAAGATCTCCCTGTAGGCAAGGAACATATCAGTTTCCGTAGTCAAGTTCGGATGGAGAAGAAGATTCTGTCGCTGGCTGAGAGTCACGTTGGCTAGGCGGATCTCATCAGGCGCTTTCGCATCCTTCAATGCACTATTGACTCGTGTGCGGAAGGAGCGAGCATCGATGCTGCCGGCAGGTGCAGCCAGGGTCAAAATCAAAGGAGAAGGAGTGACTCTCTTTGATGTCTGTGCAGCTGGCGTTGCTGCATTAGACTTGGCCCTGTTTCGACGCGCCTTGGACGAGCTGACAGTGTTCCATTCTTCTCCACTGGAAGGGCGAGCGTTCGCAGCTCCAGTTGCTGCAGTAGACGTATAAGTTGCTCCCGTCTTAGCAACGTTAGCAGCAGCTTTGGAGGCATATGAAACTGGCTTGCGAGCAATGGATTGAGAGGCAACATTGCTGGCTCGCGCGCTTGACTGGGTCCCTGATTTAGCTCCTGCTTTGGGGGCGGAAATCCTTGCATTGGCGTCAGTATTGGGGCTCACTGAAGAGGCCTGTCTCTCCTCTTCCTGGCTATCCATGGTGTGCTTCTCGTTAGAGTCGTTAAGGGCTTTCAAAAGGTTAATCACTCCGGTGATGTCGAGTCCATATACTTTCAAGAGCTGTCCAATAATCGAAATAACATTAGACAATTGGTTAGGCAGCTGCAGCGGTTGCGTCCCATTAGTAATTGCTTTAAGGAGCGTCTCCAACTTCTCAGACTGAGCATCTTTTTCAGAGGTGCTCTTGGGGGGTGAAAATGTCTCAACCTCTCCCTTAAGCCGAGTATTCTCAGCCTGAAGTCTTTCAATGGTACGCTCCATATTGGCAAGGCGGTCCTCAATGGAAGGAGATTCAGTAAACAAAGGCTCTGCGTCTTGGCCAGCCTGCTCAGAGGCGCGGTCAGGTGTCGGTTGGGGTGTTGATGTCGGATCATCTGGAGAAGCGGAAACATTTTCACCTTCTTCAGACATCGCATCTTCGTCAGATTCGATGGCAATTAGGTCGTTCGAGATGGTTTCGTAGTCCTTGGCGTTCGTAGATTCAGTAGATCCCGCTTCCGCGCTTTCATGGATTCGATGGGGCGGCGTAGAAGCCAGTCCATCCGGTGGCAAATCCGATGATTGGCGGTGCGCGTTGTATTCGTTTTCAGCGAATAGAGCCTCTTCCGGGTCCCCATTTTCGAGGAGAGGGGGCAATCCAGTCTCCTGCATCGCTTGAGGACCAGGACGAGGCGGCGTAGGCGATTGTTCCGACGGTTTCTGGCGTTTGAGGCCAATAATTGGAGTCGGAGTTGAGGGCAAAAAACTCAACATTTCTCTGGTTGGAGCCACCACCAGGTCAGTACACTCTGACTGGGGCTGCTCCGAGTAGGCTTCAGGCGGCCCGTCCCAGGACGAGCTTTCCTCTGCCATATTACTTGTTTGATTGTTGTTGCGAGTTGTGGATCGCCAGTATTGAGGATACTGATGCGCTTTCACAATTGTCTTGTTGTAGCAAAAGCGGAGGCGCTTCATTTCCTTGTGCTTCACCACATTTTTCGGGTCTCGCATAGAGAAAAGTGTTGAAAGTATAGGTAGGGTTTACAGACGCCCTACAGACGCCCTAAGGAAACCCTACATGCCCGGCTGATGTATAATTGATGATGATAATAAATCGATTTTGAGATCTGTGTGCGCCGACTAGGCTATGACAAACTCTTCCCCCCTTTTCCACTGAATAATATACCTAACAGAACAAATATAACAGAATAGGTCCCAAGATCGTGTCTCAATAACAAGAGCAGTGATGTGGCTCTGTGGTATAGCTGCTGCATAGCATGCTCCCTTTGAACAACTATGGTGCCGCTTTGGCATATAACCTGGATTTTGGCCTGATATCAAACACCAGCAATTTTACCTAGATAGTTTTCAGCCAAAGTGGTCTTGGTCACAAAATGTGTACTGAACCCCTCACTGCTGTAGCACCAAGTATATGACAAAGGGATCAAAAAAATCCCCTGGGTCATATGGACTATGTTGAAGTTGTGATGACTGCGGTAGTAAAACTGGAATGTCTGTGGTGACTTTACTCTTGACGTTATTGCATAATTTGTGGTGAGAGATAAAGGATATTGAGTTTGAATTGAGCCAAGCGTTTAGCCATATCCTCAAGCGGTGTGCAACTCAATTCAAAATAGTCACTGTACTGAGGTGTAATTGGAGATGGAAAACTAGGGTGGTGAGGTCTTGGGGAAATTTGTACATAAAAAGGGCCCCCCTACTTCTTAGCTCATTGTCAGAAAACCAAACTACAATCAAAGCTAATTCTGAACTGAACAACTGTTCTATAATATTTGATTCTTATCCTATCATCATGAGCACTCCACTGGTATCTCAGAAAACTATCAATGCTTTTCAACAAGAGACTGTGAAATTGCAACAGATTATTTTATTGACTTTCCTACAACAGCCTCCCTTTGTGGGAATCATTGAATAAAAGCTCCTACTGGATAGCCTGATGAGGATGATGATGATGATGATGATAAATCTCTGTTTTGAGTCCATTGCAACAACTAGACTATGGCAGACTATCTCCCCCTTCTCCATTATATAATAAACAAAATTGATCCTAGCATTGTTCCACAATAATAAATAAATTAGTACCAAACAGATCTCCAAGTGAAAAATAACACATAAAAATTTCGTAACATTCACTACAATATATTTCAAATAAGAGATAAAAAATCCAAAACAATTCAATTATAACCATCCTAGCAACCAACTCCCTTAAGAGACCTCACTGCTATCTGTTCATCTCGAAATTTGCAAGGCCTGCGCTCAAATCTACCAAAAACTTGACCCATAACTCATCCCTCTGGCTATGAGTGTGAGAGGTCAGCTGATGGGACCAGTGACTAGTGCCAATGTGGGTCTTCTGAAAATATCTGGCAAGTGCAGAAAGAACTTTTTCTGTTCATAGAATGCGGTATAGCGTGGGTTTGGCTGTGGGAATACCTTCAAAGGCATTTCGTTCATCTCTGTGCTTGTAAAAAAACAGAAGCACATGCAGAACTGACAGTGGTGGGTATTAATTCAACTTTTTGTGGTTGCGTAATTACTCTTCTTGTAGAAATATTTGAATTAAAGTGCTCCGTCCCAAAGGGTGCGCTGGATGAGCAGTGGTATGGCCCAGCGGTATAGCCACTGCATTGCTCCCTTTAGAATAAGGGTTCGAGCTCTGCTTGGGAGCTTTTCCTGGATTTCGGCATATCAATAAACACCTGCAATTTCCACCTTGATGATTTTCCGCAAAAATGGTTTTGGTTGCAAAATCTGTATCGAACGGGCCTCCACTGCAGTAGAACCAAGTTTACAATATATTGGTGGAAAACATGAGATCTCCAGGATTTAATGGGTTATACTATAGACTTTATAACAATGCCTTCCCATGGTAGGAATGATCAAGTAAAAGCTCCAACTGGATAGCCTTTCCTCTACTTCAGGCAGGCATATTTGGATATCTTAGCAAGGCAATGGAAATCTGAAGCTGGATTAGAAATGGAGACAAAAAAATGGTGGGATACATTGGAGACAGTCTGTCAAAACCTAGCTGTTGCATATAGACTATAGTAGTAAAATGATTTATAATCATCATCATCATCATCATCATCATCATCCAGAGGTGCACCAGTACAAGGGTCTCGACATTTACGGAATCATATCATAATGATCATCATCAGCAAAGAACTGTTCTGATTGCAGAATAAATGATGTGTAGTAGCACCAAGTATACGACAAAGTTGAGAAAGAATTTATGGATTATACTATGGGCTTTACTGCTACAATACCTTCCCTTTGTGAATATGAGTGGTAAAGGCTCTCGCTGGATGGCCTGTCCTCCACTTCAAGCAGGCATGCTTGAACATCTTGATATTGAGGAGATAGAAAGCTGAAGTCTGATGAGAGGAGGGAGAAATCAGCTGGAGGGCTAAGTCAGAGACTCCTGTCAGAACCTAGTTGTTGCATGTAGAGGTGTGATTGAAGAATCTAGCACCATCATCATCATCATCTGTCATCTGTCATCTAGGGCATTTTGAGGAAGAACTGAAGAATTATTGAAGACACTTTGGACCATCATTTACATGGCCTGGCTCCTCTGATTTTCCCAAATGTTTACAGAGAAAGAGAAGATAATATTACTTGATTTCTTTTGAAAAGAAGAAAAGGAAAAAAACAGAACTGTAGGAGAGTTATAGAGCTAAATATAATATATATATATAGAGAGAAAGGGGGTGAGATATTGTACAAACCGCAATAGCATATTAGAAATGAGTTATCAGAGGGCAATAATTTTGATGCTCAGATAGCCCTATTATTTCACTATACAGAATTCATGAGATTTTTTGCTGTGAAAAAGGATTAATATATTATTGCAGTACAGGAAATAAATCCAACAGTTTAAGATAGTTCTCGCTGGCAGTCCTGTCATAGATCACCATCTCAACACCTCAGCAGACTTTGAACTTGTAAGCAAGTCAAATGGTTAGGTGACAACTACCTACATTAGAGCTGTATGCTTTGATGAAATGACTGAAATAGTTGTATCCAAGGTCCACCCAATGATCACTGATCTCTATATCTTCCGAGACATAAAGGGCTTTTTTCTTTTTTTATCAGATTAATATTTAGGAAAATACAACAAAGCAACAAAAATATCACTGCTCTGCTAAATATCTGGAAGGCCCAGGTTAACAGTCCTGTATAGAGTTTGTCTTATGCATACTGAGGAGCTTGATGCTGAGACTATATATGAGGTGTTTGTACTAAAGCAATACGAGCCTGAATCAAAGAGCATGCATGCTGTATTCCTGATTGAAGTTGAAGTAAACAGATCTCTTAACAAGCTTCATAAGCAAGTATAGATCAGACAATAGATGTAGCAATATCTAATCAAATCTGGTAGTGGTGAATCGTCGATCGCTCGATGGGAGACTGTGTCAGTGTCAGTGCTGACAATCTGGATCATGGAAAGGCGAATATGTTTTTAACCCGCCAGGGCTCCTCCTCTACTTTTCCTCCTTCCTTGCACAATCTCAGTACTCCTCAATTATACCTTTTCCCCGATCTAAAATGCCCTCCCCTGAAGACTACGGTTTCTTTTCGGTTCCTCGTAAGGTCGAGGAGCTATTCAAGAACGGAAATGAGTACATTTACAAGCCTTCTGCTGTTGATGTCTCCAAAACTGTCACTTTCCCTGACACTCCGATCGTCAACGCCGCCCGCGAATTTGTCAAATCTAAGCTGCCAGTGCAGACATTCAATCACTCGCACCGAGTTTTCTATTACGGTAAGATTCCGCTGTTTTGATTGTTATTAGCAGTTCTTGATATAGCGATACCAATCTCTCTTGCTAGGCGCTGTGATCATTGCTCAGCAATTCCCGGAGTATGCTTCCAACGCAACTCTTCTTGAAACCTACGCTCTTACCTGTCTTTTTCATGATGTTGCTACGGCCGACGAGTTTCTTTACGGTACGCGCATGAGCTTTGATTTTTACGGAGCATTCATTGCGCGCGAGTTTCTTTTGAAACACGAGGCTGTTCAGGACTCGGCGGATGCCGTCGCAGAGGCCATTCTCAGACACCAGGATGTGGAGGTCAACGGAACGATTACATTTCTCGGACTTATCATTCAGCTCACTACGCTGATGGGTATGTTTTTTTATACGCTGGGGTGAATTTCGTGTCCACCGGAATATACTAATCTTTTTGTAAAAGATAACTCTGGAAACTTCCTCCCTCTCATGGCTCCCGAGACGATCGACTCAGTTATCGCGCTGTACCCCAGACTCGGATGGTCAGGATGCTTTTCTACTTTTGTGGCCAAAGAAATTGAGATTAAGCCGTGGTGCCACTCGACTGCTGTCACGGACTTTGTCAAGACAGTCAAGGAGAACCATTACTTCATCGACCGCTACGAGAAATGAGCGCATGACGCCTAGCGCTTCGGCATCGCCATCTTCCGCTGAATGAATCTAGGATCTTGTTGAAGTAAATTGAAACGTTGCTTATTGAATAGTATGAATATATTCTTTATTCTAAGCCGAATTACAATTATCTATTGCATCTATCAACGTTACTGATAACGCGGGTGAGCTAGAGCGCGACTGCTCCTATTCTATCAGCCACACCCTCTATGGCTTGACAAACAGTAAAATAGCAAGTGTAAGGTGCCTGATGGTGGTCACAAAACGTTGTTAGAATTGTCCGCAACAAGATCACGAGGAAGCGGCAGAACGAGCCCACTGACCGGGTGGAATCGAGACTGGCGATAAGGACAAATAAACTTCTAATTGCTGATTCGAAAATGAAATCCCTGGATATTTCGGTTTAGGGTTTGTAAAAAGCGTGATTATGTCAGTGCTTATATTGCCCGCCTTCAGTGAAGGGCATTAAAGAGAGAGAATCTTTTCACAATAGTTAGAAAACTACGCCGTACAACGATACACTGATACTGTTCGCTTTTCTTACTTGCTCCATTTGCTGCTACGTCTACTACTACACACTGGACATTCACAGTCTGGCAAGTTGTTGTGGTGTCTTGCAGTCTTAAAAACAGAGAATCTGGATTTGGGAGTTTCAAAACTCCCAAAATTTTTTTTTCTTTGAACAATCCTTCTGCTCAAAGCGTGTTATTACTCGAATCGCCTTTTTCCATCACCGCACAGGCCGAACGATCAACATGGCTACCGCATTACCTCCTCCCTCGAAACGGACACGACGTGAAGCACAGCTGCCAAAGGAGACCAATGTGATCCCGGCAGATTTGCCGTTCGTGCAGGTGCAGTTTCGCGCAGCGGATACGGGGCACGTTACCGGCGGCATGACTCGCGTCCCTGGCAGTGCGACTACCAAGCAACTTGAACTTTTGCTGAATGGACTGTTGGATACTGTAAGTCTATGTTTTGGTACTTTGCTGGCGGGGCCGACAGAATGCTGATCCGAGGGCGCACTTTCTAGACCGACGATCCGACACCATATTCATTCTCGCTCGTCAACAGCACTGGAGCGCCAGTGTCGATCGACAGCGACATATACACCGACGTTTTACGACCTAAGCACCAAACAACGGAAGATGTGCTCACTATCGAATACGTTCCTCAGGCAGTCTTTCGAGTCAAGTCTGTGTCCAGATGTAGTGCGACGATGTCTGGCCACGGCGGTACTATCCTCGCGACCGCTTTCTCGCCAAAGGACGGTTCGCGCCTTGTGACTGGCAGCGGAGATGGCACTGCGCGTGTCTGGGACTCTGATACAGGAACTCCGGTTGCGGTACTGAAAGGACACGACAAGTGGGTTTTGTGCGTCGCCTGGAGTCCGGAGGCGGATGTTATTGCCACAGGTAGTATGGACTCTTCTGTTCGTCTGTGGGACGCAAAGACAGGCAAACAGCTCGGCAACGCGATGAAAGGACACTCAAAGTTTGTCACTTCACTCTCATTTGAGCCGATCCACCTGTTGGAGGGTGGAAAGGGTATCAGACTTGCGTCAGCCTCGAAGGACTGTACTGTGAGAGTCTGGGACGTTGCCTCACGGACCATCATACAAACTCTGAGTGGTCATACCGGATCTGTCACTGCAGTCAAGTGGGGAGGATTGGGCGTGATTTACTCGTGCTCACAGGACAAGACGGTCAAGGTTTGGGATGCTCGAGGCACTCAGATCAAGCTGATTAAGACGTTGAACGCACATGCTCACTGGGTCAACTTTGCGGCTTTGAGCACAGATTTCTTTCTCAAAACTGGAGGTTTTGATCCTTTCTCAAAGGATACGAGCAGTCGTGAAATTGAAAAAGATCGCGAGTTGATGCGAACGAATGCTAAAAGCCGATTCCTGAAAGCTAGCATAAAAAATGGCAACGTTATGGAGCGCGTCGTCACTGCGAGTGATGATCAGACTATGTACCTGTGGAACCTGTTCCCGAACGGAGTCGTCAGCGAAGATGCCTGCAACGCAAAGCCTGTTGCGAGATTAGTTGGGCACCAGAAGCCTATCAACCACGTTGCGTTTTCGGCCGACGGTCGTATTCTGGCATCCTGCTCGTTCGACAACAGTATCAAACTATGGGACGGTATGACCGGTACCTATCTTACTACGTTGCGAGGCCATGTCGCGGCCGTCTACATGTGCTCTTGGTCAGCTGATTCGAGACTACTTGCATCGTGCTCGAAGGATTGTACGGTCAAGGTATGGGATATCAAGCAAGGAAAGCTGTATATGGATCTTCCGGGTCACAAGGACGAGGTATATGCTGTAGAGTGGAGTTCAGATGGACGGGTTGTCGCGAGTGGCGGCAAGGATAAGCAGGTGAAGTTATGGAAGCATTGAGTTGGAAAAGAATACTGGTCTTCCTCTGTCCTCTGTATCGAGAGGATCAGAAAAGGATGCATTTTACTGTAAGATAAAAAAGATGATACAAATAATTATCCAAAAAATCGAAAAGAAACAAACCCATTGTATGCTACAGAAGAGAATAAGCAAAGCAAACAAACAGCAAAACATCCGATATATGACAATAGATACATGATCACTCTTCTGGTCAGTCTTCGCTCTCGTTCACGATATTCACATTACTACGCAATCAGTAAGTCCGAGTCCGTAGACCGCCTTTTCGACAGCCTTCTTCACAAGCAGCCAGTCCGCTCGGCGCTGAACATACTCCAACACATCCTCGGCAGTCACAATACCAGCAAATCTCTGAACGACATCGGTCATCACCTGGCCTATATCACGAGAGTGGCTGGAGTCGATGAGATAGAGCTGGGCAATTTCTCTCAACGCGGCAAAGTAGTCGAGTAGAGGGCGCTGGCGGAGAGTCTTGTCCACGAAACTGTAGTAGTAGTTCAGATCTGAGATCAACAGCATTGCACCTCCATCGACAGAGATGGTCTGCCTCTTGATGTGTTTTCCGATCGAGTTGTAGAGACGAAGACCGACCTCACCCAAGAACACGTCAAGCGTGTTCTTATCAGTGCTCCCGTTAAGCAACTTTGTGTGCATCGACACCGTTTTTACGACTTTGACTGCCGCATCGGTGGGACCCATTCTCGAGTCCATGAACCGCTTTCCGTATGGGGCGTCAGACGTCACATTATATCCACCAATACCGTTACTTTCGACAGTGAAATGATCGTCGTTGAACTCGTTCGGTTTCTGCTCGCTAGCCAGAATATACTCGACCTGTTCGATCAAGACGTCTATTCCTCGGTTGAGACCAAGTGCGACGCGCTCGTCAAGCATCTGCTCAAACTTCCGCTTCTCCTTGACTGCTTGACTGAGGAAATCAGTCCGGTCAACAAATCGGCGAGAGACGAGCTCCTTCTCGTAAAACACGTCAACCATTTGCTGAATCAGATCGCCGACGTTGACAAGTTCAAGAAAAGTGACCAGAGGCTCGACGTTTTCGGCACGTTTTTGAATCTCAGAGGCCGGGAGTGCAGACTCGTCTTCGATTTCATCAGTGGTATCAGTCACTGCCGGAGGCCGGTAGTCAGTCAAGTGTCGAAGCGCGCGGTCGAAACCATTTTGGATATGCCTGAATCCGAGAGACTCTAGGAGGGCGACGAATATAAGTTCGCATTGCTCTTTAGCCTCTTCTCCGGTTCTACCCTCGAACATGACAAATAGCGCGGTGCGTTCTATACTTTCGCGGGCCGCTTGGATGAGGTCGAGGGCGACCTCGAGCGAGAAGAGGGTTTTGATCGATTCTAGCCGAGAATTCAGAATTGCCGCATTGACGGCCAGCTCTGCGGCGGGCATCGGATACTTGCCGTTGTCACCGGCTGGATTGTTCGGGACAGAGAGGGTGGCAGAGGGTGAGGTTGTTGAGTGTTTCTCGGATTGGTCGTCACGGAAGGAAGAAGAAGCGCGAGAAGAGATGGAAGAAGAGCCCATGACGGGCGAATTTCCGATGGCGACGACGGGCATGAGCAATACTTTTTTGAAGGAGGTGAGGAAGTCGAATTTTTCCGCGCCAGTGCCGCCTTCCAGAGCTGCAATTTCTTTGTATTTGTTCCTCAGAATCGTCTCCTTTTCCCGCTCTTGCTGGCTAGCGACGCGCTCGAAGCGGTCGAGCTCGACGTTGCATTTCTCTCGAAACCGGTCAAGCTCTTCTTGGAGATATAAGTCGACGTGCTGCTCATAGACTCTGTCGACGATCTCTTGTACTTTTATATGAAACGGCCGGAGTGCCTCTCGAGCCTCTTTGTCGTTCGAGGAGTCGTCTTCGGGATCCTTGAGGAGAAGTTTGTAGGCAAAATCCAAGAGAGCCTCGTACAGGCCAGAAACAACTTGCAGGTAAACGTCGTTGTTTCCGGTAGTGTGAGAGCGATCAACAAGAGCGGAGCAGTAGTCGCCAAGCACGTCTTCGATGAGACGCTCGACGAGCAAGAGGGTGGTTTTGTCTGCGACGTCGGGGTGGGCGCCGAAGACGGCACGAGTGACGGATTCTTCTTCGAGCACAGATTGTCGGAGTTGAGTGAAGTAGGTGTCAACGGGGGAGAGGTCGACTCTGATGAGGCCACTTTTGGGATCTAGTTGGAAGCAGCCGGAGGTACTGGGAGAGGCGGTTGTGAGAAGGAGCTTGCTTCGCTGAAGGTAAGCTTGGATGGCCGTGCTGCCGCCGTTGAGACTGATGAGGACGTTTGCGTAGCGGCGAGCCTTGCCGTCGTAGTCGGCAGCGTCGAGGGCGGACTCGAGCTCGGTGATTGCGGCATTTTCAAAAATTTCGACGATGCCCTGCAAACGCAGGCGGCGGTCGTCAGCGTCGTCGTCGAGGACGGCGTTTGAAAACTGCAGGAGGACTCTGAGGGCAGATGCTTGCAGCTCAGGTAAGCGGTAGATGCGAAATATCTTGGGTTCTGTGCTGTGGAGGGAGTGGGCGGGATCAGTGAGGTCGCGGAAGAGAGGCCAGAGAAGGCGATGCACGCGCGCGTACTCGTGGCGGGCATATCCGGGGATGGAGTGGACGGTGGAGAGGACATTGAGGGGGGTTATTTGTACTGGGGAGGATATTAGGATGATGAAGAAACAGACGGCAAAGAAGACAAGAGAATGGAAGCGTACTGGAGGCGAGATCACGGAGAATGAGCCCTTTGGCAGAGGCGCGTTTGTCGTCGCTTGCGGCAAATTCGGCGGCAGTGACGGGATCCCAGACGCCGATGCGGGAGAGGCGGTAGACCCAGTTTTGGTCGTCATAGATAATTTGGCGGAAGGCGCGGCAGACGGCGGCAGAGGCGAGGTAGTCGGGGAGGGGGAGGAAGGAGAGGACGAGGGAGAGGACGTTGACTGGGAGGAGGGGCCTGTTGGGGTCGGCGGGGAAGATGGGAGGGACGGAGGAGGAGGAGAGACGCCGGGGCCGGGACGGGTGTGAATGCGGAGGGCGGAGACGGTCTGTGAGGGCGGGATCCGGCATGCCGGGACGCGGAGGAGGCGGGAGGGGAGTTGGAGGGGGCGAAGATGGGAAGCAAAAGTGACGATGGAGGAGCAAAAGTGGTCGGGTCGAAGAGAAAGTTTAAGGCGAGGGTTTTAAGCGACTCGGGTACTATTCTTGTGTCTGTCTACAAACGGAAATAGGACCTGCAACTGCTTTCATGTCAACTCTTAATAGTTACTTGTCTATTCTACTCCAACCAATCCCATGAAAATAAATGTGGAAACAATCAAAAAACATTAAACAGTAAAGAAAAAGATGAAATAAAAATGAGCAAATATGTATGAGAACCACCATCCGAATTACTGCATGAAATATAAAATAAAAAGAGAAATACAACACCATTCGAAAGCCATCATGACGTTTAGAACAACCAGGGGAAATATGAAAATATAAAGATAAAAACGGACTCACTCCTACATTCACAAACTCACTCTCTCAACACGCACATAACTCTAGCGCTTCTCCTTTTTGCACATTTTTATATGTAAGAAACACTCATAAACAACCGCTTACTTCTTCTGGGCAAGGGTCTGGGGACCCATCTCCTTCTCAAACGCATCGTACGAGATCTTGATCGACGAAATCTGCTTGAGGCCAAAGGCAAGGATGAGGAGCATGACAAAGGTGGCAATGATTCCCATGAACTGGCCGGCAGTGAAGAACTGGTAGCGGGTGAAGAGCGAGCCGTCAGTGCGGGCACCCTCGGGGATCATAGTAGGGTAGGCGGTGCCAGTGGGGTATCCGTAGACACCGGTGGGGTAGGCATCGGTGGTGTTGCTCGGGTAGGCATCCTCAGCAGCACGCACGACGGTCGGGTTGCGCTTGGCAACGAACGGGCGCGAGACGGGAGTGGAAGCATACACAACAGTGAAGTCCTCGTGCTGGATGAGCGACATGACCGACGACAAGAAAGCGTCGTTGTCAGAAAGAGCAGCAGCACGGGTGTAGTCGACCGGGAGAGCAGGGAACTCAATGCGAACGACCTTGGGGGCCTCGCTCTCGCTCTCGGGGATCGAGAAAGCATCAGAGGCAGCGTCAATCACGACGGTGTCAGCTCCCCAGGTGTCGACGATGTGCTTCTCGAGCGACTCGACATCGAAGATTCCGTGCGCGTTGCGGACAGCGTAGGAAGTCTCGGCCTGGTCGTAGAGCTTGCGCAAGTTGGGGGTGCTGCGGGCAGCCGACGACGAGGCAAAGTCGGAGGCGTGGAGGCCGGGCTGCGAGACGACGACGTAGGTCGAGGCCTTGCAGTCGGAAACGAGCTTCTTGGCGAGGTCACCGAAGTGGTCGGCGGAGACAATCGAAGCCGAGGAGATGTGCTCGTGGACGGAGGGGACCCTGGATAACAGATTAGTATACTGATAGATAAGTCGTCTCTTTTCTTTCCGCTCTTCTCGTCAGTCTGTGCGATAATAACTAAGAACTGCGCAGTCGTATTGTCAAAGAGATGATTTGTTGTCGCTGACGAGGTTCGATGGAAGAGAAGACCCGGCGATAAGGATTCTTCTGTTGTTTTTTCGCAGCTGTTCTAATCCATCGTATCTCGAGATAATCCCTTCTGTTGCAGCACTATCGCAGGCCGACCACAGCAAGCAACAACCACATAAACAACACACAACACACAACAGAGCAGAGCGAAAAGAAGAGACCGCACGGTGAAAAGATAAGCCTACATCTTCTTCGAGAGGAGCATGAGAGGAGAGGTGTCCTCGAAGGCCTGGACGGCCGAAAGCGAAGCGGCGAGGGCCAAGACGGCGCCCTTGACGGAGGTTGAGAAGAGCATTGCGTTGAGAAGCAGAGAAGAACTGGCTGAGGAGGGATTCGGGCAGGAAGGTGGTGAGGAAGAGGAAGAGAAGCGGTGACTGCGAGACGAGGAAGGAGGCGCGAGAGGCCGCTGCCATTGGCTGTTGTCGCGCTAGTCCACTTTGGGCTAGCGGCATATCTGCGCAAACACCGCCGGCTGCGATAGATAACCGCGATAAGTGCGCGCCTACCCGGCACGTGATCAGTCACGTGTGTTACCCGGCCTGATTTGCCTCAGCAGAACTGCTTCTCTGCAGCTGCCGAATATCAACAGACCCGCAGACACCCACCGGCTCACGTAAAACAACCAGCAGCCATGTCGGACTCTGACGACAGCCCCCGGCGAAAGCGAATGCGCTCAAACTCGAGCTCGCCGACTGACGCACCCGAATCAGATCAGGTTAAACTCGAAAAAGAAGACGAGGATCTCGAGATCGACAAAGACGACGAGGCAGAAGACGACTACCACGACGACGACGACGACGATGACGACGACGATGACGACGAAGAAGAGGAAGAGGGCGAGGCCGATGACGCGGACGCAGACGCAGACGCGGACGCGGACGGAGACGACGAGGCCTCTGCGGCCGACGACGACGCCGATGCAGACAAAGAAGAGGGCGAGATCGAAGAAGGCGAAGACGTCGAAGAAGCCGTCGTCGAGAAGCCCGTCGCCAGTCCCGCGCCTCCCAAACGACGCGGTCGCAAACCTGGCTCGGGATCAAGTACACCGGCTGCCGTAGCTGCTCGCGCAAAACGAGGAAGAACATCGACTCCCGTTCCCGCTCCGAAAGTCCACCGTGGCAAGCAGGCCAAGCAGCCACCCCCGCAGCCTGGCTCCGAGCACACCACTGACAAACTCAACGACGAAGGCGACGAATACATCGTCTCCCAAATAGATCCCGAGGGAGAAAAGAAAATCGCTGCCGATGGCTCCCTTCTCGGCGGCCGCGTCTACAGAATGCGCGTCTTCAGACTCCCCCAGCACGGTGACAAGTACTTCATGATGGCAACCGAGTGTGCCAAAGAGCTCAATTACCGTGACTCCTATCTTCTCTTCAACAAAAACCGCTCGCTCTACAAACTCATCGCCACCCAGAACGACAAAGAAGCCCTCATAGAGATGGGTCATCTACCATACGCATACCGCTCTCGCCAGATCGCGCTCGTCACCGCCAGATCGATGTTTCGCCAGTTTGGCTCTCTCTGCGTCGTCGACGGCCGCCGCGTGCGCGACGACTATTTCGAACAAAAAGCCCGCTCCGAGGGTTTCACCGAAGCTGATTTTGCTATTGAAAAGAAAGTCGTTCACCACACGACGACCGTCAAAGACCCGACGCAGGAATCCGCAGCGCCAAAAGTCGACACCATGCCCTCATTCTCCGAGCAGCATCTCATGAACTCTCGCGCAGACTCGGCCGGCCAGATCGTCTACGGCACAAGAGGGGTTCCAAAGATCCTTGACCGTCCGATCGAGCACATCATCCGCGTCTTTTCGAAATCCGTCAGTGCACCTATGGACCCACAAGACGAACCAGTCAAGTTCAATACCGCTCTTGCGCGCGGTACACGCATGGACATGACCAAGCGGTCCTCGCTTCACGCAATCTCTGAAGCCTCGGCTGGAGCACTTGAGTTTAATGCTTTTATTGGTCAAAAACGCCGACTGAGGAATCAACAGTGGCATGATTTCTGGCTGCCGAAAAAGCCAGAGGAGAGTGCGGAGAAGCAGGATGTCGTCGTGCTCCGTGACGAGCCGGGCTTTCAGACGGATATCGCGAACCCGTCTTTTGTACATTAGGTGTATTTTATGTGTAATTTATAGTAATAAGGTCAATAGGAATATTTTAAAGAATAAATGTTGGTTAATTGTTGTAATTGTGATTATAAACTGATTTTAATGCGAATAATTTCAGATTCTAAACAAAGTTTGAAGCTCCCAGCAATCGACGGATCTGGGTTATCGTCAATTACACAGCAAATTGCTACATTTCAGCACTTTTTATCAACAACAGCATCTGTTTATTGTTGTTGAATCCTACTAATTCTTGTTGGACTATTTATAATTATCTTTGTTGTTCCTATTGTTTATTTAACGTATATCTCGGTCATCTGCACACTACACAGCCATGGTTCCCAATCCCACCACAGGTACGCACTCCATATCATCACCGCATAAATCAAGCACAGGCTCTAACATTCACCTCTCACACCTCCAGGATGGGAGCGACTGCAGGATGTTTTTTACCGGAAGCGAGCAGAGTACTCGATGATGTGGATTGACGACGTGGATCTCTCCGAGTTCATCGTCGTCGGCGCCCCTTACGGTGGTGCCATAGGTATGCCGTTCTTCCATTTATCCTTTCAGACTTCCAATGACTTCAGATACTAATGTATTGCTTTGCTACTTTATAGCTCTTGTCAGAGATACATCGAGACCGATGGCTTATCGCGGCCCCGAGGGTCGGCAAAAGATGATTCTGATATACAGCAATTCTGGCCAACTGATTTCCAACATCCCGGTATGTCAAGTTCTCCAATTCAACAACCTCTTCTAATACTGACACTCATCCACACAGTGGGACAAAGGAACGATTAGAGGTGTGGGCTGGACAGACGAAGAGCAGCTTCTGATTGTGATTGAAGACGGCACGGTGCGAGTATACAACGATTTCTACGGCGGCTTTACACAATTCTCCCTCGGCAAAGAAGCCGAAGACCACACAGTCTCCGATTGTAAATTCTGGGGCTCGGGTTTTGTTGCAAGACTAGGCAACGGCAGATTCGTCTCTGTCGCCCGTCTCGACGAACCGAGACCGCGGATGCTTGCCGACCTCAGCACCACCGCCCTCGAGATTCACGGATGGGCGCTCATGTCGCCTTTGCAAACCCTCAGCAGACACATTGAAGTTCTTGTCGGATTCAACAAGACCGTCAGCGTGATTGACTCGATCGAGTCTCAAGACCGGATGCTGGAGGAAGGCCCGTTCTCGCACATCGCCGTCTCTCCGAACGGCGCGCTTCTCGCCCTCTACACCACATACGGCAAAGTTTACGTCATCTCATCCGATTTCCAGAAAAAGTACTCCGAATACGACACAGGCACTCTCGACAGTCCGCTGCAAGTTGTGTGGTGCGCAAACGACTCCGTGGCAGTGGCATGGGAGAGCGAGATCCGTCTCGTTGGGCCCGGCGGAGGGTCGCTTAGTTTTTACTACGAGAGCCGGATCGCGCTCATTCCAGAGCCGGACGGAATCCGTATCGTGAGTGCCGAGCGATGCGAGTTTCTGACGCGTGTGCCAGAAGTCGTTGTCGACATGTTCCGCATCGGATCGACGGCGCCTTCTGCTATCCTTCTGGACGCGGTCGAGCAGCTCGAGTTCAAATCTCCTAAAGCAGACGACAACATCCAGCTGATCCGGTCGAGCCTGACGGAGGCCGTAGATTCTTGCATCAAGGCCGCGAGCTACGAGCCCGAGCCATACTGGCAAAAGCGGCTGCTGAAAGCTGCCTTGCTGGGTAAATCCGTACTCGAGCTGTATTCATCAGATGAATACGTCGAGATGTGCGAGATCCTGCGCGTGCTGAACGCCGTGCGGTACTACGAAGCTGGCATCCTGATCAGCTACGAGCAGTTCATCCGTCTGACCCCGGAGCGATTGATTGACCGACTGCTGAACCGGCAAAGATTTCTGCTCGCGCTGCGGCTGTCGTCGTACTTGCGTTTACCGGTCGATAAAGTCTACGTGCGCTGGGCATGCAACAAGGTCAAGTCGTCGACGGACGACGACGCCGCGATATGCAAGACGATTGTCAACAGACTCAAGCCGATCCCTTCTGTGTCGTATGACGAGATCGCACGGACGGCCTACGACGAAGGCCGCACGAAGCTGGCTACTCTGCTTCTAAACCACGAGCCGCGCGCGGGACGGCAGGTGCCCTTGCTACTCGATATGGAAGAAGACGAGATTGCGCTGGTGAAGGCGGTCGAGAGTGGAGATCCAGATTTGATTTACTACGTGCTGCTGCACTTGAAGGGCAAGTATTCACTCGCGCAGTTTTTCCGGCTCGTGAACGACAAGCCTGTCGCGTCGGCGGTGGTCGAGCAGCTCGCGCGCGACGACGGACCAGAGCTGCTCAAGGACTTTTACTACCAGGACGATCGCAGGGCCGATAGTGCGCTTGTGATTTACCGGGAGTCGCTCTTACTGGACGATATCCAGGACCGTGAGGACAAGATCAAGCTGGGAATGAAGATCTTTCAGGACTCGAAGGACAGCTACTCGGACGCGAAGGCGATGGAGGAGCACGCGAAGCTGTACGACTGGCAGGTTACTTTTGAGAAGGACTATAAGCAGATGTTTATCGGATTGACGGTGGCGGAGACGATCAAGAAGCTGTTCAAGATCGGACAGAGCTCGAAGGCGTCGAAGATGAAGAGCGAGTTCAAGGTGCCGGAGAAGATGTTTGTGTTTTTAAAGGAGGGCACGTACCCGGTGGCGAAGAAGAGCTGATAGCAGTAGAATAACTGATCTCTAATGAATGAATTGTTGCCATAAATCTGTATCTTTGTCTTATCACCGGCCTCGTGGCAGATCCGCGAAGGTGCCTCTGTGACGAGCCGCCATCGTCGCGCGCCTCGCGAGGCTCAGCTCAGCTCATCTTCCTCAACCACCGCTGCCCGCTGCTGATCTCGGCCCACAAAACGAGAGAAATGGCCACTTTCCTCACGCCGCACACCTCTGCGACTCCTCCGAGGAAACGGCTGCGGACGATAAAGGCCTGCAAAGGCTGCCATGTCCGCAAGTCCAAGTGCGACGGCATCAGACCGACGTGTGGGCCTTGCATGCGGCGACAGACCAAGTCGGTCGACTCTGTCCTCTGCACCTACGACGACCAGCAGCTGCGGCGGCAACGGACGGGATCTAGTGTCGAGAACGAGATCGAGGACGCGACCGGCGGGAGTATCAGAAGCAGTCCGCAGCAGACCGCGTGGAAGAGAGAAACGAGCGACGCTGCGTATCCTTCCTCGGCGCCACTGGCAGGACCAGAGCGGACTATGCAGAGCATGCAGGCCGTCTTTCAGCAGTCTGAGACTGTAGGACAGCAGCAGCAGCAGCAGCAACAACAGCAGCTCGACCAGACACCGGCGGTCTCGACAGCGACGCAGACGCAGACAGCAGTCTCGGGCGACGACGCATTGTCGACGCAGATCCCATCATCCGCAACCGGCATTGTATCGAACGCAGACTCGCATTTCGGCCAGTCGTCAATGTTCATGTTTATGGAAAACATGAAAAACTACATCTCACACGTCCGCAACAGCAATAATCCTCGTGTCGGCGAGTCTCATCCGTACAGACCGAAGTTCACCGCCGCCGCTGTCACCGCAGCCACAGTGCACCCTGCGAAACGGCCGACAAAGGTACCATTCAGACACCCATCAGGCAGACCATGGACCATCCGAGACGTCAAGCTCCCGCCTCGGAAGCTTGCAGACGAGCTTTGCGAGCGGTATTTATTTGTGGTCTTCCCGGTATATCCATTCGTGCACTGGCCGTGGTTTCTCAAAGATCTCAACGCACTCTACGCCGCCTACGAGCACCCCGAGGACGAGTGTTTAGAACCCCCGCGGGCGTTTTTCTACTGTCTTGTCAATCTAGTGTTTTCAATGACTGCTCAGTTTTGCCCCTCGCTTCCGGTGTCGGAGCGCGAGGAACTCAGCTCGACGTTTTATAACCGCGCCTGGGAGCTGATTGATCTGAAAGTGGTCACTTCAACTGTCGATGTCGAGCTGGTGCAGATTTTGCTGCTCTCGAGCAAGCGTCTACAAGCCGGCCACGATCCAAACCAGTGCTGGAATATTCTCTCTCTGGCAGTCCGCGTGGCCCAGTCGTGTGGGTTGCACATCGATCCTGTTGAGCTGGGCGAGACGAATTTAGTGATGGTCACTCTGCGGCGGAGGTTATGGTGGGGCTGTGTAATTCTGGACAAGCTGCTGGCAGTATCGCTCGGTCGGCCGTCGATGATTCATGCGACGTTTGATGTCAAGTTCCCGATTGCTGCGCGCGACTCGGATATCACGGAAACCACCCCGGTGGAAGACGAAGATCTGATCCCGGAGTATAGGCGGATGGTGTATTTCTCGCACTCGATCCGGATGCATTTGATTGCCGGAAGCGCTGCCGAGGAACTATCTTTCCGACCGAGGACGCTAAAAAGCCTGAGCACGGCTGATCGCAAGCGAAAGTTTACTGGCAACAAAAACGAGGTTGAGTTGATTCTGAAGTATCTGCGAGAACTTGATGATTGGTACCAGCAAATACCAGCGTACTTAAAGTCAGAGCCTCCGAAGGGTGCAGAGAACCCTCCGACGTCGGTTGACAGTGACGGGAGCCCCGACGCTGCGCTGACTATGCTGTCACGGGTGCTGAAGCTGCGGTACTTGCAGACGCAGGTTATGGTGCTGCGGCCGAGTCTGACATATTTGATACGGATGCAGATGAGCAACAGTAGTTTGAAGCAGCGGGGAGATGGTTCGGTCGAGCACGTCACGCTGAATGCGTACATGAACTATGCGTACCTCTGCGCAAACAGTTCGATGGACCTGATTCAGGCTGTGTATGACAGTCTCAACACTGGTCCGGGCGTTGGCACGACGTGGTGGTATAATCTTTATTATTTGTACACAGCGTCTGCGATAATGCTAGCGGCGCACCTCGTACCTACGGTCTGGGATAGACTTGACCAGGCCAAGGCGCGGCGGTCGTGGACGATGGTCGAGGACATTATGACGGCGTTGCAAGGAACGACAAAGACAGCGGCGCGATATATGGCGTACCTGATTAGAATGAGAGAGCTGATTGTGAATATCAACTCGTCGCTCGCAACGGCCGAGCCATCGCCGAGCTCGATGCAGTCCCTGGACACCAGTGCTACTGGTATCACCAGCGACAACAGCAGCAGTAGCAGCAGCAGTAGTAGCGGTGATACTACCGAGCAGCAACTTCGTGCTACGGCTGCCAGAACGCCGATATCGCTCACGTCGGCTGCGAGTCCTGGTACGCGAAGCAACATATACAGCCTGATTGAGCTGACTGGTGGGTTTTCCTTTCTTGTCTTTTATCTTATGATTGCTAACAGGTTGTGCATATAGAGCCGGCGCAGGTGGTGCAAAACAGTAAGGACATAATCTTGGACGAGGAGCTTAACTGGTTTAATAGTATGCTCCTCGATGGGTCGTTTACGGACACGGATCAGATGAACAACTATCAGATGAATTACGCGGGGTTTTTGGGTTGAGGACTGTATTTATATATTAATGATGATGACTATATACTATTTACAATATGTACAAAATACGAGTATGATGAGGAGATCACATCATCCAAGGCTCGAGCTCTACTGGCTTTGCTTTTGCGAGTAAGATTGGCTTCGTAACCCAGGAGTTGTCAGGTAATTGCTCAAGAGTCACTAGCTTGGAAAACAGTTGGAGATATCGTTTGCGGATGAATGATGGACGTTTGAGGTTTGCCTTTTTTGCACGTTCACCCCTGCTGATGCTTGTGTGGAGATCAACGTCTTTGAGGTTGCGTATCGGGAGCGGGTCGAAGGGGTCATCGCCGACGCGCTGCTGGAGGCGGCGGAGTTTGTGCGTGCCAAAGCAGATAGGATCGGGATGAGCGAACGCAAGCTTCCATTTGTTGGTAATGGTGGAGTGAACGTGCGTGAGTTCTATGCGAGGCAGGACGTCGTCGATCCACTCCTGCGGTACGGGGGTTGGCACACTATTGAGCACTCTTTTGAAATGCTTTCGTTCGATCGAAATTACTCGACTGACCGCCAGGCCTCGACCCTGGGCACGGGTTAACGCAGGAGGAGTGGGGAACACGGGCACGGTCGGTAGCTTGATATAATGTGCGAGTGCGCGTAACTGGGGGCTGTAGTAAGGCTTCTTTCGTTCTTTGGATGACTGTTGCTCGCCAGTGTTTTTGCGATCATCAGAGGCGGATGTGTTTTTTGAGTCTGATGAGTCTTTTGAGTCTGGTTTGGCGTTCGGTGTATTGTCAGTGGACGACGACAATTCTGTGGTGTTCTGCTGCTCAGGCTCCGAGTAGTTGACGACGGACTGTAATCCTATATTATTAGCAAAGGCTGGTATATGTAGAATAGAAGAGATCTGACCTCCAATAGACTATCACGGACCGGTCCCTTGACACCCCACGCCCGCTCAAGTAGCTCAGCGCATTCTTTATAGTAACCAGCGTTTGCCCTCTTTATAAGAGCGAGCTCTTTTCTGGCGGCGAGGAGCGCGAGATCGAGCTGATGTCCAGTCAGTTGTTGAGAGATGAGACCCGCGGGCTGGCGGAATTCTGTACGGACGAGGTAGGAGAAGTGCAGCCGGGAGCGGGGGTCGAAGAAAAAGCGGATCTCTCGGAGCAGCGAGCGATAGAGCGATATTGTCTGGTTCATAGATTATAATGTCATTTTGGTGCTGTATAAAAGAAGTAGAGCAGATGTAATAAGAGCAAGAAACGAATATCAGAATCTTCAAACTATTCTGGGGCCCAGAAACCAGATCCGTACTCTGAGCACCAAAACAAACAACCGCCAGTCTCAGTTCGCAGTCGCAGAAATTTTTCTCGTTCTCTGCGCAGACAAAAGTTTTATCTTCCAGACTCTCATCGAACTACGCGTTCGTGAACAGAAACAAACAGAGAAGAAGATGCCAGCATTGATTGACGAGCCGTCTATGCTCGACACGATTGTGGTCGTGGATGGCGCTCCGATTGTGAGCGAGAAGAAGGTGGACGCGCTGTCGAAGGTGCTCAAGAAGCTGTTCTCAGAGGCCGGACGGATCCGCGACGACACGTTCTACATGCCATTGAACGAGGAGGGAAAGTCCAAGGGATATGTGTTTATCGGATTCGAGACTCCTGAGCAGGCCGATCGTGCGATTCGCGGGTTGAACAACAAGAGACTTGACGCGAAGCACACGCTGCTTGTGAACCGCTTCACCGACATTGAGCGCTACGGCGAGGACGATGAGGAGGAGGTTTACGAGGAGCCTGTTGAGGAGGAGTACCACGAGCAGGAGTACTTGCGCGATTGGTTGAAGGAGCCGAACTGCGTTGATCAGTTTGTGCTCCACCGCAACGAGACGGTGGGCGTGTACTGGAACCGCCGGGGCGAGCACCCGGAGACGATTGTGTCGCGTGAAAAGTGGACGGAGACTTATGTTGCGTGGTCGCCGCTGGGATCGTACCTTTGCTCTGTGCATCGCCAGGGAGTCCAGCTCTGGGGCAGCAACGCGTATGAGCGCAAGCAGCGGTTCATGCACCCGGGCGTGCAGCTGCTTGACTTTTCGCCGTGCGAGAACTACATTGTGACGTGGTCGCCGGAGCCGATCCAGATGATTCCGGAGGACTCGCCGATGCGGGCGCAGTTCCCGTTCACGCCTGCGGACGAGGGCAAGCAGATTGTTGTGTGGAACGTTAAGACTGGATTGCCGGTGCGTACGTTTTCTGCAGCGGTTGCGGCCGAGAACGAGGCGGGCGCGGGACCGGCGGGGCCGAAGAAGATCTCGTGGCCGGCGTTCAAGTGGACGTCTGACGACAAGTACCTTGCGCGATGTGTGCAGGGGCAGCAGATTTTTGTGTACGAGACGCCCGGGATGGGACTTGTTGACAAGAAGTCGATCAAGATTGACGGAGTTGTTGATTTCGAGTGGTCGCCGGCGACGATGAGCAGCGGGACGAGCAAGAAGACAGAGGAGCATGTGCTGTCGTTCTGGACTCCAGAGATGAACAACCAGTCTGCGCGAGTGACGTTGATGACGATTCCGTCGAAGGAGGTTGTGCGCACGCGAAACTTGTTTAATGTTGCGGACTGCCGGCTGCACTGGCAGAGCCAGGGCGACTTTTTGTGCGTGAAGGTTGTGCGATTCACAAAGACGAAGAAGGCGACGTTTACGAACTTGGAGTTTTTCAGACTGCGGGAGAAGAACATTCCGATTGAGGTTGTCGAGTTGAAGGACACGGTGATGAACTTTGCGTGGGAGCCAGCTGGAGACCGACTTGTGATTATCTCTACGTCTGATGCGCCGGCGGCGGCCCCAGTGGCAGCTGCGCCTGCGGGCCGACTTGGGCTGGGCAAGGCGGCGACGATTCCGCCTGCTGCGGGACCGGGACCTTTGAAGACTTTTGTTTCGTTTTACGGACTTGAGCGATCGAAGGGCGTGAACGGACAGTTTAGACAGGTTGCGTCGGTTGAGCGCAAGTCGTCGAACTCGATTTTCTGGTCGCCAAAGGGCCGATTTGTTGTTGTTGCGTCTGTCGGCGGTACGTCGAACAACACCGGCGAGCTCGACTTTTGGGACTTTGACTTTGAGGGCGAGCGCAAGGAGGTTGCGGGCGCGGAGGATGTTCCCGCAAACCTTGTGCTGATGTCTACGGGCCAGCATTACCAGCTGACGGATATCGCGTGGGACCCCACCGGACGGTTTGTGGCCACGTCGAGTTCTACGTGGGGACGCGCGCTGGAGACGGGATACCGGGTGTGGGACCTTAAGGGCACGCTTGTGCGGGAGGAGCATCTTGAGCGGTTCAAGCAGTTCTTGTGGCGTCCGCGCCCGCCTACGTTGCTGAGCAAGGAGCAGATGCGGGAGGTGCGCAAGAACCTGCGTGAGTACAGCAAGGTGTTTGAGCAGGAGGATCTTGCGGAGGAGTCGCAGGCGAGCAAGGAGCTGATTGCGCAGCGGATCCGGTTGCTGGAGGAGTGGCGGGCGTGGCGGAAGGCGGTTGTTGCGGAGTTGGAGGCCGAGAGAGGCGGGGTTGTTCCACTTGCGCAGAGGGGGTCTGAGAAGGAGGACGAGGTTATTGAGCGGATTGTGGAGGATATTGTGTCTGAGAAGGAGGAGATTATTGAGTAGGTGTATGTATTTCCTATTTAGTACGTATGTTATTAGATAATCAAAGTCATGTGACTGAGAATGAGTTAATTACCCCGGACCTCGGATCAATTTGAGGGGGGTTTGGCGGTTCGTATAAAGCTGCTGGCTGCTGCCTTCTTCTTCTTCTTCTTCTTCTTCTACATATATCTACTACTATTACATATCTACGTATATATATAATACAGCATGTCCGTATTCATTGTCTCTGCTGCGCGCACTCCGGTCGGCAAGTTCGCCGGATCACTGAAATCAGTCAAGGCTCCTGCTCTCGGCTCTGTCGCGATCAAGGCAGCTCTCGAACGGGCGCAGATTACTGACGAAAACAAGGCGGCAGTCGACGCGGTCTACTTTGGCAATGTGCTTCAGGCGAATGTAGGCCAGCTGCCGGCGCGACAGGCTGCTATTGGCGCAGGTTTGCTGCACGAGACGGAGGCGACGACGATTAACAAGGTGTGTGCGTCGGGACTCAAGTCTGTTGCGCTCGCGACGCAGTCTATCTTGACCGGGGATTCGGAGCTGGTGGTTGCAGGTGGAATGGAGAGCATGTCGAACGCGCCGTTCTACTTTCCGCGAGGAGCGCAGTATGGACATGTGACGGCAGCCGACGCGATCATCCGCGACGGTCTCTGGGACGTCTATGATGATATTCAGTGAGTGAGGATTGATTTAGTGCAGTCAGTCAATGATACTAATGAGTTTCTGTAGCATGGGCATCTGCGCGGAAATGACAGTGAAAAACTTCTCACTGACCCGCGAGCAGCAGGACGAGTATGCGCAAGAGTCGTATCGTCGGGCGATTGCGGCGCAGGACAGCGGCGTGTTCGCGGCCGAGATTGCGGCGGTGGAGATTGCGGGCCGGGGCGGGAAGACGGTGACGGTGACGGAGGACGAGGAGCCAAAGTCGGTGAACCTGGCGCGGTTGCCGTCGCTGCGGCCTGCGTTTGACAAGAACGGGACGGTGACGGCAGGAAACGCGTCGCCGCTGAACGACGGCGCGTCGGCGATTGTGCTCGCGTCCTCGCAGGCGATTGGGGATTACGGGCTGGCGAAGCCTCTTGCGAAGGTGCTTTCGTACGCGGACGCGTCGACGAAGCCGGTTGACTTTACGATTGCGCCGAGCAAGTCGATTCCGCGAGCGCTCGAGCGGGCGGGAGTGAGGGTCGGTGATATCGCGCGCTGGGAGATCAACGAGGCGTTTGCGGCGGTGTCGATTGCAAACATGCAGATTCTGGGCCTCGACCCGGCGAAGGTGAACGTCGACGGAGGTGCGGTTGCACTCGGACACGCGATCGGCAGCAGCGGCAGTCGGATTCTTGTTTCGTTGGTTTACGCGCTGAAGCCCGGTGAGTTGGGCGTTGCTGCGATTTGCAATGGCGGAGGAGGCTCGACTGCGGTTGTTGTGGAGAGGTTGTGAGTGATGACATAAGATGTTAGATGATTATGGATCATTGTTCGACCGAGGCCGAGATATACGTCGATATAAAAGTGGTGGTTTCTTCACCACATTTTGATACTGTTTAATACTGTTAATACTCTTATACTCTTAATACTCTTCACTCACTATCACAATGTCAACTGTAATTGCCTCCGGTGTCTATGTGCCCGCTCCGACGTTCTTCGTTCGCAAGTCAGACGAGGAGTACGATGAATTTGCACCTGCGCTCGACCTCGACACGCAGCTTCGACACACAATCTTTCTCGCCAAAGCAGGAATTCGCGGAGTAGTTCTTCTTGGGTCAACCGGTGAAGCTGTTCATGTCACTCGTGAAGAGCGCAAACAGCTCCTCCGCCATATCCGCAAAGGACTCGACGCTGCCGGATTCACGGACTTTGCCGTCATCGCGGGCACGGCCACCAACAGCACCGTCGAGACCGTCGAGCTGATCAAAGAGTGTGCGGAGAGCGGTGCCTCTACCGCACTCGTCCTTGCTCCTTCGTACTTTGCCGGCTGCGTTAGTCAGGAAGGTCTTATCAAATGGTACACTCTCGTCGCAGACCGCTCGCCGATCCCGATCATGATCTACTACTATCCCGGAGTATCAAACAACATCGCGATCAGCCCGCAGACCTTCCTCACTCTTGCCGAGCATCCAAACATCGTCGGCACAAAGCTCTCACACGGAAACATCTCGCACCACGCCATCATCGCCGGCAGCCCTGTCGTCAAGCAGCAGAAGCAGTTCAAGGTCTTCACGGGACTTGGCCAGCAGCTCTTTCCCGCCCTCGCAGTCGGCTGCGCAGGCGCAATCGATGGTCTCGCCGCCATCTTCCCGCGCTCGGTCGTGAAGCTGTATGAGCTTGCGACGAGCGACCACTACGCCGAGGCCGCGGACCTGCAGTACGCCATCTCCTGCGCCGAGGAGATGATTGTCGAACAGGGCACCGTCGGCATCAAAGAGGCCGTCTCGCGCGTTCTCGGCTTTGGCGACCCCGACGGCTGCCGTCCACCGCTGTCCTCAAAAGTCCTGCAAGGAGCTGCCTGGAACGAGAGATATGGGGATGCGTTTGCGGCGATGGCCGACCTCGAGCGTAGTTGGTGATTACGTTAGCACTTAGTAATAAATCAGGTGACGTCATCAGGTGACTGCAGCAGCAGCACGTGCTTGATGCTCATCAGTGGCTTGGAACTTTGTTTGCGACTTGAAACTACAATAAGAGAAGAAGAAGAAGAAGGAGAATATATACAAGAACATACAAAGAAGATATAACAAGAACAGCAGATAATAACAAAAAGCAGCATGTCCTTCCTCCTCTGCTGCTGCGCTCCCCGAAAACCAGCAGCAGCAAACAAATCCCTGCGCGGTGCCAGAGCTGATCCGCCTCCGGCATACTACTCCGACTTCAACTTCTACGCCGAACAGCTCCGAGACCGCGAGCTCGGCCGGTTCAACGACGACGAGAGCGATGGCGATAGCGACGGAGAGGGGGAGGAGGAGTTTACTGCGCTGTTGAGGGCGCGGAGGGGAGATGGTCAACAGACGTCTCTCAGATCGCATTGGTTTACGTCGTGTTTGGGACGGCAAAAGCAGTATGTGTCTCTAATATCCTCTATTACATCATTCTGTTATTGTATTAACACTTTCTATAGACACCACACAGTCTTCTCCACCCTGCCAAACCGCAAACCGCCCTCCTTAATATCCACAGAGTCCCTCGCCGGCATCCTCAACCCATCAACATCTCCCTCCTCTCCCCGCCGCGTCTCTACATCAACCCCCGTCTCTGGCCGCTACGATCTGCCTTCAACCGCCTCTGCTGAAGATCCAATCGAGGACTTTGGTCTGGCTGACGCGCAGCTCGTTCCCGACAGCTTCGTCGTCTCCGTCCCGCTCCGCGACACGAAGCCTTCTCACTCTGATCCTGCCTCCGCTCCTTCTTCGCCACAGTCTGCAGTTACTGACTCTGCTCCTCCTTCTGTCTTGTCTACAGAGGATAATGATTCCCGTCAGAATCTCTACAGTATGAGTATGTACGATCAGCGAGGCTTTGTCTCTGATCGCACTTTTTCCGGAGTTACCGTTTAGCTTCTATACTATCTTTATATCTACTTGCTACTGTTTGGTCACGAAACATAAATACTCGGAGTATTGGTTTGGTTATTGTTATTCATAATATATATTTACACAACATTCTCACTCTCACCCTCACCCTCACTCCCACCCTCACTCGCCTTCGGCTGGCGTCCTCGTCTCGGTTCGCGCTGTCGTCTCGGAATCTGCACATCCTCTGGAATCTTGAGCTCCTCCTTCTTCTCAAAAATAGCCTCCTCCACACTCCTTTTAACCTCCTCGGCGCTCTTCTCGGTCCTCTCCCATCCCGTCTTGAACAGCGGCTCCATCTTGAACTTTGGGAACGGGTGCGCCTCCGTGTTGAACACAACCTTATCAAGCGGCAACACCGTATCATCGTCCTCAAACAACAAGTACAGATACTTTAAAGTCTCGGCCAACCAAAACGACTCCATATTATCTCTGAACCGCGGCGGGATCTCGTTCACACTCTCTAAAGAGCAATACCCGTTCCCATCCAACACCCTCTCGTACTTGCGGAACGCCTCAAAGATATTCCATCCCCACTCCCTATAAATCGGATCCTTCGTGATCCGCCACATGATAAACAGCGACTCCACCGTCTCTGGTCGCTGCAAGTTGTGCGAGTCCTGCCACTTGATTGTAATATCAGTCGTACTGCTATCGTCCGTGTTGAAAAACGCAATCTCTGGTGCAATCCCGGTCTTGGTCACCGCATACATCTCGTAGCACGTCCGCATCAGCTCCTTTGCCAGCTTTAGATCTGACGCCTGCTGCGCCGTCCAACTCGTTCGCTGCGCCATCTTCAGCGGTAGTCCGTTCGTAGACCCCAGAGCGAGATTTCCCGGCAGAAAGCACACGAGATGGTCCATCTTTGGCAGCGTCGGATTATCCCACCCGTGGTCGAGCTCGGCTACGAACGTGAACCCGTTCGGTTTCGACTTTTGCACCAGGCGCTTCTTCACCCCTGTCATGGCCTCATCGTACATCTTTCGATAAGCAGTCTCCTTGTTGTAGGTCTGCAAGTACTGCTTCAGCAAATACTCATAGTACGAGTCCCCGCGCGAGCCCAGTCGAATATTCGCTCCCTGGAACTTTCCCGTGTCGGGCCTGATGAAAATCGGCACAAGCCCATCCCGCGCATGGTTCTCGTCAATCACCTTCATGACCTGCTCGGCTTTTTCCCAATAAAGCGCCTCGCCCGTGAGCTTGGCCACGTACTTGAACTCGAGCTGCAGCGACGCCACCTCTGCCGTGCTGCTCGCGCCCATGTCGTCGTGCGAACTGACGCCCACGCTCGTATGCAGATTCACGCTCGCGTACGGCACCCCCGAGTGCGACTCGAACGCGCCAATCAGCCGGTTCGCGAGATCGACCGCTTTCTCGAGATAGAGATCGTCGTAGTTGGACATGTAGTGCGCAGAGAGCAACCCGCCGAGCATGCGGATCGTCGTCTCGAACGTGTTGACTGCATAATCCTGATCGTACGTCAGATTGTGCTCGACCCACGATCGCGCCGTCTTCAGCGGCTCCTCGAGGTTCATGAGCATCATCGTGTCCAGACAGTCGACCACGATCCACCCAAGTCCCTCCGGCGCCATGTTTCGGGATTTTTTCGAAATCGGATGATAAATATCCTTTCCAAGCGCATGCTTTGCGTAGTCATCCCACGACTCGACAAACGCTTCCTTAATCAGCGCCTGCTTCGCCTTCGACGACAGCGCGCCCGAGCTCTTGCTGCCCCCGAACAGCGACCACGAACCACCTTCCTCGGTCTCATCCGAATCCGACGCGCTCGTGACAAAGATAAACATCACGACAAGCACTCCAAACAAAAAGATGACACCGGTCCATCGCGAGCCCTTGCCAGCCCGTCGCTGAGGCTTGTCCTTGTACATTGGCAGATCGCTCGACGGCAGCCGTCGACCACCGCGCAAGGCCGCCGACGAGCCCGTTGCGCGCGTCCAGACCGAGTCCTCGGCCTTGCGGACCTGGGTCGAAAAGTCGGGCACGTTCTGCGGCAGATTGAAGCTCATTGGGGTGTTGTGTTGAGAGAAGGACAGAAAGACCACGAAGCCCGGCCCCTTGGATGAGAGGATTGGAGTATTGGATCTGGTGACGTCACGTTTGTAATCTTGATTATGTAACAGCTGACACAACTAAAGTTTCCGTGTAGGGTCGCAGCCCTGGCAAAGCGAGCGAGCAAAGGGCCCCACACTGCGCACCTTTGCTCTTCGTCGCATCTTCTTCCTTCACCACTTTCTGCGCTTTTCAGCTGCTGCGGTCGTTGTTCTGCGATCATTCAACTCATCACGAACTAATCCGCCGAAAGAAGATTGAAAAAAGCTGCAAAAATGCCGGTTTTAGAGGTAAGTCTCTCCCGCTGACGATCAGTCATCCAAAAGGATCTGCTTCCCGATATCTAATCCCCCCTCTTCTTCTCGCTTCAGAACCTCAAGAACTTCATCCGGCACGGAAAGCAGGCCTACGAGTATGAGGACGGGCCCGACGACGCCGCCATGGCCGACGACCTGTCCTCTTCCTCGCTCTCCGACGCCGCCGCCGCCGCGACCTCCGCCACCAACGCAGAACAGCACCACCACCATCACCACCATAATCACCATCATCAGCGGAAAGAGAACTTCGAGTCGGCGATCCAGCAGATCGTCGCCGAGGAGAACGAGCAAAAGTCAAAGCTGCCTCTTTATCCCGGGCTTGAGGGGTGGACCCTTATCGAGAAGATGGGCGAGTACGTATATCTGTATCTTATCATTTAAAGGGTACACTCTGCTGACTACCTATTTGCAGTGGTGCATTCTCAAACGTCTACAAAGCGCAAAATAAAGAAACCGGCGAAGTGGCCGCTATCAAAGTCGTCCGCAAGTACGACATCACTAACGTCGAAAACAACCGCCACCGTCTCGGCGCAGAAGCAAAGAAGCAGCAAAAGACCGTCGATGTAAGCCCTTCTTCTTTCTATTTCTCTTTTTAACTTCTGTCAATGCTAATAAGACCAGCGCGCGAGCATTCTCAAAGAAGTCTCCATCCTACGACAGATCGACCACCCAAATATCGTTCGTCTGATTGATTTCTCCGAATCAGATCAGTTCTACTACATCGTCATGGAGCTGCTTCCTGGTGGAGAACTATTCCATCAGATTGTGCGCCTCACCTACTTCTCCGAGGACCTCTCTCGCCATGTCATTGTGCAAGTAGCCGAGGCCCTCCGCTACCTACACGAAGAGCAAGGCATCGTCCACCGCGACATCAAGCCCGAAAACATCCTCTTCTATCCCGCGCCCTTTATCCCCTCCAAGGAAATCAAACTCCGCCCAGGCGACGAGGATAAGGTTGACGAAGGAGAGTTTGTTCCCGGCGTCGGCGGCGGCGGCATCGGCCGCATCAAAATCGCCGACTTTGGTCTCTCGAAAGTCGTCTGGGATTCAAAGACAATGACTCCCTGCGGAACCGTCGGCTACACCGCGCCAGAAATCGTCAAGGACGAGCGATATTCAAAGTCGGTCGACATGTGGGCTTTGGGTTGTGTGCTCTACACTCTGCTCTGCGGCTTCCCTCCATTCTACGACGAGAGCATCCAGTCGTTGACGGAGAAGGTCGCGCGCGGGCAGTACACTTTCCTTAGCCCCTGGTGGGACCCCATCAGCAAGGGTGCCAAGGACCTTGTCTCGCACTTGCTCACCGTCGATCCCGAGCGCCGGTACACGATCGAGCAGTTCCTGCAGCATCCGTGGATCACGCAGTCCGATGTTCCGACCATGCCGGCTATCGACGCGCCGCCGATGTCATCCGAACCGATGATGATTGACATTATTGGCACCCCGGCTGCGTCTAGAGGTGCTCGGTCACCGGCCACCAATGCGCTAAAGGAGGCCTTTGATATCTCGTACGCCGTGCACCGAATGGAGGAAGAGCGCGCGCGCAAGCAGGGCGGAGCACAAAACTTGGGCCTGCTGAACGAAGAGGAGGAGGAGGATGAAGAAGAGTTCAACAACTCGACCTCTGCCGAACGAATGCAGCAGGTAGAAGCCGGACTGAGAAACGTGCACATGTCTACGAACAACAACAGCGCTGCTCGGACGACGGCTAAGCCAGCCACCACGCACAAGCGAAAGGGCTTCGAGCTCAACATGAGCGGAGCCACTTTGCTCGAGCGGCGGAAAGAGCGTGCGCAGCACTTTAAGAACTCGCCGGTTATGGTCTCATAGTTCTCATAAGTCTGATGGGGTTGTTACGTTTTTGTTATTTATGCATATTATAAACCTAGAGATTATATTATACGTCGTGGATACGTCTTGTGTTTTTCTTTTGCCAGTACCGTACAAGGATTATTTATATTGTTGATACTTTATTGATATTGCGATGGTGGTGGATAGGATGAAGGCGTGCAGAGAGGTATTTCAGTTATTTCACTACTTCTTTACATTATTCTTGATTCTACTTTTGTTTTTCTTTTTTGTTTTTGATTTTATATTTACTTTGTCGTTGTGTTTTTTGGGTAGTACTAGGAGCTTTCTTGATTTTCTTTCTATTATAGTTCTCTTCTTGTCGTTGGCTTTATCTTCGATGTAATAGTTTTCTGAATACTAATTATCTTTTGCATTACGAAGCGTGTTTTTTCTATTTCTATTTATTTTGAATTTATTAAATTGTTTGGTCAAATATATAAGAATGAATTCTGCTCTAAATTCTGGTAAAGACAATGTATTACAATCAACTCAACGACTGCTATTACTAACTCAGCGCAACACAGCTACATAAAATCATCAAACTCGTCGTACTTTGAGTAATTCGTAGTATCGATATTATCATCAATCTTCGCCGACGCAGCACTGAGCGCCGGCTTCCCCTTCTTCTTACTCTTCTTTGGATTCTCCGCCGCCTTCTCCTCCTTCAGCTTCTCATTACTCACCGCGGTCAACGAGCTCGCGAGCTTGCGGACCTGCTCAGAGTTGAGCGGGCCGACGAGCGACTTGAACAGCTGGGGAAGGAAGGTGACGGTGTAGTTTGGGTTCTTTTGCAACTGCGCCGTCAGCGTCTCCGAGAGCTTGTTTGAAAGAGCTTCGAGGTCGGTTTTTGTCTTTGCAGAGGCGAAAAGCGGTAGTTTCGCAATGTCGATCTCGGCGAGAGGTACTGACTCTACAGCAGCAGCAGCAGGGGTAGACTGTCTTGTTGACGAAGCCTCAGAACCGTCCTCCACTGAAGCAGCAGACGAAGCAGCAGCAGGCCGTCCGACGTCGTCAATCGACACATCGCCAAACAGATCTGCCGCGTTATCAAGATCGGCCTCGATCTCGATCTGTCTCAACCGCGCGCGTCTCTGATCCGGCGTCTCTGCTTCAAGCAACTGCTTCCGCTTCTCCTCCAGCTCTGCTTTCTTCGCCGCCTCGCGCTCCGCAATCTTCTGCGACAGCGGGATCTTCTTCTTTGGTTGTGGCGCCGGCACAGAGGCTTTGCTTCCGCCTTCTTCGTCGGACGAGTCCGCGTCCCAGGAGTCTAGGATCGGCTCGTCCGAGTCTTCTTCGTCGTCCCATTTCGATTTAGGAGCCAGCACCGACGGCGACTCGTCTTCTTCGTCATCTGGTGTATCAAGAGTTAGGAGTTGTTCCGCCAGCGTCCAGACCGCAAAGAACGAAGAACAGGAGAAAAGCACAACATACCCCAAGCCATTATGAATTACCAATTACTTATAAAGGACCTTTTCTCCTTTTATTCTCTTCAGTGAGTTCTTCTTCTCACAGACACACTCGCCCGTCTTCTTTGTCTATTCCTGATGACTTTTGCGTAAATTGGATATTCGTCCAGATCACGACTGAAAATGAAAAAAAAACTACACAAAACCCTCTGCTTACTTCTTACTTCCTACTACAGAACAGATTATATGGCAACAAATGGATTAAACAAAACTCTTATACAATAGTACATAACGCAATTTTTTAAGACATAAACAATGAGAAGGAAGAAGATTACTCCTTAGATTTCTTCTTCTTCTTCTTCTCCGGGCTGTCGTCGTCGCCTTTCCGCTTCTTCTCCTTCTTCTCCTTCTTCTCCTCATCGTCCTCGTCCTCGGCCTTCCGCTTCTTTTCCTTCTTCTCCTTCTTCTCCTTCTTTTCCTTCTTTTCCTTCTTCTCCTCTTTCTCCTCCTTCTCCTCCGGCTCCTTGGCCTCAACCTTAGCCTCGGCAACCTCCTCGATCAAAGGCTTGCTCTCCTCGCCCTCAGGAGCAGCCTGGCCGTTGGCGTTAAAGTCGACGTATCCCTTCTTCCATGTCTCAGGGGTAGCCTCGGTATTCCGGCCGTACTTGTCGAGCTTACCATCCGCCTTGAGCTTCTTCTTCTCGAGCGCGATAGGTCCCAGGCCCCATCTACGCGGGTAGGTGTCGCGCTCCATGATGCAGCGCTTGACCTTTGCCACGACGCCGTGGTCGCAGGTCGAGAGCTCGACAGTCGACATCTGCGCGATTCCGAGCGCGATGGCCTCACCCTTGGTGGTCATGAGCACGACCTCCTCGTGGACCTCGATGTCGGCCTCGTAGCGGAGCAGACCGGGCAGCATGAGCTTGGCGCCGTAGCAGACGGCGTTGACGGCCGAGTCCTTGACGACGATGCGCTTGTATCCGACCAAGAGCGACTCGAGCGGGCGGATCACGCGGCGGAGATAGGACTCGTCGCGGGTGTTGTCGTACGTCCACTGCGCGTCGAGCACGTCGTGGAGGGTGACCATGTCGTCGTCCTCGCCCATGGCTCCGGACCGCACACGGCGCAGCTCCTGCATGTGGCCTCCGACACCGAGAAGGAGTCCGAGATGGACGCAGAGCGTACGGATGTAGGTGCCGGCTTCGCACGAGACCCAGAAGACGCCGAGCTTGCGGTCGTTGTCAAACTCGATGAGCTTCTGCTCGTGGATCGTGCGCACACGCAACTGGCGCTTGACGGCCGAGATCAAGGGAGGGCGCTGGAAGAGCGCACCGGTGAGGGTCTCGAGCTGGCGCTGGAGGCCCTTCTCGTCCTCGAGAACGTCATGGAGACGGATGACGCAGACGTACTCTTTTCCGGCGCCCTGCTGCGACTTGACGAGTCGGGTGGCGCGGTCGATGCAGACAATCAGACATCCGGTGACTTTGGGGTCGAGGGTGCCGCTGTGACCGGTTTTCTCGACGCTGTGCTAGCTGTTAGTAGAGTATAAATTTCCAGAGAGAATGAGATGCTTACCGAAGGATACGCTTGACCCAGGCGACGACCTCGTGACTGCTAGGATTGCTCGGCTGTTGAAGTTAGCTGTAGTCCTATATAGTAGAAGAAGAAGAAACGCACCTTGTCGAGGTTAATGACACCGCTGCTGACATAACTCTTGAGATCTCTCTTGAGGGGAGTGCTTCCACTGTAGTGGCTGTGTTAGAACATATTGTGTGCAGACTGTTTGATATCAACGACGTACTTTGGAATGGGAGTGTAGTGACCTGAATGAGATACAGTCAGCATAAACATATCTACTAGAATAAATTCAATAACAATAAGATCAACATACCGGTACGAACGACGAGCTTGTCGTAGTTCTTGAGCAGAAGAGGCCAGCTCGTGGTATCGACGGAGGCCTGCACGTTCTCGGGCTTGATCACGAACTGATCGGCAGCAGAAGTAGAAGCCATTTCGCTATGTTTGGACTGAATAGTAAAGAATAGTCTCCAAAAGAGAGAAACAGAACAGAGACAGAGGTGAGGATGTGAAAATGTGTGCACTCGCTTTCGCAGGTGCTAAAATATACGCCCAAAGATAACTTCAGGCAGAGACAAAGATGTGAACGTCCAAAGTGCTCTTCTGTCTCTTTTTATCTCCAATCTTTTATCCCTCTGCAACTAACAGAAGAGAAAAGAGAAAAGAAGTTGTCGAGGAGAAGTTTGTGATTTTCAGTTTTCAATTTTTTTTTCTCTTCTTCCGAGTTGGGACAATAGAGTTTGGATGAAGACCCTTAGAATTGTAAGCACACAAGGCCCTTAGAATGTGAGCATTTCTTACTAGCGTTTAATTACTGTTTATAGGTGATATTATGTTATTGTATTGTTATTGTATATACATAAATACATGATACTTTCGTATCTTCGTCGTCTCATTGTTGCTCTGCGAGTCGCTGCTCTGGAGCAGAGCGAGAGCAGACATGTGCACTAGCCTTGACTAAGTGCCGGCAGAGACAGACGGCAGAGATCTAAATATCTAGATCTAGTGGCCGGGTCTGTTGAGACAGTTCATGACAACATATTCTTCATGTGGCTGTGGTCGTATAGTAGATATTGTCCAATGCGTAGCTGTGTCGAGCTGCTTGTGTTGTTGTGTTGTTGTGTTGTTGTAGGTGGAAGATAATGAGCTCAGGCAGGGTTAAGAATCATCGCCAACGAGCACCTTTGTCTGACCTCCTCGCTCTTCACAGTCTTCTTATCTGAGAAAGACAAAGAACCATTCTCAGAAAGCGGAGAGGAGAGCGAAGAGTCGGAGCAATAGCTGCTTCGAGGCGTGAGCATCATCATAGGCGGTGGTGAGAGCGGTGTGTATGAGATGTAACTCGGCGACTGCTGGGGCGTAGAAGAGCCAGCAGAGTACTGCTCCGGACTCGCAGGTGGAGTCTGCTGCTGTTGCATGAGTTGTTGTTGCAAGAGCAGTGGCTGTTGCTGTTGTGGTGATGGCTGTGATTCGAATTGTTGTGGTTGTGACGAGCGCTTCGAGTCCTTGCGCTGCTCGATGTGCGCGTTGCGTTTGTAGAGATCAAAGACTTTTCTGCTGATGTGTGCGATGTGATGTTCAGAGTAGGCCTGTTGATGTTAGTGAGTGTTTGTTTATGCAGTGATGGTGATGAAAGAGGAGAGCGTACCATATTTCGAATGACGGCTTTTCTGATGCCCTGGTTCACGTCGTCAAAGAGATCAACGCCGGGCTGCTGGCTGTGATATTCAATGATGTTTCTAATAGCTGTCAACAGTCTGAAATAAAAATGGAATAAAAACAAGACAAAACATACTCGCAGGTCCGTCTGATACCAGTCAACCGCAGCGTAATCGACGAGGTTGTCCTCAAGAAAGCCACGATATGCTGCGACGAACATCCCTCCATCTTCTTCTGCGTCCACAGATTATACTCCATCCGCACTCGTTCATAGAATCCCCGCGGAAGATAGGACTTGCTCGTCGCGTACGCAGGGTCGGCCTTGAACTGGAAGTAGAGCAGCAGCAGCTGGTAGTCCTCGTCTGCGCGCCACTTGCGGGTCTTGACTGTTTGCTTTGGGCTCGACATTGTTTACTGAGTAGATGTAGTTGTAGACGCAGTTATAGATGAGCAGGAAGTAGGAAGCAGGAAGCAGGAAGCAGGAAGCAGGAGCGGGGCGGTTTATGTTTGCTCGGCGCCCGGCAGCCCCCTGGCTTCTCCCACACACGCGCGCGCGAAAAAACGCGTCCGACCGCGCGACGCGTCGGCACAAACGCGTAAACGTGCGTGACTTGTGGCAGTAAACAAACCTACGCGCGCGCCACTGGGTACGACGATGGAACCTCCTTCATTCCACGCCTCCGCTTGCCTGTGCGGGTTTACCCCTTCGTCTGAGCCTGCCCCTTGCTGTCCACGCATAGACACATAACAAGAATAGAACAGGGATAGACAAGAATAGAGTAGAATACTCGTCAATAAACACATAATCACAGCTCATGTGAATCTCTACATTATCACATCAACTCGTCCAGTCACTGTTGATCATTCCATTCTTCTCACCGCCTCTAATCACATTATCATAACATCCTCTCACCGCCCAACCTTTAATTCATACAGCTCGCCCAGCAACTCCGCAATCGACCGCTGATCTCCTGGTCTTAGCGGGCCTGACAGCGCACGCAGGTACATCGTCGTAACCGCATTCTATATTTTCGTTAGCCGTCCTTCTCCTTCTCCTTCTTCATTCTCCTCATAACCATAACATGATCATATAAACAGATATAACTCACCTCCAATCGCGTAATCGAGTGCTCTAAATAAGCAGCCAGCGCATCCTCCCGCGTCCCCAACTCAGACACCTCCTGCGCAAGTACCTCAAACTTAGCCCACGACTCATCCACAAGCGACCCGCCGTTCAGGTACGAGCACAGCTTCTCCAGCCGCAGCGTAATATTCCGCAGCGAAATCACCGTCGCATACACCGGGTTCTCCCGCGTCGTCAGCGCATTGCTCGCCGCATTCCCGTTCGCCGTCGCCGTCGCAGTCGTCGTAACCGAACTTCGGCTCGCCCCCGAATTGTCCGGCACGTCGATCTTCATCCGCGCCGCTAAACTCTTTGGGTAAATCATCGAAATCAACTCCGTGTTCTCCAGCCCCTTCAACTTCATCTCACCCACAGTCTCCATCACCCATCCATACCCATGCAGCAGCTTCAGATCACGGTCTATCGCCCGCGCAAGCATGTCATCCCCAATTATCCCCGCCAGCCGCTCAATGTCCCCCTCCGCTTCCTTATACGCATCCTCTAACCTCTTTATCTCCGTCACAAAGTCAAGACTCACCGCGATCCGCCCTCCGTCTGCCACCGTCGAAATCCGCGCCGCCCGGTTCACCATCGGCCCAAAATAGTCCATCCGCCGAGTGATCGGATCCCGCTCGCACACCGGCGAGCCCCAGTGTATCCCCATCCGCACCGACAGCCCGCGATAGATCAGCGTGTTTTCTTCGTCCACAACCTCCGCGCCGTCAACACTGTCCGTGATCTCGGACGGCCATGGCGCGACCAGAAGCTGACTCTGAACTCCAAACGCCCACACCATCGCCGCCGCTGCCGTAGAAAAGCAAACCATAAACGCGTCGCCTTCGTTCTTCACCTCGTAGCCTCCCACAATCCGTAGCTGGCGTCGCATAATCGCATTGTGTATCTTGATCGCAGACCCCATCGCTACCGGCGACGTCTCCCACAGCAGCGTGGAGTTCTTGATGTCCGTAAACACCATCGCAAGCTCTCCAACTGGGGGTGACACCTCATCTCCTAGTCTCGCCAGTTCCTATATACCCAAAAGTCAGCTCCTCTACTCTTTACTTCTTCATTGTAGAAAATAATAGCACTCACGGCATCTTCCGGATAGTTGCGCGCGCGCCGTCGCTTCAATTGCGGAAACAAATCGTCGTCATCGACCGCTGAAAACGACCCCAGCGACGCTCCCTGCATACCCGCTCGCTGCCGCTGCAGCAGCTGTTGCTTACTCTTTCCCGAATCGCCCACCGCAACACACATCACAACAATCTTCTCCGTGCACCCGTACGCAATCGCCAGATCACGCAACTTCTGCGCCGCCCGCATCGGGTCATCGCGCTCCGAGGCCGCCACGTCGACAGCGGTCTGGTTGTCCATGTACTCCCACAGATTCCGGCTCGCGATAATCAGCATGTCGTCGATATCCAACAACTCGCACTCCACAATCGACGGCGCAGCCTGCACACACGGCACAAGATTAAAGTACCCAAACGATCTTGACACTTCAACCTCGCCATTCAACCGGCCCGTCTGCGACACAAACCCGCCTGCTTCTCGGATCCGGTCAATCTCGGGCGAAAACGCAGGCTCGTGCTTCTTCGTCAGCACTCTAAACTCGCGATCCGTCCGCGACAGAATCGCCCGTACGTCTCCCACGTTTGCAATATACAGCCTGTTGCCCGTGATGTACACAACCGTAGCGCACGCGCCCGTCTCCATATCCTTCGGCCCGATCGTCGGATCGTCGGCCGCATTACTAAACGTAAACGCAGACCGATCCTGATCCTCGTTGTCGCCCATCGTGATCGTCCCCAGATGCTTATTCAGCGACAAAAACGTCCGTCGCAGCGCAGCAGGAACTTGCTCGCCCTCTCTCAGGCTCGCCAGCTCGTTGTCGAGCTCGCCCGCAAACCTCTCCTGCACGTACTTTGCAATCTTGGACCCATGGTGATCGATCGGGCTGCCGTCAAACAGCGCGAATATCACTTCTTCCTCTTTACCCCGGAACCGCTCAATCACCATGTCGTTGTACGGCAGATGCGTGAATTTACCGAGCGTGTCCGACATTCCGTACGGCATCGAGTGCACCTCTGTTCCGGACGTGCGAATACGTCGGTCTTCGGACTGGTCCGGGATCGACGAGTTTGTCAGCGTAATGTCCATCAGTCCCAGCACGCGTAATCGCTTCAGCCTCGAGAAATCAGACAGGTCATGGTCGGATCTCGTGTTGGGCGTGGGTTTGATCTCAAGCCGTTTGTTTCCCGAAAGATTCAGATACTTGAGCTGCAGGTTGAAGTTCCAGTTCCAGTCGTACGGCCAGTTCGAAATGTTGTATTTCAGCGAGTTGCTGCCCACGTCAAGTACTTGCAGATCTCGAATCTCCGCAAGCTCGCTCGGGATCGTCAGAAGCTTGTTTGCGTTCAAATGGAAGATTTTGAGGTTCTTCATCTGCGTCAGGTCGTCGGCCGGCAAGTTTGTCAGATTGTTACCGCTCAAAAACAGCTCGCGAAGCTGCGTCAGTCGGCCGATCGATCCTAGAGGAATCTCACTCAGAAAGTTATATCCAAGATTGAGCACCACCAACTCTGTCAGGAAAGAAATCTCTTTGAAGCAATCGTCGTTCAGCTGGTTGTCAGCCAGATACAGATACTTCAGACTGGTCGCAAACGTATACGCCAGGCGCGAGCTCGAGACTGTCGAGTCCTTGCGACTGCCGGTTTCAGACGGCGGAAAGCCGGTCTTGCGAAGCGACGCGCTGCTGCTGCTCGTCATCTCTAGCGGGCCGCGGGCCGATGACTCTGAAATATTCGACGGTCTCCGACTGCTGCTGCTGCTTCTGCTGCCGCTGTTACCACTGCCGCCAAACTCGTTTACTTCTTCTGAGCTCGGGATCGCTTTCAAAGTGCCAGTCTCGGATGCCGAGCCTGTCGTGGAGTTGTTATGATAGACAAAGATCGGGAATGCCTCGAGATTGTTTGAGGATACGTTCAGGATCTCGAGATTGGCAAGCTGCCAGATCTCAGACGGCAGACTGCTGAGCGAATTACTGTGCACGTCCAGCTCTCGCAGCTCGACCAAAGATCCAATCTCGGGCGGCAGCGAAGCCAGACTGTTGCCCACGCAGGTGAACTTTGTCAATCTTTTGAGCTTGCCAATCTCGGGCGGAATCGCGCCAAAGTGATTTTTATCGAGATCTAGTTTCTCGAGATTCGGAATCATATCAAACAATCCATCCGGGAAACTCGACATCTTTGCGTTTGCGAGGTTGAGGGTTGTCAGCGTGGCCATCGTCATCGGGATCTGGAACCTTGTCACAGGGTTCTGGTTTAGATGCAAGACCCGCATCCGTCGCGCGTGTTTCTCAAGTCGCGAGACTGAGTTGTGCGACGAGCAAAAGACTTCGAGTCGTGGCAGGGTCATGATCACGTCGACGTTCGTCAGGTCGTTGTATCGAATATCGAGGAACTTGAGCGAGGTCAGGTTCTCAAACGTATTCGGCAAGACGCCGGTGAGCTTGTTGTTGGTAAACGCCAAAGTCTCTAGCGCACAGAGCTGGCCGATCTCGGGTGGCAGCTCGGATATGGAGTTGAAGGAGATATCGAGCTCGAGAAGGGTTACTAGATTGCAGACCTCTATCGGGAACTTGGACAGGTAGTTGAAGGAGAGGTTGAGGTATCGGAGATGGTGGAGATGCACAAGACTCGCGGGAAGTTGAGACAGGCAGTTGTTTTGCGCTTTCAAAGACACGAGTGCTTCGAGCATATCAAACTGAAAATCGTCGAGCGATTCAAGTCGGTTACTCGAGACATCGAGATAGTTGAGCTTGGTGGCGAAGACGATGCTGGACGGCACATGGGTGATTTCGTTTCCGCAAAACTTGATCTCCTGCAGGTTCACACACGATTGCATGAATTGATCTGGCAGGTCGAGCGAGAGATTGCTCGAGAGGTTGAGTTTGACGATCTCCCCGGCGTGTCTGTAGATTGCCTCGGGAAGAGAGAGCAGGTTCTTGCGAGTGAGGTCGACGTGGGTGTATTTGTGTCCGCTGGTCAGAGAGTCCTCAAATACCTATAGAGAGTTAACGAGTTAGTTGTGAGATCAAATCAGGATTGACAAAAAATCAAGACATACGTGATCAGCGGGCAAGGCAGTGACTGCGTCTATAAAGAGAAAGCGACATAGAAATCCGAGATCTTCGCGTCCGAGACCAGCGATCTGATCCTCGTCGGTATATCCGGAAAGCTCGAGCATGCGTTTCTGGAGCATGAGCGGTTTTTCATCCGGGTTGAGGATGCGCAGTAATCCGAGCCGCCGGAAGCCGATCTGGTAGTGAGCAGCCGAGGGAAGGAAGAATTTGCGACCGAGGATGGCGAGCAATTCGGTCGTAGTTGTATCAAGAGGACAAGAGACGGTCGAGAAAGTACCATCGGTGCGAAAGACGCGAACGTAGTAGGTCGACGAGGGCTTGAGGGACGCCCGGGGTCGAGGAGCGGCTTGCGGCTGCTTCTGGACAGCGTGATCATGGCCGACGTCGGAGTCAGCGCGCATGACGCCCCAGGACTCGGGGGGATCCCAGCCGGTGTATAAGACGGGCGTCGTGCGATCGATAGGAGAGGGCGCGACGAGGGTGTGAGGCGAGATGCCCGAGTCGTTGTAAGGCAGGCCGGCGTTGGCCTTGCGGTTAGAGGTGCCAGCGAGCGAGGTCGAGGAGGAGGCATTGCCGGCTTTGTTGTAGGTCCTGAGTTTTCGCGTCAAAATCGAGTGCTTTTTGTGTGTGTTGCAGTCCTGAGCAGCCCGCTGGATGTCGGGTTTGAGCACGCCGGTCATGTCGTCGAGATGGGTGTCGAGATAGAAGAGGTCTGGGTTTGTGTCTCTACGTGAGTAGGAGGATGCGGAAGACGAGGCCGCGGACTCTGCGATTGAGGAGGAGTCTGTGTCGGTGTGTCTGAGAGAAAACTCCGGGGGAAGCGCTGTTGCATCGGTGCGGTCGCGGTGTTTGTTGTTGTATTTGGAGAAGATCGCGGAGGTGTCGTTGGGGCCGGTGTAGACGGTTCCGTGGGGGGCTGGTGAGAGTTAGAGAGTAGTCGATTTGAAGAGATATTTAGATGTACAGTAAAAGAAGCAATAGCAGATTAAAACAACTACCAGAATCACTCCGAGAAGAAGAAAAGACATACGTTCGTGGTCACGGCGATGCATCAGCTTGGTGAGAAACCCGCCCTTGCGTCGGTCCCGCGATCCCTGCGAGTCGTCAGACGGCGGCCGCGACGAGGCCGCATCGTCGAAACTCATAATACGATAGAAAACAGGCCGCCGAAGACGAAGAACGAGGAAGCCGCGGAGTTGGAGGCGGTGAAGGAGAGCAACGAGCCACGAAGATGAGACTCGGGCGGAGAGCAGCAAAGGTGCGGCGGCCGAGCGGCTTGGGGGTTGTCCCAATTCGGGCAATGTTTACTTTAACGTGGATTTCACTTGTTATTGTATTTCTTTGATTCACCGCTTTTTGATGAATAGAGAGAGGTCGTCGTCTTCATCATCTTCATCATCATCATCATCATCTTCTTCTTCTTCTTCCTCTTTTTCTTCCTCCTCTTTACTACTCCTCCCCGGCGCATTCATCCGCACCTCCTTCCACTTATCCTTCAACTTCTGCACCCTCTCCTCCAGCTCCTTCTGCTCCTCAAACTCCTCCAGCAATGCATCCTGCAGCACCTCCCGGTCGTCAACACGTCTGCGCTCCTGCTTTTCCTCAACCTCCGTCGTCGGATCAGTAATTGACCCCTGCCCGCCGTAGATCTCTGGAGCTTGTTCGATCACTCCAGCGCCAGCAGCAATGTTTGTAGGCTGTCGTGAACCAGCACCACCCCTACTGCTCTCGTTTCCCCAGGCAGCAGCGTCTGATTCCGCAATATCCTTCTGGAACGCAGCCCATTCAGCGTCCAGATCAGGCGCGCTCGTGCCGTCGCCAGACTCTCTCTCCTTCTCCTCCTCTTTTCCTCCATTCTTGACTCTCTTCGCCTGTCCGTTCTCGCTGCTGCTCCGCTCCAGCTGCCTCTTCGCCTTTGTTCTCTGCGTCTCATCCCACTTCTTCTCGCTGCTCTTGTGCGTCGGCGTCGCGATGTGCATATTCCACTGCTGCTCGCTGCTCCCGATCATCAGCCCGCAGGCCACGCAGCGGATCCGCCGGTCGTCCGTGTACTGCGCCAGCCGGTGCTCGACCGGCTTGTTCTGCGCCGCCGCCGACTGTCTGAACAGTTGCTCCATGGTGAACTGAGTCGTGTTGGAGTAGCAGAGACCAGTGCACAATGACAAAACACTTCTTAGTGCTGAGATGTACTGCGACCCAGCTGTTCGCAGTAGATCTGAGCACCAACAGATTAAGTTGGGCTCATCGTCATCTTCTTTCCTCCCAAACAAATCCATCTCCGTCGCTGTTCACCATCGCCTTTGTAGACCTGCGCTGCGTAATCGCCTGTGATTGATCTTCTTTGTTCTTTTTTGTATCTGAAAGCCCTGCTCGAGCACGTATTACTACTCTGAGCTGCCTGAAGCTACTCAATTCCCCATGGCTGCTGAAATAGGTCCGTCAACCTCACCTCATCTCTCCTCATTCACTCCCTGATCTAACATCTTTCTCCCAGAACCTCGTCGATCCTCGCGAAGCACAAAAGGCTTTCATTCCGCGCTACAAAAAGAGCCTTCTCCAGAACCTGTCGCGGAAGCTGCGCCTAAAAAGCGCGCTCGATCGTCAGCACCAGCGCCCTCTCGCAAGAAATCAAAGGCCAAGAAACCGCTGAAAGACAGCAATTCAAGCGAACATGAAGAAGACGCAGACTACGACGAATCAGTCACCAGATGCGTCTGCGGTGTTGAAGAAGACGAGGATAAGCCTCTGATGGCCCAGTGCGAGAAGTGCGAGGTCTGGCAGCACACAGAGTGCACCATGGGCGTCACCGACGAGAAAGACGTCCCTGAACAATACTTTTGCGAGCAGTGCCGTCCTGACCTGCACACTTGGTATTTCGATCACAAGAAGAAGGAAGAGGAAGCAAAAGCGGAGCAGGCATCAAAACGACGTAAACCATCACCAAAAGAAAAACCTCCACCACAAACCTCCCGCCGGAAATCGTCTACCACTGTCCCACCCGCTCCAGCACCTGCTGAACCTGCAAGCTCAGAAAAACCGCGATCTATCGACTCGATCTCCGACAATGTACGCAAATCGGTCGCCAAAGCCCTCTTCGGTATTCTCCAAAAAGCAGCGACAGAAGCAGTCGCAAACAAGTCTCTCACATTATCCGGAGAAGGTGAAACCGCGTCAACATTCGCCGAGAGTCTGACTCTTGATATCGAGCACGCACTATACGAGCACTTTGCGACAAAAGAATCAAAAGACCCCGGCCACAGGTATCGCGACAAGTTCAGGACTATTTCGTTCAACCTCAAAGATGCAAAGAACTCTTCGCTGCGCGCTCGAGTACTTTCCGGAGAGATTGCACCGAATCACATTGTTGTCATGTCACCAGACGAGCTCATGAATCCTGAACTACAGAAACTGGCAGAAGCTGTGCGGAAGGAAAGTATTTCACAAAGCACCCTGCAAAAGACCGAGGCTCCGCGAATCAGACGAACGCACAAAGGTGAAGAGTTTGTCGGCGACGTCGATCCCCTACATCCTGACTCAAACACCCAGGTCGGCTCGACTGAAGAAGACTTAGACAGCAAGAGTCCTTTTGTTGGTGGAGGTGGTGGTGGGCCGAGCATCTCTGCCCACGCCCCTACTGACGACGATCGACGATCTGTTTCGCCATTCTCAAGCGGACGATCGTATTCGCCCGATTTCAGATCCGACTACTCGTCAGTCTCGCCGCGTGGCGATGACTTTGACATCGACTCTGTGCTGAAGCCGATCGACAGTCCGCCCTCGACTGCCGTGCAAGACCAGCACGCCGACCTTCCGCCGCTTGCTCCGCGTTCACCATCACCAGCAGGCTCTGGTTCAAAGCAGCAGATCCAGGACGCCGACATTGATCGACTGATCAACTCTGATATCGAAGAGGAGGACACTGCGCAAAAAAACGAGCCTGAAGATTTCGACTCAACCTACTCACCAACCCTCACAAAAGTCGACCTGACTGTCTGGAAAGGAACAATCAACATGCTCTCGGTCGCCACTTTTCACGCCAAAGGAGTCCAGGTCGGCGGCCCGGAGTTTGACGGCTACAAAAAGTCATGGAGCGACGTCGTCCCGACCGCGATCGATATCGACGGCCGTCTTGCGCGCGATCGCGCGTCAAGCTATCTGTTTAGCGTATCGCAGACGCGAGACCTTGTCGGCATCAAGTTTTCCCCGCAAAGTCCGCGCGGCCAAGACGGCTTCGACAAGCTGTACGAGTATTTCCGCTCCCGGGATCGCTACGGCGTCATGCGAAACAAGTTTCCGGCCGTCAAGGACGCGTATCTGGTTCCGTTGCAGCCCGGGGATGCGAAACCGGAGTTTGCGGATCGAATGTTGGGGTTTGATTTTGCTTCTGCGGTGACGGGACCGTGTTTGCTGGGTGTGTATGTCGTTAATAAGGGCGCTACTCGCGATCATGCGCAGCCGATCTCTGCGCACGGCCTGGCCCCGACGCAGGACTATAAACCGCAGCGCGCGGGATCCTACGATCTCGAATATGATCCTACGCGCGTAACACCGCCCCTGCACCGCTCCGCACCACCACCACAACAACAACAACAACAGCAGGCCTCGAATCCGGCTTTAGAAGCAACGATAAACTCGCTAGGTCTGCCGGCGGACGCGAGCCAGCTGCTGATTAGGATAATTCTGAACTCGCCCGAGGTGCTGGCGAATCCTGCGTTGGCATCTGATCCGCTGTATTTGATTGCCGTGGTTAAGAATTATCAGCAGCAGAACGGGGGAGTTTAGTTTAAGTTGATGACGTGTATTATGTAGTTGTTGGGTTACTAGGGATGTTGTAAGAATAGGGATTGCTTTTGTAATATAGACGATGCAGCTATCCTGCGCTTTTCACACTGCTCTTTTTCTCAGTTTTGTCCTTTCTAAACCTCTTGAGTAAACGCTGCTTCAACCCCCCTTTCTCTTTCTTGTCTGCCTCGATATCCTCCTCATAGACAAACCTCCTCACCAGAATATTAAATACGGTGCCAAACAGCAGGGCCATGACAGTGCTCGTCAGGATGATGACGTTATACGGCATACTGAAATCCGGAGTCGGTAGCGAGAGCAGTAAGCTCGAAGTGCGCATCGAGTAGGTGATTTCGTCGTTCTGAGACACGACGCGCAGGATGCCGGGTGAGACGTCGAAGCCGCGGTTGGCGTCGGGTGGATACTCTGCTAGGTAGATGAGCGTCTTGTCAAAGTCATAGGAGAGAGTGAGTGTGGAAGCGGCTGGTATTTCGAGAGTGAGTTCGAGATGGGTGCTGCGGACGCGCTCCATGAATGGCTTGTAGGTGATGTTTTTGATCGGATCTATACTGCTGAGGTCGAGCGTGTCTGGGCCGGAGAGATGAGTCGTCATCGACGAGAGGTATGGTTTCATGAACCACGGCAGGGTTTCAAAGTATGTGACGGTGATGGGGTCTGTAGGCGAAGGGTTTCGGATGATGGCTTGGATACCGCCGTGTTGTTGGCCGCGGCCGGTCATCGAGCGTTGTATGTGGACTGGGGCCGAGGTGATGGGGGATACAGAGGAGGTGTTGCTGCAGTCGAATGCCAGGTTGAATTCCTCGTTTTCTAGAGAGTGTTAGTGTCGCTGAAAGAAAGTAGTGACAGAAGTATATAGGATAAGTACCATTCAAGGAAAAGCATGCTTTAGATGCAAAGCTGCTCAAGACATTTCCACCATGCCGACTCAAACTCCACGCATCAGTGATGTGGGTGCAGATATTATATCCAGCGTTTTCACCCAGCTCGCTCGCTTCGGACTCGCCAACAGTCTCAAGCGCACACTTGCTCACGATCGGTTTTCCAAAGATCTCCGAGATCAACCACTTCACCGTCGGCGCAGTGGGCAGCGGGAAGCATTTCTCAGAGGAATGGTACGGCTTTGTTTCGTCACACATTAGATCTTCGACGCGGCGTGGGATAGGTACAGGCGAGTGTTTCTGGCGTTCAAGAGAACGGAGAACGTCGAGGACGACGTCGATGCGCTGCGACATGACTAGTTTGCAGCTGTCGTCGTCGCAGTCGGCGGTAAAGTCGAGGGCCATGGACTGCCATTTCGAATCAAAGATCTTGTGGCCGTCGAGGAGGCTTGAGATGCCGGCATGGCCTTTGCAGGGGAGAAGTTTCATGAATGGAGTCAGGTTCTCTGTGCAGACGGATTCGCTTGGAAGGGAACCGTGGAAGAGGTATTTGTTTGAGTCTAGAGAGGGAGCAGTCGATCGAAGGATGGTCTTTGTCGAGTCGACAAAGTTGAGCGAGGCGCAGAAGAGGCCGGAGAGCGCGTTGACGAGTTCATACCATCGTTTCTCGGCTCTGGTATAATATTAGTAATTGAATCTGTAGAAGAGACTTGGAAGACTTACTCTGCCAGATCAGCACCATCGACCCAGGCCCAAACCTCGACACCGGTGCCGCCAGCGTAAGCACCCTGCTCCGGCAACGAGCCCCACTCCGACGCATCCCACCATCCCTGACTAAAGCGCAGATGGATCTCCGTCGCATGCGAGCTGCGGATGATCTGACCGACGCTGCGCGGGAAGAGTCCGTAGTGGGATATGTCGTCGGGGGTAGGCGCGGACTCGGACGCGAGCGAGAAGGAGAAGGACGCGAGGAGCGAGTTGCGCGGAAGCGGGCGCAGATCGAGCTTTTCTCGGTACGCCAGCGCAGACTGCAGCAGCAGCAGACACGCGACGAGTGTTCGCAGCAGCATCAGAGGACGATTGTGGTGAAGCAGAGCAGAGCAGAGGAGCAGAGCAGGAGATGTTTACTGATACTCGATTGAGTGAGCAGCAGCCGCATCTGCCACGTGCTCCCACGTGACTCCACGTGACCCCCGAACTGACAGGGGCGAGGCGATAAACGAGCAAAGGCGGCCGCGGTCTGGGGCTTCTTTTGGCAACTTTCAATCCGGGATTTACAGGAATTGGCAGCCGGAACAGCGCTGATTGAGTAATATTCGAGTTCTGCAGTGCTTGTTTACTGGTTTTAGTTGTTTTATTCTCTGTTTTGCACGTTCAGACGCATTTCAGTGGCAGCAGCAGCAGCAAAACAATCACCGCCGCTCTTCACCATCACCAACGAAAGAATAGAACAAGACTCAAACAAACAAACAGAAACAGCACCAACAATGGATCAGGAACCGGCAACAGATCTCAAATCAAAAATCAAACGGTACCCGTCCGCGCCGTCGTTCTCGAAAGCGGCCGCTGCTGTTCGCGGCAGACGCCTCACAACAACCGGAACTCCGCCAACTGTTCACGAACTTCCGCCGTCGTCTGCAAATTCCTCTCAGTTTCATCCTCCGTCGACCTCGACCTCCGTCTCGGCTTCCTCCTCGAGCGCATCAAACTCCTCTCCCCGGATCGAGTCCGACTCGTCCTTCTACCTCTCCACCCCGCCGCTGCCTTCCTCCGCCCTGACCCCGCAGCTCCCAAATACCCCCACCACCCCCGCCGTCCCGCGCACCGTCAGCTCGAGCAGGCGTTCTTCGGGCAGAACCGACTCGGGCAGGTCCGGAAAGTTCAGTTTCAGCTCGTTCGTCTCGTCCATCAAAGGCGGCACCGCGCCTGCAAAGTACGATAAAGCGCTCGAGATCTCGGGCCCATACAACACCCAGCATGTCACCCATGTCGGCTACAATCTGCAGACCCGCGAGTTTACCGTATGTTCAATTATGTCTATCTAACTGTTTCTTCATCATCTCTAACATCATCCAGGGCCTTCCTCCCGCCTGGCAGAAAATCCTCGCCGACTCTGGCATCTCCCAATCAGAGCAAGAAAGCAACCCACAGGCAGTCATGGACGTCGTCGCCTTCTACTCTGAGATTCAATCCCAGCGCGCAGACGACGAAATCTGGCACAAATTCGACCACGCGCGTCACCAAGACATGGCCAGCTTCCCATTCTCTCCATCTACGCCGGCCTCTCCCGCCGCCTCGCAAGTCCTGCAGCAGTACAATCCCCCGCCGCCCCGCTCGCCTCACTTTCCTCGACATACCGAGGGCTCGTTCGAGAACCCTCGACCGGCTCCTGCTCCGCCGCCACGAAACAACAACGGTCTTGTGCCCAGTCGGCCTGCTCCGAAGCCGCCGGCGTCCAGCAAGGCACTGCAGCAGCAATTTGGTGCTCCTCAGTCGCCGTCATCAATCGGCTATCCAAAGTCTCAGCCGGGCTCTCCATCGCCTACAGTCACCAGAAATACATCAATTCGGTCGATCTCCCAGCCAATACCCTTCGGCAGTAGCAACAGTACCGTCTCCTCGCCATCGCTACACAAGCAATCCTCGCCGAATCTGCAGCTCGTTACTCAAAAGTACCGCGAGAAAGAGCTGCCTTCCGAGCCACTTGACCAGTCCCCACTAGCGCCTACTCCCGCTGTTGAGCTCGCGCCATCGCCTGAGCTGGAGAAACCCGCGCAGTCTACCGAGAATCTCTCGTTAGATGCGACAATGGACAACTCTACTGATTTGCTGCAAAAGATGGTGGCCGAAGCTGCGCAGACTCAGACACCTGCAAAGTCTGAGCAGCAGCAGCAGCCGTCGCAGCCACAACAGCAGACTACACCTATACTCATGCAAGGCGATGTACTGGCAGAGTCGCCGCGACGAGTACGACAGCATCATTCTCCACGCGCGCATCAGAACGGGTTCAACAAGGGCTCGTCGACGACCACAGACCCGTCGAAGGACTCGACCGTCAAGGACATGGAGCGCCAAGCAGCGGCAGCACGAAAGCGTGAGCAGAAACGGATACGAGATGCCGAGCTGATAAACCGGCTTACTGCGATCTGCACAAAGGGTGATCCCACAAAGCTCTACCGCAGTCTGCGCAAGATCGGACAAGGTGCTAGCGGAGGCGTGTACACCGCATACCAAGTCGGCACAAACCTGTGTGTGGCTATCAAGCAGATGAATTTGGCGCAGCAGCCGCAAAAGGATCTGATTATCAACGAGATATTGGTCATGAAGGAAAGCAAGCATCCAAATATCGTCAATTTTATAGATAGTTATCTATACGGCGGTGATCTATGGGTTATTATGGAGTATATGGAGGGCGGCAGTCTGACAGATGTGGTGACATACAACATGATGTCTGAAGGCCAAATAGCTGCCGTCTGTCGCGAAACACTATTCGGACTGCAACATCTTCATTCCAAGGGTGTCATTCACCGAGACATCAAATCCGATAACGTGCTCTTGTCTCTGACCGGCGAGATCAAACTCACAGACTTTGGCTTTTGCGCTCAGATCCAGGATACTTCTGTGAAGCGGACGACCATGGTCGGAACCCCATACTGGATGGCCCCCGAGGTTGTCTCGCGGAAAGAGTACGGACCGAAAGTCGATATCTGGTCTCTTGGAATCATGGCCATCGAGATGATCGAGGGCGAGCCTCCGTACCTGACAGAATCACCTATGCGAGCACTCTACCTCATCACCACAAACGGCACTCCGGATCTCAAAGACCCAGGCGCACTCTCGACAACCTTCAAGGCATTCCTCGGCTGGGCATTACAAGTCGACCCGGATCGTCGCGCGTCGGCGGCCGAATTGCTTGAGCACCCGTTCCTCAAGTACGCTGAGAATCTGAGAACGCTCGCGCCACTCGTGAAGGCGGCTCGGCTGGCAAAGTTGCAGGAGCAGAATGCTAGCTCACATAAAGCAAAGGAGCAACAGCAGCAGCAACAACAACAGCAGCTTCCTCAGTCGCAGCATCAGCCTATTGTGCAGAACGTATAGCTCCATCCTATGTGATGATGCCACTGCTCCACTCCCATCTTTTCCTCTCCTCCTTTCTCTTTCTGCTTTTTCTGCTGGGGTTACGATAAAATACAGGCGTCTTCTATTTGTTTATCATGCTTTTTGTTATTTACGGATGAATATTGCTGTTCTTTGTATTTTGTATTTTGTGTCTTCTACAAAGCAAATAAGGTTTAAATAAAAACTCTGATTCACCACAAATTTTTTTTAATAAAAAACCAGATATTCCAGTAAACTGCCTCCCGCAATCCACCGATTCTTTTCCACCTGTGAAAGCTGAACAGCGATAATAACCAGCAAATCAACACAAACAGAAGAAAAGAACAAGATGTCTGAACAAGCTGTTGACGCCGCGGCCGAGACGCTGGCAAAGACCTATCTCGACGAGGTGACGGGTGAGCAGGTCTCCAAGACCGAGCTCAAGAAGCGTCAGAAGGCTCGTGATTTGGCTGCTAAGAAGGTATTTATGCATTATTTCTACTTTGTAAATTTAGAAGATATGATTTACTGACGAATTGTGGTGTAGCAAGCAAAGGCTGCTGCTGCTGCTGAGAGCAAGCCTGCGGGAAAGAAGGACGATGAGTTGACCCCAAATGTGAGCAACCTCCTACAGTCCTATGCTCTTCACATCCCAATACTAATTTCTACCACAGCAATACTTTGAGATCCGCTCGCGTGAGATCAACGCTCTCCGCCAATCGCACAACCCGGATCCGTACCCGCACAAGTTCCACGTCACGACCAAGATCGGCGAGTTCACCCAGAAGTACGCCAACCTGACCCGCGGCGAGACCCTTCCCGAGGTGACGCTCGCGGTCGCGGGCCGTATCTACGTCAAGCGTGAGTCTGGCTCGAAGCTCAAGTTCTACGATCTCCGCGCCGAGGGCGACGCGATCCAGATCGTTTGCCAGGCGCAGGACGCGACCGGCGACTTTGCGGCCATGCACGAGCATCTCTCGCGAGGAGACATCATCGGCGTCAAGGGATACCCTGGTCGCACGCAGCCGCAGCGCGGAGGCGAAGGTACCGTTTCCCTGTTTGCGCGCGAGGTCGTGCTGCTCTCGCCGTCGCTGCACATGCTTCCTACCGACCGCTACGGATTCAAGGACCAGGAGAGCCGCTACCGCCAGCGCTACCTCGATCTGATTATGAACAACAGCACGCGCGACAAGTTCATCGTCCGGTCCAAGATCATCTCATACATGCGCCGCTTCTTTGACAGCCGGGGCTTCGTCGAGGTCGAGACGCCGATGATGAACATGATTGCCGGCGGCGCGACCGCCAAGCCCTTCGTCACGCATCACAATGACCTCAACATGGATCTCTTCATGCGTGTCGCGCCCGAGCTCTACCTCAAGATGCTCGTGGTTGGTGGCATCGAGCGCGTATACGAGATCGGCCGCCAGTTCCGAAACGAGGGTATCGACATGACCCACAACCCCGAGTTCACCACCTGCGAGTTCTACGAGGCCTACGCCGACTACAACGACCTTATGGACACCACCGAGCTGCTCTTCTCCGAGATGGTCAAGGAAATCACTGGTGACTACAAGATCAAGTACCAGCCGCAGGGCCCCGACGGCATCACCTACGACATTGACTTCTCGCGCCCCTGGAAGCGAATGGACATGATCCCCACGCTCGAGGAGAAGCTCGGCGTCAAGTTCCCTCCCGGCGACCAGCTCCACACCGCCGAGACCGGCGAGTTCCTCAAGTCCGTGCTCGACAAGCAGGGCATCCAGTGCCCGCCGCCGCTCACCAACGCGCGCATGCTCGACAAGCTCGTCGGTGACTTCCTCGAGGACACCTGCATCAACCCCACGTTCATCATGGGTCACCCGCAGATGATGTCTCCTCTCGCAAAGTACCACCGCTCCGTGCCCGGTATCTGCGAGCGTTTCGAGCTCTTCGTCGCGACCAAGGAACTTGCAAACGCCTACACCGAGTTGAACGATCCCTTCGACCAGCGCCAGCGCTTCGAGGAGCAGGCCAGACAGAAGGCCCAGGGCGACGACGAGGCCCAGTTGGTCGACGAGGTCTTTTGCACTGCGCTCGAGTACGGTCTCCCGCCTACCGGTGGATGGGGCGCGGGTATCGATCGCTTGACTATGTTCTTGACCAACAGTCATACCATCAAGGAGGTCTTGCTGTTCCCTGCTATGAAGCCTGACGTCAATCCCCCTAAGGAGGAGTAAATATTGTCTTGCGTTTGTTTTAGTTTAATAAATTTGCAATATATTCAGCGTGTAATAAAAGTAGCTACAACACAGAGAGTTTCCTCGTTAGTAAATCAGGTCGATATAATAATGTTTCTGAGTAAACAACTACACATCTTAGTCTTTCTCAGGCTTATTCTCGGTCTCCTCAACGAGCTCGACATGTAAGCCCTTCTCGCGCATCTTGGCCATGATCTCTCCAACCTGCTGCTCAACCTCGACGTCCCGACTGCAGTCTTATCAAACACCTGCGCAATCTCCTCGAGCGTATGTCCTCGCGTCTCCGGATAGGCCAAGTACGTAGTCAGAATGAGGCAGACCAGGATCGCCAGAAACACAAAGTAATACTTCCACCCGATCTTACCCAGCGCGATCGAGTTCACAAAAAGATTGAAGATCAAGGCTAGATATGAAGCTACCTGCACGACAACTAGGCCGCGCGCGCGGTTGAGGTAGTTCCAGATCTCGGCGGGGTATGCATACAGAAGCGGCGTGTAGGCAATGTCGTAGAAGCCGTAGTATATGAACAAGAACGGGATCATCGAGAGTCCGATCGCGTTGTTGCCCGTGTTTGCAAACGATCCAGAGAGGGAAACGTGATCATGACGTACGAAAACAGCATGCCGACGCCAGACGTGAGGAACAGGAGTCTTCGCCCGGCGAAGTCAACCAAGATGGCCGAGAGCACGGCGCAGATCAAGTTCCATAGCTGCAAAAAGCCGTTGATTAAAGTCTGCTTCGTCACCGACGTGATCCCCACCGACCGCAGCACGATCGAGAGGTAATAACTCACGACGCCGGCGCCGTTCCATTGCCCAAAAATGCCGAGCGTGATGGTGATAAACAGCGGTGCCGGTTTCCGGGCGTGCTCCACAGATTAGACCAGGTAGAGTTCTTGGCCGCGAACTTCTCCATCTCGATCGCGCGACAGATCTCCTCCATCTCAAAGTCGACCAGCAACGAGTTCGCATCGCCGCCCGCGTGGTACTTTGTCAGGACTACACGCGCCTCGGCGTAGCGGCCTTTGGAGATCAGCCAGCGCGGCGAATCGGGGATGCGCAGGGTGTGGATCAGGACTAGGAGAGGAATAGCACATTGCAAGAGCGTGGGCACACGCCATCCCCATGCGCCGAGATTGCGAGTGCCGAAGGTGACCCAGGCAGCCAGCAACGATCCGACATATTAGTTGCAACTAAGAGAAGAGTGAGTGAGATGCCGCTAGAGTCGAAAGGTATGGAACGTACTTATACAGCGAGGTCACGCGCGCGCGGTGCGTCGGATATGAGATCTCAGCAATAGTAAGCGGAGCACCCATGGTAAACGAAGCACCGAGGCCAATAAAAAACCTGCCGATGATAAACATCGCGACGTTCACAGACCCAGCTCCAATCCCTGCGCCCAAGGAGATGAAAAAGGTCGAGATGAGCATCGGCATCTTGCGACCGAATCGCTCGGTGAGATAGCCGATTGCAGACAGACCGAGAAGCCCGGCAATCGAGTTGATTGCGTTGACAAAACCTAGCCAACCGCCGGTTGGGTAGTTCATGAATTCCTGCCAGTCCTCGAGAGACTGAAGACCGTTCATGAGCGCGCCGTCGTAGCCGGTAGCGGCGGAATAGGACATGCAGACGAGTAGGTAGAGGTTCAATCTGAGAAGATGAGATTGACGATACCAAGGCGTCTCTTCATCCGGAAGAAGCTGCAGGTTTGTTAGCTTTGTAGAAGGAGAAAATGACAGCAACAGGTATCATACAGCTGCCAGCTCGTCTCCGACGATGCGCGCGTTCTTGCGCCTTGCCTCGCTGATCTGGGTAGTTTGCTCAGACTCCATTTGTTTTCGCACAGAAGAATGAAGAAGACAGACATGACACTAACGAGTAAACAGAGATATTTATACAGATCAATAACTAGAGATGAAAAATTTTTAGAATCGCGAGACGCAAGAGAAAGCGAGCAGCCTGCGGGGAAGACGCGTCGAGGTCGGTCTGATTCGCGGGGTCGCTTGGCACGGGCGTCGTGGGGTGGTGATGGATCCACAACAGCTGATCTCAAATTTTTTCATGTTTGAAATGAGCTTGTAAACGAGGTCTCAAATGGCACAAGATGCACGGAGAAGAGGGTTAATGTTGGTGAAGCAGTTTTTAAGATCAGATACATCTCGCTCATCACTACTTCCTCCCGCTCTCTGCCCTGATTCTCTAGTTGATCCTCTTGACTCCAACAATCCCAGCAGAATACAAAAAAACGGAGGAATGGAACAGAATGGCGGCGTTCGGTAGCTACAGAAAGCTTAAGACAGCCAAGCAGGAGCAATTAAAAGCCTCTGATCAGATAGTCCGGCCAGAAAAGAGTAAACAAATCAAGAAAAAAGCGGAGAAACCGCAGTAATAAGATTCCATTTCGATTATAAACCAAATATAATAGCAATTCTAATCTATCGAGTCGTCGATCTTTGAATGATTGCGTACAGGTTAGAAAAGGGAAGAAAAGGCCTCGTTTTCCGCTTGGCATTTCCATTTTGGGACTTGCGAGCCGAACGCTGCAATTTATACGGCGGTCCGACGGACCGGCTGGCCGCGTATCGGAAAATCCAAAGTTCCGTCTGTGTACGCAATACGCAAGAAATTAAGAAGAAAAGAGGAGAGAGAAACAATATGAGGAAGAAAAGAGGAGGAGGAGGGGTGGTCTACTTCAGAAACGCTACCTGATACGGCAATCATAGTCCGCCATATTCCTCTTTAGCAACACTACTTCAGTCAGATTCGAAGAAACCAGCACCACTCACTATTGGAGACGAGAAAGTATGAGATGAAAATTTCAACGAGCTCTGCAGCAACTGCGGGGATTATCAAACAGTATGGCCCCGCAATGAGACGCTAGCAATTAAAGTAATGACGACGGCCAGAGCAATAACAATATCACTTTTTTAAATTGTCGTTCTTCTCCTTCTCCTCATCCAAGTAAAAGCTTTTTTAAAACTATCACGATAGAGGTCCGCTGTGACGAAGTCGCGTTGTCGCGCGCCGTAGAGATGTCATTTAAGGACGCAATGAAGGGGATAGGCAATTTTCAAGGTTGGACGTGGAAGTGGAAGTGGAAGCACAAGTGACTAGGAAGATAGTACTTGAGGGTTGGTTACCCAGAAGAATAGGTAAGCCAGGATTTATATACTACTCTGCTGACTGTCTCGTTCTATTCTCTCGTCAGAAAGAGTCAGTCTACTGGTCGAAAGAAGCGAGAATGCCAGACCTTGTGGGGGAAGATTCCTAGGGATGAGTGGAGATTGTTTAATGTAGGAGAAATGTAGGAGACGACTTGTAGGAGAGGTTTTAATGAGATAGCAGAAGCAGAGTACTCGGGAAGAAGCAAGGAGACTCGAAAAGGTAATATTCCTGAGGTGAGGCCTGGATTGCCAGCCTCGCTGCCTCACGACACTGGCGCCGGCAATATTAATACAATCACGACAGCGCAAGTCATCTGAACAAGCGTCTTTTCTAGCAACAAATATATATCTAATATGTAATGTGTTGTCTGCCATAGTCATCTAAAACAGTACAGATACTTTATTCTGGCTTTGACTGGTTTAGAAAGGAACTAGGCAAAACGACTCTGTAAGCTCGACGATATAAAGGACCTTTCATTAAAGATATAGTGGTGCATACTCCTGAACTTGACTGCCGTTAAAACAAGAAGCATGAGCTCGGCAGTAACTACGGGGAGTATCAAGCAGTATGGTCCCGCGATGTGACGCTAGCAATAATTAATACAGTCACCTCAGCCAGTGCAATAACAGTATTAGTCTGCAATGTCGACGTTCTCCTGCTCCCCCTCATACGCCAGTTTGATACCCAGCCCATCCAACACGGCTTCTACCTGGTCTCCGAAAACTCTCTCTGTAATCCTATCAAAACCACAGATAGCAAATCGCGCGTCCTGAAATGTCGTGAGGTTTGCCAAGTACTGCTTAAGCAACGACTCCATCTCGATATTTGTTGCAGGTCGAACCAAATGCTTCCTTAAACGTATATCTTCAATCAAAGTCTTTATCATCAACATCGGTATATCTAATCGCGTTCTTCTGAGGCTCTCAGAGTCGGGATCTCTGAACAGAAATAAACTCGACGACATGTGGGGATAGCACGGCGTGACTACGCTCGTAAATTGACTTGCATCCTGAATATCTGTCGACAGAAATCCTGAAAATTTCCTGAACCATTCTGAAGACGCGAGCGGCCATGATCCAACGACTATCTCTCCCGGCCGCACCAAATAAAATTCAGAGAGCTGTAAGAAAAAGAATGCAGAGGATGCGGAAGTAAGATTTTTACAGCCGCTCACATAAAACGTGATATTGCACCGGCACACATAATTCTTGGGGTCTTTTGTGAACATTTCCCATGACCGTTTTCGAGACAGATTGAGCAGCTCCAGTATGACCGAGTCCGTGACGCAGCTCGTACGTGTAAGGTCCAGGACCCTAAGACTGTCCGGTGCTGATCTAATGAATTGCCAGAGGACCGACGTAGTCAGCTCGGTATTGTCAGAAATATTCAGTTCTTTTAGATATCTGCACGAGTGCATAATACACAGCAGCACCTCATCGGTGATCCCTTTCATGTTCCAGGCGGATATCTTTTCAATTTTCGGAGTCCACCGGAAGAACTGCGACAGTCCAGTAGCGTCTTTCCAACTTGAGAGGTCTATATACGTGAGGTTTGTCAGACTACCTCTTAGTCTGTTCCATATTGTTGCACCATACGGATTTTGGCAGAGCGACAGATGTAATCTTTTCAGTTTGAGGGGCGACGGCGATAGTGTGTTAGTTTGCACATTCAAATCTCCAAGGATCCTAAACAAACCTTCACGATCGAATTGGCTACCTTGCAGTTCAAGATATTCAAGCGTCTTCAGGTGCTGGCGGATCAATTCCTGAACTATTGGAAAATGAAGCGACTTGAGATCGGACGGCAGGCGAAGATTGCGTAGTTCCTTTGGCGCTCGAAGAAGGAGGATAGTACACTCAAATTCGTCATCTTTCCTTGTGTACCCGAAGCTGTAAGTGAGAAAAAGAGAATGCAGATTTGTCAAGTAAGGTGCCAGGCGTTTGGCAAAACGTTTTGTCAGACGTTTAGTAGAGTCGAGAGTCAGCGAACGAAGAGTTTCTTGGCAGGAACTGACAATTTGAAGGACTGTACGTTGGTTTTGGATCGAGTTTAAGCCGAGCTTCAGCTCGACGAGGCGACTAAATGGCGGGAAGGGCCCGTTCACGATGATACTATAACTCAGGGATGCAACATCAAAACAGCGCACGACCGGGGAAATCCTGCGGAGCAGCTGATTGCATGTCTTCGTGGTGAACAGCGTAGCATAAATCCCCTCATCACTAGAGAGGTATATCGAGTTCGTGTCCAGCCGTGCATTTCCTAGTCGATTCCAGCGCCGGTTGACCTGTGGAAATGTTGTTAATCTATGTATAGCAGAGAGACAGAGGGAAAGAGAGGGAGGATACCCTAGTACACTGTGCCACGGTGAAGGGGCCGCAATACGCAAATATTATGAGTAGGACCTCGTTCGATAAGTGCTCGATTGAGCAGCTACTCCGGCTCGTGTCGCCGGTCGAGGGGTCCTTTGTTGGTCTCGGAGGATACCAGGTGAGGCCTCGAACGACGAACTTGTTCTTCGACATTGTTTCTTGCTTGTTGCGGGTGTCGAGATGATAACGAGAGGATGAGAGGAGCCGAGGTTTATAAGATGCAACTTGGATGTTTGCGGTTGATTTCAAAAGGAACTTTCTTCTGCTTTAGCTGATGCCTCCGTTCACTATTTCGATCCAGGTGGTGATGCTATACTAGAGTTGAAGACTCTTATGGGAAGTTGGAGACATACAAGAGAGGGGGAGGAGAGGCGAAGAAGAAATCTGGTGGTTTTGAGTCTGTCGGGGTGCGTGCTACGTGTACCCATAACACAGAATCGGACAGCTCAGTTAATTAATTATTACCTGAGTGTCCTCAACTCTTTAACCTAGTAAAAGCGCTTCTAACACTATCATGACTTCAAAACTTCGTCATAACCTAGCCTAGCTGTTTTTTTTTGGTTCATATGGAGTAGAGATATAAAGACGATATCAGCATTGTCGTCACCGGAATAATATCTCTTCTAAAGGTCAGCTTCCTCCTGTTTCTTCTCGAGAAGACCAAACTTGGTAGCAAACTTATCCAACTTGATACCAAACCTATGCAACTCGATCTCTACCTTCTCGGGGCTAAAAGCCTTATACGCAGTCAATCTAAATCCACGGATAACGAACCGCGCGTCCTTGATTGTCGTAAGCGCGTCCAAGTACTCCCAAAACAAACACCGCAGTTTCATCTCTAGTGAGAAGTACCGTTCCCGATAACTTTCATCGCCCTCTAAAATATTCCTCATCTTGAGAGCTATATTCCTCCGCATGGCTCTATGCTCCTCAAAGCTAAGAGCTGTGTGACACTCACAAAATCGTGAGGTCATTATAGGATAGCACGACTCGACTACGCTCGTCAACTGACTAGGATCCTGAATGTCTCTCGACAGAAACCTTGTGAATTTACTGATCTGTGGCAGCGACGTCAGCGGATGTGAGCCAGAGTCTGCCTCATCCGGCCGCACTGGGTAATATTCAAACATCCGTAAGGCGTAGAACACAAAGGCGACTTCAGTAACATTGTCACAGCCGTCTATAGCGAGTTCAAAATTGCACCGAGACATGAAATTCTTGGGATCTTTTTTGAACAGCTTCCATGACTTTCTTCGAGACAAATCGAGAATTTCCAAGACGACAGAGTCTGTGACGGCTTGCACCTTTCGAAGATCTAACTTCTCAAGACTGTCCGGCGCCAATCTGATGAACTGACTGAGTCCCATCGTAGTCAGCTCGGTGTTGCCTTCAACATTCAGTTCTCTCAAAAATCTGCACGAGCGCGCAAGACACTGCAGGCCCTCGTCGGTTAACCCTGCCATGTTCTTGGCAATTATCGTTTCAAGTTTCGGAGTCGACAAGAAGAAGGATGCCAGTCGGTCAGTGCCCTGTAAGTCATCACCGATATCCGAAAGATCTAGATACTTTAGGTTTTTCGCGCGTGCTCCGATATCATCCAATGCTCCTGGGTCATTAAAAGCTGACTTGCAGAGTGACATATCCAGCCTTTCCAGTTTAAGTGGCGAGAGCGTTCGGCTGTCAGACCTACCTAAAAAGATCTCAGCAACATCGTTTGGTCCGAACGTAGAGCCATGCAGTCCGAGATATTCGAGCGTCTCCATGCGCGGGTGGATTGACTCGTAGATCAGATTTTCGCTATAATAGTCGATCCAGCTCGGTACGCGCAATCTGCGCAGCTCCTTTGGCGCTTGAAGAAGGAGCATACTATTTTCAAAGTCATCCCAGGTGCTAGTCTCGTAGCTCGAGAAAGTTCATGCAGACTTTTTAGGTAGGGCGCCGAGCGTTTGGCGAACCGTCGTGTCTGGCCGCTAATGGATTCGAGAGTCAAGGATCGAAGAGTTAATTGGCTGGAACTGACAATTTGGATAACTCCTTCATAGTCGCGCAACGAGTATTCATCGAGAGTCAGCTCCTCGAGGCGACTAAATTGCTGCAATGGCCCCCTCAAGTGGTGTTGTTCAAGCATAGTTGAAAGATCGAGTCGGCGCACAACTGGTGCGATACTGGCGATCACTCGGTTGAATTTCTCGTTGGAGACGCGGGCAAAACAAGGCTTTTTTTCACAAAAGTATTCCCAGTTCGCTTCCAGCGCTGCTTTCCCTAGTCGATTCCAGCGCCGGTTGACCTGTAGAGTGTTGTTAGTATACAGATGTCAGAGACACAGAGAGAACAAAAGAAAATATACCATAGTGAAGCGAGTGATATTGTAGGAGTCGCAATAACTAAATATATCGAGCAAAACCTTGTCCGATAAGTGTTCGATCGAGCTGCCACTCCTGTATGCGTTGCCAGTCCAAACATCCTTCGTTGGTTTCTGCGAAGTCCAGGTCTGATCGCAAACAAGCTCTTCGAAGCGACTGAATTGCGTGTATTGCCCCTTGAAGAGTTTCGCCTCAATGCTGAGAAATGCATAAAGGAGGCTGCGAGGTATCGGGGCGATTTTTTGGATCAGTCGCTCTATTTCATATTTAGGTAGCCAGCGGAAAGCGGACTCCTCATCGCCAAAGTCTGTCCAGTTCGTGTTTAGAAGGGTTTCTTTTGCTAGAGAATCCCACCGCTGGCAAACCTGTACATGGTTGTTAGATATAAATAGCAAAGATACGACGAGCGGGAAAGAAAATACCTTAATACACTGTGTGATGGTGTAGGGGTGACAATAGGAAAATATCTTGAGCAAGATATCCTCCGATAAATCCTGGATTGAATGTCGATCGTACGAGAAGCCGTCGCCGCCAGCCCGAGCGTGCTGGTTCGGCCCCGGACAACACCAAGTGAGATCGCGAACAACGAACTTGCTGTTTGACATTTGTTTCCAGCTGGTCGCGGGGATCGAGATGATAACGAGAGGAGGAGAAAGATAAGACGTTCAGGTTCAGCAGTTCAGGGGTAGATAGGTATTTATAGGTGGGTTTGAGCGCAATTAACTTTCGCTTCTGCTGTTGCTGCTTCCTCCGTTCACGATTTCAGTTCAGGTTCAGTCAGCAGTTCAGGTCTCAGTCAGGTGGTAATTCTCAATAAGAGGAAGAGAAGGAGGTGATAGACTTATATAGAAGGTTGATGACATATAGAGAATGAGGAAGAGGAGGAGTGGTGAAGAGGTTAATTTGGCGGCATTGACTTACTTCGTGGACCCACTCAGAACACAGGTGTTTATTAACAAACCCTACAAATCCCTACACTGCCCCTGTCCTCAACTCTGCACAATAATATAACCTGTGAACAGAGCTATAACTCTACTACTACTACTAAATATCTCTAATAAAGTAAAAGTGCTTTCAATCCAGCAACGTCTCTGAGATATGGCGTCGTCCGATTGTTCATTTGGACTATAAATGCGAAATATATCTTCATCTTCATCACCGGGATAGCTAAGGAAGCCTAAAGTCTGATTGTTGGCTCGTGTAGAGAACTTGCCTCTCACTCTTAGACTCGAGGAGGAGGAGGAGAGACTACTGAAAAGAGATTCCTCAGCAAGAGCTCTGCAGCTGCTGCGGGGATGTTCTAGTACTATGGCCCCGCAATGTAATGCTGACAATCACTTGCGCAATAACGACAGCAAAAGCGATACAAAGGTTAGCAGTATCTTTCGTTGTAAGGACCTCGTCTGGCAGTCGCTCGATTGAATAGCCGTCCCCGCAAGCTTTGCCAGGTTGAGCATTCTTGGTCGGTGCCGAAGCAGTACCGCCTTGTTGTGAGCAAGTGAAGGAAAGGTCGCGAACGACGTAGCGGAAATCGACTTGTGCTCTCATTGTTTCTTGCTGTTCGCGGGGATCGAAATGATGATAACGAGATAATGAGGAGAGATAAGATTCGGATGTTCAGGGGTAGTACTCTTAATTGTAATACACAAACCCTACATAAACCGCTCTTCTTTCGCATCCGGCCATGATCTTCTGAGAAAGTTCTCGATACAAAAAGCGTAGTCTCTTCTATAATTGTTTGGAACAACGTATATACTTTACTTTAGTCTGTCTGCTGCTTTGTGCATATAAGTGCATGATCATTGAGAACTCACTCAAGAGCCTCCGGAACGAGACGCATGATCTCTGCATCAACTGCTGGATATTATCTACTAGCAATACGGCACCACAATATGACGCTGGAGATTACCGCAATCACGAAAGCCAGAGCAATATAGATATCAGCAGTATTTATACACTGCAACTGCAAGGAGTCGGATCTAACAGTCAAAATCGAACCACCTGCCGATCAATCACCGGTAGTCTTGTTGGCGCTCTAGAACTCGTCTTCGCTGAGATCTTCGTTAGCGCCATATATACTGTCGTCGGAGGCAATCTCAAGCTGATCATCGGATTCTTCCCCAAAGTCACCGTCCTCCTGCTTCACCTCATGCGCCGACAACTTGACCCCAAACCTATTTAACGCCGCCTCTACATCCTCGCGCCCAAAAGCTTCATCGGCAGCCATCCTAAAGCCACAGATAGCAAACCGCGCGTCCTTAATTGTCGTGAGCTCTTGCAAGTACTGCCTAAACAATATCTGCAGTCTCATGCTGTGTGGAAACTGCTCCTCCGAGCCCTCCATCCACCACGCGATTCCAAGTAAAGTGCGTTTCATCAAGATTAGTAGTTTTTTTCGCATCAATCTCTGCTCCTGCTCCTCCTCAATACAGTCATAGAATTCCGACGTCATAAAGGGGTAGCACGGCTGGACTACGCTTGTGAGCTGATCTGCATCCTGAATATCTGTTGACAGAAACCCAAAGACTTCCCCGGTCCATCGTAGCGACGACAGCGGCTGAGAGCCAAGGACTACCTCGTCCGGCCGCACCAAATAATATTCAAAAAGTTGTAAAACATAGAGAACAAAGATTGCGTCAGTGACATTGTCGCAACCGCCTACACCAAATTTTAGATTGCACCGAGACACAAAATTCTTGGGATCCTTAGTAAACGCTTCCCATGATCTTTTCCGAGATAGATTCAGCAACTCCAAAACGACCAAGTCTGTAATGGAGTTCATATTTAGAAAGGTAATACACAGAAGGCTGTCTGGCGCCGACCTGATGAACCGACTGATTCCCAATGCCGTCAGCTCGGTGTTCTCTTCAAAATGCAAGTATTTCAAAGATGTGCATGAATGTAGAAGACTCAGCAAGACCTCATCAGTGAACCCTTGCGTGCCCTGAGCACTGATCGTTTCAATTTTCGGAGTCGACTGTAAGAATTGCGCTAGTTGAAAGGGGTCAGAGGAAAATGTATCCAGAAACGAGATGTTGAGATACGTTAGATTTGTCAGACGGCCTCTCAGTTCGTCAAAGATGGATGCATCATCCAGATATTCGCATTGTGACAAATTCAGCCCATGCAGTTTCAATGGCGACATAGTTGGTGTACCAGTTTGTGCATTTCCATCTTCAAAAAGAACAAGCAAACCTTCGCTATCGAACGAGGTACAATGCAACCCAAGATATTCGAGCGTCTCCAAGCGCGTACTGATCACGGTCAGTATGGTTAGCAAATCAATCCCTTCACACCCGCGTGGTAAGAGCAGGCTGCGCGGTTCATTTGGCGCGCCAAGAAGAATGGCACTACCAGCAGCGCTATTATTTTGGATTAATCTGTATCTCAGAAAGAGCTTATGCAGATTTTTCAAGTAGGGTGCTAGACGTATGGCAAAGCCTTCTGTCAGGTCACTTATATACTCGAAAGTCAGCGAACGGAGGGTTGAATGGCTGGTACTGATAATCTGGAAAACTGTCTCATAGGTTCTGAACCCATAACCACCGAGGACCAGTTCCTCGAGGCGACTGAATGGCGGGAAAGGCCCGCTCAAAGTCACGCTGACTTCGGATGAAATATCAAGGGAGCGCAAGACCGGAGCGATCCTTCTGATCAGCCGGTTTGCTTTATCATTAGTATTGAGGTGTGCGTCTTTAAGGTCTCGGTCAGAAACGCTGGTCCAGTTCCTTTCCAGAAGTGCTGTTCCCAGTTTATTCCAGTGCCGGTTGACCTGCAGAGGGCTGTTAGATTGTGATTTTGAAAAGCAGAGATCGAAAGAGAGAATACCATAATGAAACGAGTAACAGAGAAGGAGTCACAATAAGCAAATATCTCGAGCAGAATCTCGTCCGACAACCGCTTAATCGAGCAGCCATTCCTGCCCGCGTTGCCAGACGGATCAACCTTGGTTGGCTTGGGACAAGACCAGGTGAGGTCGTGAACGACGAACTTGCTGGCTGGCATTATGTTCAGGGGTAGTTTGAACATGATTTGCTCCAGATAGTCTGCGCCACTCCTGTTCAATACTGCTATCTGTCTGAGTGTTGATAATACTACAAGGAGGAGAAAATTTCTATGAGAAGTTGGAATCTATAAAGGATGAGGAGGAGTGGTTTTTGAGGCTGTCGGGGTGCGTGCTACGTGGACCCGAAACACAGAATTGCACAGTTGTGCTATCGAGCGTCCTCGACTCTGAATCAAGAAACCGTGAACAGAGCTATTTTACGCTGTCAGTATAACAATGTCTCTAATGAGTTGTGACATAAGGACTATAAATATAAATACATGTCTCCATAATCATCACCATATCTCCATAATCATCACCATATACATGTCTCCATAATCATCACCATGATAGCCAAGAAATCATAGCCAGCTGCTGGTCGGGTAGAGAAGCGATGGCAGAGTGGACTACTTCAGAGGCAATACCCGGTATGGAAAACACAGCCTCTGCCATAATCGTCTGTCACAACGCAGATAAGTTAGACTCCCTGCAGACTTGCTTAGAACGAACATGATTACTGAACTCAAGAGGAGGAGTCTCTGGAACGAGAAGCATGATCTTTGCATTAACTGAGTCATCTAGCAGTACGGCATCACAAGATGACGCTGAACATTATCGTAACAAAAGCCAGAGTAATATATATATCGGAGAGAAGAGACTGATACGCTGCAAGGGGTCAGATATAGCAGTCAATTTCAGACAACGAGATGGTTGATCGCGGTAGTATTATTGCGAATCTACTCAGCTCTCCAGTCAGAAACTCGGCCGGAATTGACCGGGCAATTATACTTCAAGTAGATCACCGGTCTCTGCTTCAAGGTCATAGTCCTCCTGGTTCTCCTCATACGCCAGCAACTTGATACCAAGCCCGTTCAACACCTCCTCTACCTCCTCGCGTCCAAAGGCCGTCTCCATAGCTGTCCTAAGACTACAGATAGCAAATCGCGCTTCCTTAAATGTCACGAGGTCCTCCAAGTACTTCTTGAACAACGACTGCATCTTCTCCTTTGGTGGAAGACGAGGCCGGCGCGGCCTCGAACCTGCATCGCCAATCAAAGCTTTCCTCATTTCGCCCAGTAGACTTCTTCGCGTGGCTTTATTATACTCAGGGTCGGAATGTAGGAAGCACTCGTAGAAAGACGACATCATAAAGGGGTAGCACGACTCCACTACACTCGTGAGCTGATCTGCATCCTGAACATCCGTCGACAGAAACCCTGAGATCTCCCTGGTCCATCGCAGCGACGACAGCGGCTGTGGGCAAATTTCTCCCGGCCGCACCAAATAGTATTCAAACATTCGTAAGACAAAGAACACGAAGGATGCATAAGTGACGTCTTCACAGTAGACCACACTGAACACGAAATTGCACCGAGACACGAAATTCTTGGGATTACTTTTAAACGCCTGCCATGACTGTTTCCTAGACCTATTGAGTAACTCAAGCACGACCGAGTCCGTGACGCAGCCTACAATCGCTAGGCCCAAGTCATCAAGACTGTCCGGCGCCGATCTGATGAACTGACAGAGTGCCGACTCAGTCACCTCGGTGTTGCCACGGAGATGTAGTTTTCTCAAACCTCTGCACGCACTCGGGAGACACAGCAGGACCTCGTCGGTGATCGCACTCGTGCTATCAGCAATGATCGTTCTAAGTTTCGGGGTCGACCGGAAGATGTTCGAAAGGGACGGTGACCCTCGACCACCGTAAGCTAGATGCGTCAGGTCTAAATACGTCAGGTTTGTCAGACGACTTCCTAGTCTGCGCATTTTGGTTGCATTATACATCCATATGTGCTTTGGCAGATTCAGTTCTTCCAATTTCAGTGGCGACAGTTTTCTTTTTTTGGTCGAAATTGGTATTCCAAGGCTCTCAAGTAAATCATCAAAATCAAACCGGCAACCACTCAGGTCAAGAGATCTAAGCGTCTCCGAGTGCCAACAAAGCACCTCGCGTGTTGGTCGACGATCTTCCGCGTCAAATCCTAGCGGCAATGCCAGATCGTGCAGTTCCTTTGGCGCTTGAACAAGGAGGACACTAGCATCGATGCTATTATTTGATCCATGAATCTCGTAATTCAGATAGAGTTCACGCAAATTTCTCAAGTAAGGCGCCAGACGTCTGGCAAAGTCTTCTGTCAGGTCCTCAATATATTGGAGTAGCAGAGCTCGGAGAGTTGATTGGCAGGCGCTGATGATCTGAATGACAATCTCTTGGTCGGAGAACGACTCTGAGCCGAATTCAGCTTCTCGAGGCGACTGAAGGGTAAAAATGGCCCTTTTAAGTAGGTTCCTCTACTACAGCACGAGAGATCGAGCTGGCGCACAATCGGAGCAATCCTGTGGATCAGCTGGTTCAGTTCATCGTTGGTGAGGCCGCGTAGAGCGTCAGCGTCATCGGAAAATTCTGTCCAGTCCGTTTCCAGCAATGAATTTCCTAGTCCATTCCAGCGCCGGTTGACCTGTAGATTCATGTCAGTCTATAGGTGGCAAAAATAGAGAGAAGAAAAGAAAAGTCACTATTGTGAAGCGAGTGATTGCGTAGGGGTCGCAATAACCAAATACTTTAAGCAGGGTCTCGTCTGATAAGTCGTCAATTGAGCAGCCACTCCCGCCCACGTCGCCAGTAGAAGTAGACACATTCTCAGTTGATCTCGTCCTGCTAACGACAAAGTTGCTCGCTGACATTGTTTCCTGCTGGTTGGGGGATCAAGATGATAGATAGGATCGAAGGGATGGCGACAGGGATGGGAGTTAATAAGGTTTAGATGTTCAGGGGTAAGTCTGTGTACGTAATTATATTCCTGCCTCTGCTGCTGCCGTTGTTCACTATTTCTATCTGAGTGATGTTATAACAGGAGTATAAGACTTATGGTTGGAAGAGTAGGTTGGAAAAGAATTTGGTGATTATTGATTACTTCGTGGACCCAAAATCAAAGAATCACATAGCCCGGTAAACGGGTGTCCTCAACTTTGGAAAAAGTAAATGTGAACGAAGCGATTTGTGAAAAACGAAGTCTCTGATATCGTTCATAACCCAGTACGTATCGAATGTGTACACAAAGATATATCTTCCTCTTCTTCATCTTCAAAATAGCAAAGAAATCCTAGCCAGCTGCTGGCCCAGCAGAAAAAGAGGTGAAAGGGCGGTCTACTTTAGAATAAATTCCTGATTCCAAAGGCGCGTCTCTGCCGTCGCCCTCTGAGACAACACTGCTACTGCAGTCTGCTTGTTGACTAGCGTAGAGAGATGCCCTTCTCACTCTTAAGCTCAAGTGACTCTAAGATAAAAAGTTCAGCAAGTGCCCTGCAGTAATTGCGGGGATTATCTAGCCCAATGGCCCGCAATGTGACGCTGGTGAATGACGTAATGATCAGACAGCCAGAGTTATTAAGACATAGCGATGTACTCTCTTGTAAGAGGTAGTATCTGGCAATCAATATCAAATCAACTGACGATTGCTCGTGGCGGCTTCGTGGGTTCAGTCAAAGTCGTCGTCTGGTCCGCTTTCCTCATTCCCAACCGATTCGTCGCTATAAAATGGTTCGTCGTCGTCATCTGAGTCAGAGTCGGAGGTGTCGGAGGATATATTACTCAGGTCGATGAAACTGTTGATCAAATTAGGGTTGCTGTCGTCGTTGCTGAGGTCTGCGTTTGCCAATTTCTCGTCATCATACACAGACAAATTGACACCACACTCAGCAAACGTCTCCTCTTCATCAAGAAAGACCTCAGATGCTACCGTCTTGAAATAACAGATAGCAAACCGCGCGTCCTTGATTGTAGTAAGCGCCTGCAAATACTCCCTAATCAGCTGACGCAGTCTCACCCTTAGCGGAAACGAATGGGGCAAAATCTCTGGACTTGTAACTAACGTACGCCCCATCGTCATCAGCAGCCTCCTTCGCATGGTTTTATGTTCTTCAGGGTCGAGATCAGAGCGACAGAAGAAAAAGTCTGAGAACATGATTGGATAGCACGAGTCGACTACGCTCGTGAACTGGCTCGTATCATCAAATCCTGTCGACAGAAACCCTGCGAATTCCTTGGTCCATAGTAGCGACGACAGCGGCTGTGTGCCAACCACTACCTCGCCCGGCCGCACCAGATAATATTCAAACATTCGTAAGCCGTACAGCACTAAGATTGCGTCAGTGAGACCACTGCAGCCGCGTACTGAGAACTCAATATTGAGCCGAGACACAAAATTCTTGGGATCTTTTGAAAACATTTTCCATGACCTCTTCCGAGACAGATTGAGGATTTCGAAAACGACAGAGTCTGTGACGGCTTTCACATGCTCGAGGTTAAGATTCTTCAGACTGTCCGGCGCCGATCTGATAAACCGACTGAGTCCCAGTGCTGTCAGCTCGGTGTTGCCGTCCAAAGATAGGGCTTCGAGAGATCTGCAGCTGTCCAGAAGACTCAGCAGGACGTCGTCGGTAAAACCTTGGTTGTAGGATGCCATAAGATTCTTTATTTGTGGCGTCGACCAGAGCAGCTGCGCCAGTCGAATGGGGTCTGAGGCAAGTATCTTGATGCCCGAGACATCGAGATACGTAAGATTTGACAGACGATCTCCTATACTGCCAAATATTGATGCATCATGAAAAAGGCGGCAAGCTCCCAGTCTCAGCCCTTTGAGTTTCAGCGGCAACGGCGAAATACTCGCGTCAACTTGCACGGTTGGATCGTAAAGGATGCTAAGCAGACTTTCTTGCTCGATGGGCACACCAGCCAGGTCAAAATACTCAAGATCTTTCAGACGCGATCGGAAGATCTCTTGTACAGCCGGCTCATTGATCGCAGAAAACCCGATCGGCACGCACAGACTTCGTGGTTTCTCAGGCGCGCTGAGCAGGATGATACTACCCTCGATGCTATTTGAGTCATCGGTGCGGTAGCACAGAGTGAGGGTATGTAGGTTTTTCAAGTAGGGCACCAGACGTTGAGCAAATGGTTTTGTCAAGTTACGAATATATTCGAGAGTCAGCGAACGAAGGGTTGAATGGCTGGAGCTGACGATCTGGAAGATTGTCTCAAAGGTGCAGAACGAGGTCTCGCCGAGGCTGAGCTCCTCAAGGCAACTGAATGGTGGGAATGGTCCGTTCAAAGTGATGTGAAATGAATGGTTGATGTTGATGGAGCGCACGACGGGGGCGATCTTTTGTAGCATCTGGTTCGCTTCAGCGGTTAAGATGGTCCCGTAGCCCATGTCTGCAGCGCCAAAGTCGGGCCAGTTCGTTTCCAGCAGTGCGGTTGCCAGTCGATTCCAGCGCCGGTTGACCTGTAGAGCACTGTCAGTCCTGTGTTCTACATAGCAGAGAAATAGAGAGCATACCATTTTACAAAGTGTGATGGTGCAGGAGTTAGAGTAAGCAAGTATCTTGAGCAGGACTTCGTCCGACAGCCGCTCGACTAAGCAGTCATCCCCGCGAGCGTTGCCGGTTGGAGCGGCCACGATTGGAGTCGAAGCAGCACGGCTTTGTTTGCGACAGAAGAAGGAAAGGTCCCGAACGACGTAGCTGAACTCATCGTGTTTCGTCCCCATCGTTTCTTGGAGGTCGCGGATCGCGAAGATAGCGAGGAGGATGAGAGGAGATAAGATTTGTATGCTCAGGGGTAGTTTGAGCACAGTTATCACTGCTTTTGCACCGTTTTGCTCTGCTTCTGGTCCGCTCGCTTCTGTATCTGAGCAGTGATGTTGCAACAGAGCTGTAGATTCATGTGTCTAGAAGAAGTGGTGGAGGAGGAGTCTGGCGATTAATATGAGGCCACAGAATTAGCGTACTGTGGATCCAAAGCACATAGTAGCACGGTTGAGTTGCGTTGACTGTCCTCCGAATACAGTCAACAGTCAATAATCAGCAATGGACAGTCAACGATCTGTAATATTCGACCGTAAACTACTTCAACATCACCAACAATGGGATATCGCAGCAAATCAATCGAATATCAGCCATCCGGACTGAGCAATCAAACGAGAAATCGGAGTTTAGCTACATAGATGACTCAGCTTTGACATAATACACTATTTATAGTGCGCTATGCCATACCTAGCTAGCTCCGTGCGGCTTACAACCCCGCTAGTCCTGATTGGGTACGCGTTGTTTATTATTCCAGTGCTGCTCTGAGATAGAAAACGTACAAAAGTTGAGCTGCTTTGGTTTCTCTACAAAAACCTCTGGAAAGCCACCGTCTTTGTGGTTTGCGCACATAAACCCGCGAGATAAAAGAGAAATAACAAGAGTCCAAGGCAATAATGAGGTTGCTATTTGTCCTGCTCTGTGCTGTAATGCTCACGAGCTGTGCTGCTGCTGCCGGCGGAAGCGGCTTCGAGTTTTTACATGATCTCGTCAGAAGAGACTGTAAGTCTGATATCTTTCTTTGTTGTTGATTTGGTTGTAAGTTACTGACAATATACTGCAGTTTTTGGAAAGCGGGCGGAAACGACCTCGTCGTCGACTAGAACAACGTCTTCGACCACCTCCTCAAGGTCTTCTTCCTCCTCGTCCAAGTCCTCTTCCTCATCAAAATCCTCCTCATCATCGAAGTCCTCCTCCTCGACAACCACAACAGCTTCCTCTTCTGAAAAATCCTCCTCATCATCCGCCAGCAGCGGCTCGCGCTCGTCTACAGTAACAGAGACCTCCTCGTCAACTAAAACCAGCAGCAAGTCATCATCAACGACCAGTCATTCCTCATCCAAATCAAGCTCTTCTAGCAAATCCTCCACGACATCTTCCTCGATCTCGATCAACCCCGTCGACCCCGCTGGTGGTATCTCTTTGCTGACTCCAGCCACAACCGACAGCACGACATACGTCAAGATTGGCGGCAATGCGACTTTTTCGTGGACATACACAAGTCTGTCTGTCTCGCCTTCCTACGTCAACGTCGAGGCCTACTGCAGCATGAACGACTACTCGTACCCGATCGCACTTAATCTCTCGATCGACGATACTGAGGTCATTTGGGATACGGCAGAGTACGAAGCTAATGCAACAATCCCGCTACTAACGTAAGTACTGTTTTATGTTTATTGTACAGGACGATGCTAAATATACAACAGGGCAATGTATACCCTAAATATCTACAACTCCAGTGGCTCGACCGACGACGTCGCGAGTGCGGGCTACCTCTCTCCTTACGACAGCTTTGTCTTTGGTGTATATAGCCCGCAGTCGTACGCTTCTCTCGGAAATGGTAAGACAAGCAGTCGATAGTTTTAATTCCCGAGTCAGTGCTAACAGGTGTTGAATTGTAGGAAGTGGATCTGCTTACAACTACAGCGGAGCTATGTCGATAATTGAGAAGAACGTGCTGAGATCCACTTTGCTTTTGGCAGTCGTCAGTAGTGTATTGACTACTCTGTTTATGTGGCGATAAATATGGGAATATTCGAGATATCCATCTGATTCCATGTTGGCGATGTCATGACAATATTGTATTCATTTTTATTTTGCATTCCTCGTTGGTACTTATGATTTGGTTAATGAATGAGTTTAATAAACTGTGTAAACATATAAACTATGAGTAGTCGTGCAGTAAGTAATATTTGAAGCTGTGTAGTGTGAGTCGGCTTTCTGTGATTTGTCCCAACCCAACCTCAACGCCTAAATCATCAACAAATACTCAATAAAATGACCGCCAAAGACGACCAACCGAGTAATACCACCAATCTATCGTCCTCTGAAGACACAAACGACGATGAGCCGGATGAATGGTGATCAAATTCTTCTAATAATTATTGCCGAGTAGCGCTGACGTGTAAAATCTAGGGACAAACGAATTGAAGATACCGGATGCTCGGGTAATCCCTCCACTTCACTCCATTATCTATCCATTAACGCGTCTACTAATTCTAATCACCTCTTTTAGCTGAAAATTCACGACTAACAGACTGCTACGCCGACAACGGACGCGACTGGAGGAAATGCGTCAAAGAGGTTTGTCTATGCTCTCTCATGCCTTCACTACGATCCCGCAATTACTGCTCAACTACCCGTCTCTAACCTATCATCTACAGATGCACGCTCTAAAGGAGTGCTGGGCCAAGAAGAACAATAACGAACGCACGCAGCTCAAATAATATCCGAAATCAATGAAATAAGCTGATCACCGGATTTGCATAACCACAAAACCCTCAAACCATGTAACGCAAAAAAATTCCTAACTGATCATCTTCGTCCATTCACACTTTTGATTTTTTCCTTCCAACCTGCCGATCACTTCGAGAAGCACAGCAAGTACACGACACGATACGATGCTGCGAGCTTCTTCTATCTCGCTGGTTGCCCGAGTATTGCAGTCTTCGCGGGCTGCTCAGTCCCCTGCGTTCGCGTCGGTTGCGCGTGGCTTCGCGACTGAGTCAACCGGCACGACATTCACCAAACCTGTGAGGGTCACGAAAAAACCCCGGGCCCGAGCGGTCGCAGAGGAAGAGGACATGCCTCCTCCTCCTCCTCCTTTTGAAGATGATATGGATGCGATCAGCTCGATCGATTTTGTCGACCCGAAAGAAGCGGTAGTTCCCACTCGAGAGCCTCCTGCCTCGTATTTGGCCAAGGCTCAGAAAGCACATACTCCTTCTTATAGCAGATCTTCCTCCGCCCCTTATTCTTCTTCTTCTTACAAATCTTCCTCCTCTCGCTCTTCTTCGGATGGGGGGAACAGTCATGTATTTGCTACCCTGGAAGATGTGCCTCTGCCGGTGACGGATGGAAGCACAGACTGGGCGCGCTCGTTTCAGGGAATTGGCTCAGCAGCTTACCCGCCGGAAATTGCCGAGATTTTGTCGCAAGAACTGGAGCCGGACTGGATAGAGATCAAGCCAGGTTAGTTGCCTCTGATTTTTTCAATTACAATCCAAGCAGAGGGGGCTTGACAGCATGCTGACTTTTATTTTTTGGCAGACGGGATTCTCTACCTACCCGAAATCCATTATCGTCGGATTCTTAACAAAGCGTTCGGCCCCGGAGGCTGGGGTCTAGTTCCCCGAAGTGAGACAGTAGTCAGTCCAAAGACCGTCTCGCGAGAGTTTGGCTTGGTCTGCCACGGTCGGTCCGTCTTTTCTCCCTCTTTTGTTGAATTCTTTTACTACAGTACACTGACTCAGATGTTGTCTCTATAGTCTAGTGAGTATTGCTCGCGGAGAGCAAATCTACTTTGATGCTGAAGGAGTGCCTACTGCTTCAGAAGGCTGCAAGAGTAACGCGATGATGCGATGCTGCAAGGACCTGGGTGTCGCGTCCGAGCTGTGGGACCCGCGCTTCATCCGCCGGTTCAAGAAGACTTACTGCGATGAGGCCTTCGTCGAGCACATCTCGACCAAACGCAAGAAGAAGATGTGGAAGCGGAAGGACGTTAATTGGGAGTACCCGTATCGGAGCGCGAGCTTCTGATGACGAGGAGACGAGGCGAGTTAGCTTTTAGACGAATGTGCCACAAAAATAAAAACTCTTATCTCCGAAACACACACGTGATTTATTCCACGATCCAAGTTGGGCGTTGGGAGTTTCCGGCTTGGCTCTGACCGGTGCCCCGTCGCCTTTCCCGCATTCCTGCCGCGACTGTAGCTTTTGCTTGCTTTATCGCCGGTTGTGTTATATAAAAGATATATATCGAGAGAAGAGACGTTTGTTGATATCGATACTACTCTAATACTTGACTTATATCGCAAGAGTCGCAATGTTTGGCATCATCAAGCTCCTTTCGTACGTGTGATATATCGTCTCCCAGCTGCTCTAGCTCTCTGGCGCTGCTTTTGCTACAAATAGTATAGAACTGACGGTTTGATGTTTGTAATCTAGATCAGTTGTGTCGTTTGGGTATCCGGTGTATGCCTCATACAAATCCCTGCGCGCCCGGAACCAGGCCGCGGTTGAGTCGTGGGCTATCTACTGGGTCGTCATGAGCGTCGTGACAACCACCGAGACCTGGTTTGGGTTCATGTTTACATGGTGAGTTGTTTCTCTATAGTATTGAGTGTTTTGCTTGAAGGCTGCTCTGTTGCTTGCTGTTGTGGCTGTGCAGGTGCTGATTCTTGTGTCGTCTAGGCTACCGCTCTATCAGTTTGCGAGACTTGGCTTTACTGTATGGCTAGTTCTCCCTGGATCCAACGTATGTCTCCCCTATCTGTCTGCTGCTACGGACAAGATTTATGTATTAACATCTACAATATGCAGGGCTCAAACTACATCTACTACGAATACATCGAACCGACGCTGTCAGCCCACGAGCAAGAGATCGAGACCTTTGCCCGCAGCACCAAGGACAAGTTCACATCCCGCGGCTTACAAGCTTTCAAGGCAGGCGTGCAGCGTATTGAGCAACTTGTTCTGGCTCTGCTGACTGGCTCGACGAAGGTCGTTGCTGACGATGCTGGGGCCGGTACTGGTGCTGGTGCTGGTACTATTGCTGGAGCTGCAGCAGATCGTGATGCTGCAGATTCTGACGAGAAAGAGGTATGTTTCTGTTTTACTGATTGGCAGTCGATGAGTCTAGTCTTGGATCCAGCCGGTTATATCTCATACAGCTCAGAGTGATAAAGCTCAAGAGTGTATGATTTATAACCACACAATCTACAACTGTCCACGCACTCCAAAGACTGCAGACTGTACTTGTATACAGTATACTCTTCATGTTTATACTTGATACGTCTACAGTCAATGTATATGCTTACTGTATATACTTATTGTGTATACACTGCACATTCTTACTGCAGTCGGTGAGACCGCGTGATGGTGTACAACTGGCTAAATCCGGACTAGCGCGATGGCTGACTAAACTCAATTCAATTCGCGCGACTAACATTCCCTCAGATCCAGGACATTTCCTCAGCAAAGTCGGTCTACGGCAGATTGTGGAGCACCAGCTACGCGATCTACAATGCTGCTGCAAAGGCGACTGTGAATGAACGTGCGGGATCTGGCGGGGTCGCTGCAATCTTTGGAAGTGCCGCGACGGCGGTGGTAGAGACCGCTGTTGCTGCCGCTGCTGCTACCGCGACGCCGACCGGCGAGATCGAGCTCAAAGGTGACGAGAAGCTGCCTGCCTCCAAGTCTTGGCTTTTGTCTGGATTCTGGTCGAGAAATTCAGAGGTGCCAGCGCCGGTTGAAGAAGAGACAAACAAGGAGGAGTCTTTGCCCGCTGAACCCGAGACTACGACTGAGAAGAGTGCCGCTGGCCGACAGTGGCCAGGACAATTTGAGACCGCGCAAGAATTTGAGTCTGCCAAGGACGAGGAGGGCTTCACGTCAAGTCTGCATGAGAAGCAAAGTAGCTATTCCTCTTTGCAGTCGGCGTCTCCCGACTGGGTCATGGTCGAGAGCGAGAAGTAGCTCCCTGATACCCCTCTTCTGCTTGTTTTTTAAAGTGTCTCCAGTCGTCTTTCAGCTTGTGTTGTCGATCCTCTGCGTACCTCTGCTACACCGCCTTCTACAGGAGTAGGCGTCTTTATTATACCTTACGACCAATTAACTTTACGAATTCTTTTTCACAACTGCTTTATAACGCTTCTACTTCGGGTACACAATCTTTCTTTGTCTATTGTTTCTTGTTTCTTGTTTTGCTTAACGGATCGGCGCTATATCGGGTGGACGGACGGAACACGGGATACGAATTTGTTTTCTTCGCGGTGTGAGGGTGAGTTACGAAGGCGCAACGGTCAATTTTATTTTTTATCTTTATTTATGTTGTTCTCTTTTGCTTTGTTTGCACTTGTTGGTTGGAGTCGATCAGGAAGTCGAAGGCAAACAGAAGAGGCGGCAGCGGATCAGGCGCAATCTGGGACGGACGGACGGACGAATGGACGGGCACTGGCACTGTGAACAGTTTATTGTATTCTTTATATTCCAATTTATATGACATTATTACTACTCCTGCCGCTGTTGCATTTCACAACATATTGCCGTATCTGGACATGGAGAAGATCACGTGAAACCGTAGATGACAAGATTGACTTCTCCGCGCACGAAAGACGCGCGCGTCGCGACCGACTTTGGCCAAGAAGGCTCCGGATCTCAGCAGTTCAACAAGGTCTTTCAATCTGTTCCAGCGTTTGATTCAACGAGTGAATAGAAGAAGAGTATTTTGAATTGATTCTGCGAGAGCGGTGAAAGGTTAAAAGGAAGAATTAATCTAAAGAAACAAGAGCAAAAGCAGAATGCAACGGAATATATCCTCGTTCTTTAGACCCAAAGACGGTTCTTCACAAGGCGTATGTATCTCACTCCTTTTTTTCTATTCATTTGTATACAACTGTTTACTGAATCACATTGAATTACAGCAGAAGGGATCGAGCGCGGCGGTGTCTTCAAGTCCGCCTGCTGCGCGAAAAGCCGGCACTGATCAGGAGAACAAGAAGCCTACAAGCACTACCGGTATGAATCAGTGTTATATAAAATACTGCGCTGTATAATAGATCGTGAAACTGACAGTTTTTGCGATTGGTTAGGATCGCCTAAATCCGCTAAATCAAACAAGGCAGACGACGTGAAGAAGCCGTATGGACCTCCTCTACTTCGACTCTGATACAACCAACTGACCTATCTATAGAGCACCCAAACCCGCTAAACGTCTTGACTCTCTGTTCAGCGACGAAGAAGAAGACGTCAAGATGAAGAAACCGCGGTCCAAGAAAGCCAAGGACGACGACGACGACTACAAGGACGAACCAGCACCTCAAGCAGTGACCATCAGCAGCGACGACGAGGATGCTACAGCTTCTCCCAAAAAGAAGAAACCGACAGCCGCCACGCGCAAGCGCAAACAAGACGACGATCAAACTGCTCGCCCGACGAAGAAACGCGCGCCTGCGGCAAACACTGCAGCAAAGAAAGAGGACGATCTCGAAGTCCTTGCCGACGCGCCCCCCGCGAAAAAGAAGTTCAACCCGGCGGAGTTTGCTGCCCGTCGCGCGGCAGTCAACACGGGAGTCTGCGCAGAATTGCCCGAAGGCGCGCCGAACTGCCTTGCGGGACTTGCGTTCGTCTTCACTGGTATTCTGCAGACGCTTCCGCGCGACGACGGAATCGCGCTGGTAAAGAAGTATGGCGGACTTGTGCGGACTGCACCGTCACGGAACACAAACTATGTGGTGCTGGGTGAGGAGGCTGGACCGAAGAAGTTGGAGGTGATCAAGAAGCTTGGGATCAAGACGATTGACGAGAACGAACTTTTCGAGCTGATTAAGACGCGACCTGCGAATGGTGGTGATACAGCTGAAGGAATTAAGGCGCAGAAGAAGGCTGCGGAGGAAGAAAAGAAGATTATCGAGATGTCCAAAACTATCGGAATCCCTGAACCCGCAAAAGCCGTCAAGGCAAGCTCCTCCGGCTCGACCTCAAGTCAAGCTTCCAGACAGACGAGTGAGCAGGTCAATAAACCGCCCCGTTCGCTTCTGTGGACGGACAAGTATGCGCCGCGGTCGATCAAAGATATCTGCGGCAACAAGGGCGCGGTGCAGAAGCTGCAGAAATGGCTCGAAGACTGGCCTGCGAATCTAAAGGCAAACTTCAAGCGACCAGGCCCGGACGGCAGCGGCGTGTTTCGCGCGGTGATGATTTCGGGACCGCCGGGGATCGGCAAGACGACGGCAGCGCATCTTGTAGCCGAATTAGCAGGGTTCGACGTGATTGAGACGAATGCGAGCGACACGCGAAGCAAGAACGTGATTGCGGAAGCGCTGGGGACGGTGCTGGACAATAAATCGATTGCGGGGTATTTCGGGGAGACGAAGCAGGATGTTGACGCGGCGAAGCGCAAGATCGTGCTGATCATGGACGAGGTGGACGGCACGTCAGCAGGCGACCGGGGCGGAGCGGTGCAGATGTCTGCGTTTTGCAAGACGACGCATGTGCCGCTGATTTTGATTTGCAACGACTACTCGCTGCAAAAGATGCGGACGTTTGACCGCACGACGTTCAATATCCAGTTCCGGCGACCGGACGCGAACGCGATTCGGTCGCGGATCCTGTCGATTGCGTACCGCGAGGGTCTGAAGATTCCGGCGCCGGTGATTGACCAGCTGGTGCAGAGCACGCATGCGGACATTCGGCAAATCATCACGCTGCTGTCGACGTTCAGCCTTGGGGAGACAGGCAGGAAAGAGATGAGTTTTGAGCAAGGGCAGCGGATGGCGCAGGACTGGCAGAAGCATATAGTGATGAAGCCGTTTGATATTGCGAGCAAGCTTTTGAACGGGGAGATGTTTGGCGCGAGGTCGCGCGCGACGCTGAACGACAAGATCGAGCTGTACTTTAACGACGCGGATATGTCGCCGCTGATGGTGCAGGAGAACTATCTGCGGACGCGGCCGGCGGCGGGGGCGAATAAGGTGCAGACGCTGACGCAGCTGGACCGGGCGGCGTCGTCGATTTCAGACAGTGACCTAGTTGACCGGATGATCCACGGGTCGCAGCAGCAATGGAGTCTGATGCCGCTGCACGGGGTGCTGTCTACGGTGCGTCCGGCGTCGTTTGTGGCCAACGGAGGCAGCGAGCGGTTCATGTTTACGAGCTGGCTGGGTAACTACTCAAAAGGCAACAAGCTGTCGCGGTACCTGCAGGAGATCCAGTCGCACGCGCGACTGCGGATTTCGGGCGACGCGGAGGAAGTGCGGACGCAGTACCTGTCGTCGTTCTTTGATAATCTGTACACGCCTATTGCTACGCGGGCGAACGAGGGCGGGGTGGAGGACGCGATCAAGTTTATGGACGAGTATTATCTTACGAAGGAGGATTTTGACGCGGTGTTGGAGCTCGGGGTGGGTCCGAAGAACGGGGAGGAGCTGTGGAAGAAGATTCCGACGGCGACGAAGACGGCGTTTACGCGCAAGTATAACACAGGAAGTCATCCGGTGCCGTTTATACGGGCGAGCACGGTGACTGATCCGAGAAAGGTGAAGAAGGAGGTTCCGGATTTGGAGGAGGCGATGGATGATGTGTTGGGAGAGGAGGAGGAGAAGAAGGAGGAGGAGAATGAGGAGGAGGAGGAGGAGGATACGGATCTGTCGAAGGACAAGTATATCAAGAAGCCGAAGGCAAGTGCGAAGGCGAGTTCGAAGGCTACGGCGAAGGCCCCTGCGAAGGCACCTGCGAAGGGAAAGGGGAAAGCTAAGAAGTAGTATAGTAGTATAGTGTGAGATGATTTAAGTGAATGATGAATGTAATTAAGATGACGCAGATGAGGAAAAGCAAATGTAAGAGAAAACAATGTAAACATGAATAATCACAACGACTGTCCTTTACTGTATTTCGAGGTTGCCCAATGTTTATAACAAAGAGATCAGGAAATCATGGAATAGAAGAGGTTTGTATTTATTCGTTGATATCAGCAGGGAAGATGCCGCTCTCTGCAAGATGATATTCATTAGTTGTATATTCAAAATCAAAGAATGAGGAAGGACTGACCTCGCTGTTCGTCCCACTTGTTAACCCAGGAGGCGGGGCAGAGCATGCGGTAGGCGTTCTGGAACTGGTCGCAGATTCGCTGCTTGGAAGGGTCTTCGTTGGCCAACTCCTTGGCGCACTTGAAGTAGTCGACGTAGTATTGCCTGTTGTCTGTTAGCAGGAAGAGAGAGAGGAGGGGGGGGGGAGAGGGGAGGGACGTACCAGCAGTGGACGGTCTGGTTCTGGTTAGGGAAGCTGGAGGGAGTCAGTATTTGTTGGTAGGGCGGTGGAGATAGGAAGAGGCATACCGAGGATCGTAGCGGGTAGGTCTGATTTCGTAGTCAACGCCCATGGCCTTCTTGACGGTCTTTGCGAGCGCAGGAGCAGCGGGATCTGTTAAGAGTTAGAATGTTATCGTAGATTGTTGATATCTCTGCCGGTGTCGAGTCGAATATAACATCCTCTACAAGTACTCGCTTGTATCTGCATCTTCCACACCCAAACAACCATCCAACAGATCATCACATCACCACACCACACCACCAAAACTCACCGGTTCCGTATTCAATGTTAATCGCATTGAGGTTCTTCGAATCCTCCTCCTCAAAGACAGTGACCAGCTCCCGGTCCTTGTCCTTGCGGATACGGTCCGCCTTGATGAACTGCTTAATCTGAGCGTCGACGTCGGCCATTTCTTCTGGTAGATCTAATTTGCACTGGTTTGCTGGAGGAAACAGGTGGTCTGCGGATGGGCGTAAAACTTGTGGGCGAGGGAAACGTGGTGTGGTGCGGTCTCGGCGTATCCGTCGCGGCGCTGGGTGCACCGGCTCCCGCATCTCGCGCGCGTGTGATAGGCTGGGAGTAGAGTCACGTGGATGCTTACATTGTGAGGTGTTTGTGGCATTGCTCTGCGCGTGGTGCACTCGGTCGATCGCGATCTCTGCCTCGGGCTCGACTTGACTTTTACTCGCCTCTATAACACACGATGCAATCAACAGCGCGGCAAATGATTGCGCGCCAGGGCCGAGAGAAGCAGCGTGAGTTGTTGTGCTTCTGAGTGGTCGGCGGTGGTCTACTGACAGACAATTCACCAGGCTACAGCGCGACCGGCGCGCGCATGGTCGCAGGCGTAGTCGCACTCTCGCCGGATAAACGCAAGATCCTCGTGATCTCCTCAAGCAAGGGGAACAGGAGCAAAGCCGTGATCCCGAAAGGCGGCTACGAGACCGACGAGGCGAGCGCGCAGGCAGCTGCGCTGCGCGAGGCGTGGGAGGAAGCTGGTGTGGAGGGCAGGATCACGCGAGAGCTGGGGGTTATCGAGGACATGCGGCCCGCGGCTGTGTTTTCACAGATGAAGAATCCGAGTCTGGGTACGGGAGATTGGGAGAGAGGGGCGGGGGTGCATCCGAAGGCGGAGTATCATATGTTTGAGATGGAGGTCGAGATGGAGGCTGAGGTGTGGCCTGAGAGCAGCACGAGGATGAGAAGGTGGGTTACGTATCGTGAGATTTTGAAGATGATGAGCTCGCGGCCTGAGTTGCTTGAGGCGGTTAAGCGGAGTTCGGTTATCAAGGAGGAGTAGGCGCTCTATGATGTTGCTCTGTATGTTGCTTTGTATGAGCGTTGCTTGTATGAATGACGTGGCTAGACAAAGACTGTACTGACTTCTATAGCTAAATCAATACAGCACCAAAATCAAAATACAAGATACTAATCAAAAAAATCAAAAATACAAACCTCTACGCCATATAACCAACAACAACACCAATGACAACATATGACAACATAGACATCAACGACGACAACAAACAACTGCACAAGGAACTAAGGAACAGCAGTCCTCGGCAACGTCTGTCTTCCAAACGGCAAGAACTCATCGCCATCGCTGTGATCACTCACGACGATCCCAGGCTGCATCCTCCTCGAATCTGCCTCCATAATCACGATCGACGCACCCTTCCCATTTCCCACTCCATACTCCTCTCCCCCCTCCTTCATATTGCGATTCACATCGTCAGTCCCCTCACTACCATCAATCTCAACAGTAGCGAGCTTAGACAAGACAGACGCAAGCACGTCGGCGTCAACCCCGACATTCATATTCGGCGGCTCTTCCTCCGTCGCCACCCACCCCGGCGGCGGCGACGGCGGCGGCGAGATCAGGAATAGTTTTCCGGGGTCAGGAAGTTCGAGACTGCTTGTTTTTCTGTGTTGTAAGAGTGCGTCGACCGGAGTATTGTCTGCGCAGAAGAATGTGCGTAGTCTCGTCTGCTGCTGCTGCTGCTGCTGCTCTTGATGTTGCTGCTGCTGCTGCTGCTGCTGCTCACCAACGTGAACAGGAACACACCTCCGATCCAGCGCAAGATGCACCCGCAACGCAGCCGTGACCGTTCGAAACACGAGCACGACGCGCGCAAAGGTCGGCAACGGCCCGAAATGGACGAGCGCGTCGGGGTCTTCGGCCGCGATATCGATCGCCGAGCGCAGGTACGCGAGCGAGGATGGCGTGAAGTGCGCGGGACTGATGAGGCCGGTTAGGACTAGTGTGTTTGTGAGTGTCTGTGTCATTCTTTCTTTCTGTCAAGTGAACAGAGGAGTGTTCTGTATAAAGGCGAGGAAGGAGAGTATTTGTATTGAAGGCCAACAAGAGGCGAAGCGTGCGGCTCCGGGCCGTAGTGGCTGTGTTGAAGATCCAGATATCGAGTGTACGCTACACTACATACTATTCTAGTAATAATAATAATGATGACAGTAATAATAATGTATATTTACAATAAGAGTAAAGAGGAGTAAGAAGATTATAGAAATATTAGGTCAGATAACCTAAGTAGCCTTAACGACGCCGACCTTGGCAGCTCTCAAGACCCGGTTGTTCAACATAAACCCAGCCTGCTGCACGAAAAACACCGTCCCCGGCTCCTTATCCGGCTGCGCGACCTCGAACGTGGCCTCGTGCTTGTGCGGATCAAACTTCTCACCGAGCGGATCGATCTTGGTCAGCCCGTGCCGCTTCAACGTCTGCTCCAGCACCTGCTGCGTCATCTTCACGCCGTCAAACAGCGAAATCAGGACTTTATCCGTAACCTCCTCCTCCTTCGCCGCCTCTCCGCTCTGATTCTTGGCCGGCTCGGGCACGGTCGCGAGCGCGCGGTCGAGGTTATCAACCGAATCCAGCAGGTCCCGCGCAAACTTTGAGATCGCAAACTCCTTCGCGTTCTGCACCTCCCGCTTCGTCGTCTCCTGCAGGTTTCGGAAATCAGCCACCTGCCGCAGCAGTCTATCCTTCAACTCGGCTGCCTCCTTCGCTTTCGTCGCAAGCTGCGTCTCCAGCTCGGCAATCTTCTTCGCGTCGCCAGTCACCTCTTCTTCCTCCCCGCCTTCCGTCTTCTTCTCCTCGCTCTTCTCTTCTGTCTCCTTTTCAGTCTTGTCCGTAGCAGTAGCGTACATCCGTCGTCCGGAAAGCACGTTCAGACCAACCTGCTGTGCGCTTCCGCCCATGATCTTCATCGTCGTCGCATGAGCAGAAGTAGTCTTCTTCAGCATGCTGCTGCTGTTCATCATACGAACCTGTCGTGCGCTGACTGCAGCACGACCAAGCGTCCTTCCTGGAATTGTTCGTAGCATTTTATAATTGTGAGTGGAATTGTAATAAACAGAGAAGAAGAGGAAATAGAGATGGCAGGAAAAGCTCCGAAATGTTCGAGACCAAATAAAAATTTATCGAAACCCTTCTCTCGATGCTTACTAACTGCTTACATCATGTTTGTTTACTTTGTTCGAGAAAGCTCATTTGGTCAACTACATCACTACTATCACTGTTTACTAACGCATAATCAATTGGCGAGATAAATCCCAACATAACAAACATAGATAGCACATCTCAATAGATATCAGTAGACAAAGTAGATAATAGATAATAGATAACAGAAATAAAAAAGATATTTCTAAACACTCAGATCATCTCGGTATTCATTCAACTCTCTTACTCATTTGACGCCATTAAGAAATCCAATTCCTCTTGTCTTCACGAGTAACACATTCATAGAAAAATAAAAAATAAAAGGAGAAACACCTATCCTACTCAAATAACTACCGATGTAGTTACTCGAGATTCCCAGTACTGCTCAAGCTCAAATAACTACTGACGTAGTTAATCGAGAATTCCCCAGTACTGCTCAACGTTGTAGTCACCAGGGCTCTTCCACAAGTCGTTGAAAGCAGTGAACTCGATAACCTTGGCACCGACAGAGCTCTCGATAGCAGAGATGGCAGTCTTCTGGTTAGCGGTAGAAGGAACGGCGACTCCAAAGTCGTCACCCTGGGTAGGCCAGCCAGACTCGGTGCAGATAGCGTCAGAGCTGCCGCAGGCATCGTTAACACGCGACACCTGGAGCTCGAGCCAGGTACCGGCATCCTCGGGAAGAGTGGTGCCGTCCCAGAAAGAGTGAGCGTTGAAGGCAGGGTAGTCAGAGTTGGTGCAGAGGGTAGGGTTGGCAAGGATGGCAACGTGGGTGTCAACGGTGACAACGGGTCCGGTGTAGCCAACAGCACGGAGAGCGGTACGGCCGGCGTTCAGGTAAGTGACAACCTCGTCGGCAGTGTAAGAGCCGCCGTTAACGAGCTCGTTACCGATGGCGACGGTGTGGATGGTGTCCCAGTCAGAGACGGCAGCGGCGATGGTCGAGATGGCAGAGTCGAGAGCGGTGACGTCGAAGATACCAAGGAAGAGCTTCTGTCCATCGGCAAGAGCAGGGTAGACGTTCTCAACCTGCGAGCAGTCGACACCGTAGAGACGGATGACGGAGTAGGAGGTGAGCTCGGCAAGGTCGGAAGCGACCTCGTCCGCGGTCTTGCAGGCGCCCGAGGAAGTGTAGGGCGAGTAGGTGATGCCAAGAGCGGCGGACGAGAACGAGCCGGAGGAGGAGGTGGAAGAGGCAGCGGCCGACGAAGAAGAAGTGGTCGAGGTCTTGAGGGTGGTCGACGAGGAGGACGAGGACGAGGTCGAAGACGAAGAGACCGAGACGACGGTGGAGGTAGGCGCGACGTAAACAGAGGTCGAGGTAGGCGAAGCCGAAGAAGTCGAGGACTCGACGGCGAGGACGGCGGCCTTGACGGAGACCGAGGAGGTCGGGGAGGGGACGTAGGTGTTGGAGGTGGTGGTGGAGAAGTAGGTCGAGGTGGTGGTGGGCTCGGCGGTGGAGGAGGTCGAGGTGGCAGTGTCGATGGGGTTGCCGTCAGCGTCGACAATCTGGGTGACGACAACGACACCGTCGTCGTTCTGGTAGGCCTGGGCGGTGACAATAGCCTGGACGGTGACCATGACGACGTCGTCGGGGACGGGGGCGCGGGCGTGGAGGTTGTGTGCGTGGCGACGGGCGACTAGGGGTGTTAGATCCAGAAAGAAGAGAGAAAGGAGGACGCGCAGGAAGCAAGGGGTAGGGAGGAGGACGCACTGTCGACAGGCTGGGCGACGGCAGCGGGCGCGAGACCGAGGGCGAGGAGGGCCGAGAGGGCGATGGCGGAGCACTTCATGATTCGATTGAGTAGCAGGAAGGCGGATTAGGAAAAGAGGCTGATTGGGTCCGGGAGCGAGTAGCGGCGGAGGAAGGGCAGATAAGGAAAGACAAAGGGGGAGCCCGCGAAGAGAAAAATGAGCGACAGTGGGCGGGAGTAAGGAGTGAAGGGGGGAACAAAGGGAGCGTCGGGGGGAAGAAAGAAGGCGAAGAAGGCGGTGAAGAGGAAGAGCCGGCGGTGAGGAAGAGAAGAAGAGGAGGAGGAGAGGAAGAAAAGGAGAAAAAAGAGCACCAAGAACCAGAGCAGAGGGCTGCCCGGAGAGTAAACAAAGCTAGGCTGGATTGGGCATAGCGTTAAACCTAGTCGGGCCTAGTCGCAGCGGCCGAGATCCTGCAGCAGAAGAGATGCGGGAAAGAATGTAAACAGAAGAAGATAAACAGAGATGAACGGTAGAGGAGATAGAACAACATATACATCACATATACAAATACAAATACAAATACGAATACATCACATATGCACACACATTTCAACAACACCAGCTCTGCCGTCGGCAATCCGACCATCGAACCACATGCGTTTTAACGTTTGATTGCGTTCTCAACTCTAACGCGGTCGCTCATAAACACTGATTATGTCAGTGCTTAGGTAACGACACGTGTTCATTCTTGCCATCGCATCTTGGCGAGAACGCAGTGTTCCTGCCTCCACACTCTTCGCGATCAACTCTGATCAACTCTGGTTGCTGATGGCGACGATCCTTCGCAGGGCTGTACGTTGTTGCTATTACTCTTTACTGTAGGATGCTCTCTAACATAACCCAGGGCCAACCGCTCCTATTCCTCGTCTCTCCTCCTATGCTAAAGACCTACCTGCGCGTCACCCTCGCATTCTCCGCAGCAACCGCTCTTCTCTTCTCGGCAATCGTCTCCTATCTCGCGTTCTACAACCAGTACATACCTCACGACATCATCTCCCAGCCTCTGTACTTTGACTACAAATTCCAACCGCTCCTTGCCTCTGCCCCCTTGCTCCATCGCGACTCGCCTGCTCTCAGATCAGACCTGCCGTACACGGTCTCGATATGTCTTACCGTCCCGCGCTCGCCGCACAACTGCGATATCGGGAATTTCATGCTGGGTCTTACAGTCTACCGCACCGATCCAGTCATTTCATATAGATCATCCTCCGGCGAAACACTTTCACGTCATGGTATCGCATATCTGCAACGCAACCGACCCTCCGACGCGCTGCAATCGCTCGCGATCCTTGACGTCGCCAGACCTGCTATCCTGCCCTACAGATCACCCCTGTTTGAGTCTCTACACACTCTCTTCACCATCCCTCTTTTGATCGCAGGCTGGACGCGCGAGTCTGAGCGTCTCGAGATCGAGCTTGCGGATGAATTCATTTTCTCGGCCAGCCATTCTCTGAAAGATGCATATGTCGCCGCACAGATTAGCGAGGGCGTGCAAGTTTACGACGCCAGTCTGATATGGCAGGCAAAGTTGACGGGCGTCAGGTATCTGATGCGGTACTACTATGTGTCTACTTTCATTGTTGCCGTCGGACTGTTTTGGGCGACCGAGGTGGTTGCTGCTTTTGTTGTCTGGGGGTTGGTCAGTCTGTGTTTTAGCGGAGGTGACTCATATCAATCTGTGTATCGCCCTGAGAGGGGGATTAGGAGAGAGATAGAGCAGTCAGTTGAGAAGTCAATCAAAGAGGATGATTTATATATCAAAGAGGAATCAGAGGTGTCACTCGAAGATATACCAGAAGAGATCAAGGAGGACGAGATCAAGGAGGAAGAGATCAAGGAGGACGAGATCAAGGAGGAGAAGATCAAGACAGAGAAAGAAGAAAACATCATCTCAAAGAAAGAAGAAAAGAAGAAAGAAGAGAAGAAAGAAGAGGAAGAAGAAAAGACAAAGAAAGAAGAGAAAGAGAGACTACTGCCGATCGACAGCTCAGCAATAGTAGCCCGCGACAACGACCTCGACCGGCTAATCGACCGCGAATCCACACCCGACACCTTCACCGCCGACGACCTGATCCCGCAGTCCCCTTCATCTACAATGGCCGCTCTAATCCTCGAGGACGACCTGAGTTCAAGCAAGATGGTGGTCAAGAAGGAGAACTAACCCTACACTACTACTCATACGTATTAGTAATAGATGAATAACACAATGAGCAGCACAAAGCAGAGAGAATAAGGTTCAGCATAACCTTTCCTGAAACATTGGCTGCTGCTACGCTGCTTCGTATACGCAAAACTCTTGTTGCTGCGTCGTAAGCTGCTCCGTCTCATTTCAGCAGAGAAGAAGCAATTTCATCCTGCAGCTTACACTGATTATGAGTGGACTGGACACACAACACAGCAGTGGCAGCACAGCAGACAGCGGCAACACAGTGGCAACATCACCACACCACCACCCCGGTCATCTCTCTGCTGTCCCAACTTCCTCTTCATTGTCAATCGCAGATCCAAATTGAGTTGCCGTCGCGAGCAAAATACGCAACCCACGCAGCCATCAATCTAAAAACCCTAATCTGCTGAACTCAAACCCTCCCGGCTGAGGGTCCGACAGCTACTGTCCTACTGGACCCTTGGCTGTCTCAGTCATGTGACTCTGTGTCATTCATTAGTAATACTATCACATGACCTGACTGCGGGGATGGCTCAATCCAGAATAAACTCCGGCGGGGTTACCAGACAAAGCCATAGTTTGCCCGCTTACACTTCGACGACGATCAACGATGACAAAAACAAGCAAAAGTGAAAGCAAAAGCAAAAAGCTGACAAAAGCTTTGAATAAATAGTAATCCTAAACACACCTCCTCCTCTCTTCTTCACCATATCCTCCTCTTCACAGTATTCTCATCTTACCACCACCATGGCCGACACTGAAAAACCCTCCAACACCACAAACAACACCACCACCACCACACCCTCCCTGCTCCCCCACGAGCGCTACCCCCCCGACGTCGGCCCCAGAGCCTGGCTCTGCGTCGCCGGCTCCTTCTGCGGCATCTTCGTCTCCTTCGGCTACATCAACGTCATCGGCGTCTTCAACGCCTACTACCTCTCCCACCAGCTCTCCTCCTACTCCACCTCCGCCGTCTCCTGGATCTCCTCGACCGAGACCTTCATCCTCATCTTCCCCGGCCTCTTCATCGGCAGACTCTACGACATGTACGGCCCCCGCCTCCTCATCTGCGCCGGCACTGTCCTCCTCCTCCTCGGCGTCTTCACCACCTCCGCCGCCCACTCCTACTACCAAATCATGCTCGCCCAGGGCATCTGCACCTCCATCGGCGCCTCCCTCATCTTCAACCCCTGCGTCGGCGCCCTCTCCGGCTGGTTCAAAGCCAAGCGCGGCCTCGCCCTCGGCATCGCCGTCTCGGGTTCTTCCCTCGGCGGCGTCGTCATGCCCATCATGTTCCAGCGCATCTCCGTCCTCGCCGGCTTCGGCTGGGCCGTCCGCTCCATCGGCTTCATCATGGCCGCCATGGCCCTCGTCGCCTGCTTCACCGTCTCCTCCCGCATCCACCCTTCTCGCTCACTGCCCGCCGCCCACGGCCACATCTCCACCCGCACTGCCTACCTCGCGCCCTTCTCCGAGCTCGAGTTCGTGCTCATGCTCTTCGCCATCTTCTTCCTCTACTGGGGCCTCTTCATCCCCATAGGCTACATCCCCTCGCACGCCATGGCCCACGGCTTCTCCCAAAGCCTAGCCCTCTACCTCGTCGCCGTCATGAACGCCGCCTCCGTCTTCGGCCGTCTGCTCCCGGGCTTCCTCGCAGACAAACTAGGCCGCTTCCCCGTCTTCTTCGTCGCCTGCGCCATCACCGCAATCCTCGTCCTCGCCCTCTGGCTCCCGGCCTCAGGCCACGTCCCCATCATCCTCTTCGCCGTCTTCTTTGGTTTTTCTTCGGGGTCAGCTATATCCCTCATGCCGGCCGTCATCGCTGAAATCTCCCCGATCCGCGAGATCGGCACGAGGTGGGGCATTATCGCTGCGCTGGGATCACTAGGTGCACTGAGTGGGATGCCTATCGCGGGGGCCATTGTCGCGCATAATGGGGGGAAGTATTGGGGTGCTGCGGTGTTTGCGGGCGTTAGTATATTGGCGGGGTGTTTTTTTATCGCTTGTACGTGGGTCGTGTATAGAAGGAGAGTTGCTGAGAAGTAGTTTGTTATAGTAAACTGTAAAATTATAATAAATGTATTTCTATATTTCTATCAAATACTTATAGAAAAAGACAGAATATGTAGAATGGTAAAAACTGGAATTTGGGTCATTTTCAAAAAACACTCGAAATTGAGTATTCTCCCAACTACTCCCAACTCATCTCTCATCTCATCTCATCTCATCTCTCATCAACACATGCATCATGACGGTCGACCCCGCAAAGCTCCCCGTCGAGGTCTTTGAAATAATCCTCTTCTATCTCCCCTTCCCCTCCATCACCCTCCTCCACCGCGTCTCCAAACAATGGCACGCCCGACTTGTTGCCTACCGCGCCCACTGCCCGCAACCCCTCCTCCTCGCCCTCCTCGACTTTACAAACCACCCCGACCTCTCCCCGCGCGCGCTCGCAGAACTCGTCGTCCTCGCCGACGGCAGGCTCGAGAGCCTACGATTTTGCCCCCGCGTCGACATCACCCAGTACGCGACCAACAACGAGATCACGACGATGCTGTTTCGGAAATCGTCCCGCGACTTGCAATTCGACGCATATAAATACGCTGCGGCATATGACCACCACAACAACGAGTTCGCGACCTCCACCGAACCGTTCGCGCCCCCGCCAAAAGAATTACTTGAAAACAACCTCCTCGACCGCATGCTCGCCCGCCTCGACAACATCACCGACCTCGCGCTCTCCGCCGCCTTCGTCCGCACTATCCATCTCAGCCACCAACTCAACTTCCGCACCCGCTTCCCCAACCTCACACGACTGTCCATGCCCATCTCGCTCATGTACAGATTCCTCGCGCTCGTCGATCTCGCGGGGCCGGAGTACAACATCTGGGCGGAGGATAACGACCATGTGCCGGCAATGCTGCGCAATCTAGAGTACCTCGAATTCTCCGTCTCCGACGCCGCCTACCTCGAGCTCACACAGGGCAACCTCGCCCTCGCCCGCCACGAGTCTCCGCTTTGCAACTCAGCGTCTTCATACGTCCCGTTCAAAGCACTCAAGACTCTAAAGATAACCTGGGCAGACGTCTTTCACCACCGATACGGCTACTTCCCCATCACACTCGGCTATCTGGTCGACCTCGTGAGCTGGGCGCCGGAGTTGGATTATCTAGAACTGCGCTGGCTCGAGTTTAAGCTGAGCAGTCGGCTACGGCAGAGACTGTATGCGAAGGAGAGTTTGGATATGTCTAGTTTTGCCCGTATAGAACATCTACGATGCGAGAATTGCCTCAACGCAGAGGCATTTAGTCTCAACCATGAAACCATCTAATGTATTTATCCATAACTTCCTAAACCTCCTCTTTTCCACCCTCGCGGTCAGTCCATCCCATGCCCTATACTCCGTTAGTCTTGAACTGCATAGAATAAATAAATAAGGAACTCACATCACCGAGAACAACCTGGCCCTCGTTCAACGACCGGCTCTGCTCGGCACCCAACCAAAGCGGCTCGGTCTCGTCAAGCTTGCCCTCGATAGCCCACGCGCGCCCGCCCTCGACATAGATAGTCTCTCCCTTGAGCGCCTTTGCGCACGCCATGTCGACAACAACGGCTGCCACATCCTCAGGCTTGTTAGCCGGCAACTTGGCCTCCGCCCACCGGTCGCGGATTCCATCCACCATACCGGTCAGCGTCATCCACGGGCACACGCAGTTGACTCTGATGTGGTTCATGATAGGCGGGTACTTGCGCATGCAGCGCATGAGCCCGAGCACGCCGTGCTTGGTGGTCTGGTACACAAACAGGCCGGGCGACTCCTTGAACCCCGCGACTGAAGAAAACAAAATCATGCTCTTGTCGTCGGTCTCGAGCGAGGTCGCGCCTTGCTTCAAGTACACGGCCGCGATGCGCGCAAAGTAGAGCGTGCCGAGCATGTTCACGTCCACGAGCACCGTCGTCGGCTTCCGCTTCACCGACTCCAGCGTCGTGTCCGGCTCGAACCAGTTGCCGATCTCGGTCAACGCAGCCATGTGCACGGCAACATCGACCTTCCCGAACTTTGTCCGCGCGGTCTCAAACAGCTCGAGGATGTTATCATAAGACGAGACGTCGGTCTTGACGAACGCCACTCTCCCCGCCGCCGTCGGATCGGCCTTGATAAGGCTCTGGATGAAGCTCTCCGCAGCAGCAACCTGCACGTCGCCAAACACGACCTTGCACTCGCGCGCGAGAAAGAGCTTGACGGCCTGCGCGCCGATGCCGTTCGCGCCGCCGGTGAGGACGACGACCTTGCCTTCGAGGGCGCGGTAAGCCTGTGGTTCGACAACGAATCTGCTCATGGTGAAGTTGTATATGAAGATGAAAGAAGAGTCAGAGCTGAGGACACGAGAGTAATTTATCGGGGCATCTCAGCAGTGGCAGATATGGGGAAGCGCGATTATCGATATGTGGGGGCGGGGCCTGTTTACGGTCTTCCCACAAAAGCCGCCCTGTTCTGGCCGCCTATGTGGGGCGCCGCCCTTCACCCGCAGCCGCCACGAGGCCCGCGGTTGCTGACGTTCAACACCCCTGAGGGGCTCGTGTGCGTGCCTTTTATCGCCGCCTTGTTCTGCTCCTCTGTCGGGTATCCGTGAGCGTCCACACATGAGCTTGAGAATGGCAAAACAGATCATCGACGACAAGTGCCCGATATGCATCCCGTTTATCCTCAAGCGGCTGCAGGAGCACACCTCTAAAAGCACCGATCCCTTCTTCATCGGTCTGAATGGAGTCCAGGGCGTGGGGAAGACCACCCTCGTAAGTGCTCTTCTTTGTCTTATACCTCCTTCTCCTCTAACTTGTCATAGGTCACCATGCTAGAGCAAACACTAAAACAACCGCCCTACTCCCTCCCCATCGTCGTGCTCTCGATCGACGACCTCTACCTCACCCACGCAGACCAAGTCGCCCTCGCCAGCTCAGACCCCAAGAACCCCCTCATCCAGCACCGCGGCGTGCCCGGCACCCACGACATGTCTCTTGCCGCCAAAGTGTTTTCCGCACTCAAGTCCGGCACCGAGACAAAGATCCCGCTCTACGACAAGTCCCAGTTCAACGGCCAGGGCGACCGCGCGCCGGAATCGACCTGGGCGACTGTCAATAAACCCGGCGAGCCAAAGATCAAAGTCGTCCTCTTCGAAGGCTGGTGCGTTGGTTTTCGTGCGCTTGCAGATGAGGGCGTTCTCAAGAAGCGAGAGGAGTCTGTAGTTGCGCATGAAGCGGGTACTGGAGACCTGCGCTCGGCGCTGTGGAAGAACAGACCAGAAGATCTCCTGTTCATCAACTCAAAGCTGCGCGAGTACGACGTCATGACCGATCTATTTGACGCCTTCGTGCACGTCGACGCCGAAAAGACAGAGTACGTGTACAACTGGCGTCTTCAACAAGAGGCTGAGCTGCGCGAGCGGAGCGGCAGAGGAATGACGGACGAGCAGGTCGTCGAGTTTGTCGATGGGTATTATCCTGCCTACGAGCTTTATACCGATGGTCTCAGGAGTGGCGTGATCAAGGGTGTCGAGGGCGCTCAGTTGAGAATGACGGTTAAGGAGGATCGGAAGGTGATTAGTTCTACAGTTATATAGTACGATTGTATAGTATAACAATAAACATGTATTCATTCTCTACCTATTGTGTAATCATCTCTACAAATCCTGAGGAACCAGCTCGACAATGTATCCATCTGGATCCTGCAAGAACGCAATCTGCTTGAAAATCTTGTGATAATTCTCGTTAATCACGCCCTCTCCAACCCCCCTCTCGGCCTCCCACTCGCTCAACGGGATCGTGTCCCGGTTCGAGACACCAAGAGGCTTGAACACCGTCGCGCCCATCTTTGTCAGTCGCTCGACCGCAGCCGGCACGTCTGGAACCGTGAATCCCAAATGACTAAATCCAACCCCTCCACGCAGCGGATCATTCCCGGTGTTGATGTACCCCGGCTCCTGCTTCTCGCTTCCGTGCACATGATAGAGCTCGAGCAACCCGAGCGTGTGCTGCATCACCGGCAGCGTATCGAGCGCAAACTTGGTCAGATCCGCGCGATGCTCGTCCGTCTGCGGATAACCCAGGTAGTAGATCGTGAACGGACCGGTGTTCATCGTGAACAGGATCCGCATTCCCATCGCCTCGGTGTAGAACGGCAGCGAGATCTTGGGGTCCCGAATCCGCATCATAAAGTGGTTCAGCCGGTACTTTGTCTCGGGCGCATCTGCTGGCAGCGGCTTCTGCTCGATAAAACCGCCTCCAGCTGGCAAGAACTCTCCTTCGGGGAATGGTGTAACTGCAGACATCTTCTTCAATACTGAGTAGTTGTAAGAAGACCAAATCTCAAGTGACTGCTGTACTGACGATGAAGGGTCGTTATGGAGAGCTGAGGTCAGACGGTGGTTGCGTCAAGATAATATGTGGGGTTGGCTCTATCGGGCGTTTCCCCCTCTTAAGCCCTAACCCGATGTACCATCCCAATCGGGACGTGTAAACATAAACACGCAAATACCCCGCACCCTGCCCCACTTAATCCTTTTCTTTGTTTACTTTTTCTCCCCACAAAGTTCCGCCCCGGCTTTTGGCTGCCGCGTGGTTTTGATGATTTCTCTTGAATCTGACTTCTGTTGAAGCCACTCTATTGAAGGAAGTCACTCTCTCGCCCGCTTCCCCCACCACTGCTCAAACTTATCCTCCTTGTACTTCTCAATCCCTCCCTCATCGATAACCCTCCTCGCCTTCTTAACCTCATTACTGTACCCCTTCATATACCTCCCCTCCCTCAAATCATCCTGTAAATACCGCATAGCGTCCTGCAGCACCATATTACTCTCGAAAAACCCTACTCTTATGCCCTCCTCGCCACTCTCATCGCGCGTCTTGTCTACCGCCGGCAGCAGACTTACTAGCTTTCTCTGCGACTCAAGCGGCAGACTCATGAATGTTGTCTCGTTTATCAGGCACTAACTCGTTAGCAGCAGACCACAGAGTAGAAAACAACAAAATCACTCACAGATAAACTCGGCAGATCAACCAGCGGCGACCGTCTGCTGGTAAGCAAGAAATCAATCGACATCGTCCGCCGATTATCTCCAGCCGTAGAGACCACCGCAGCCGTACGCTTCCTCGAGGCTGTCTTTTTCTGCACAACAGGCGCTCTCTCGCTCTTGTCAGACTCTTCGCCGTCCATAATCTCAGCAGGAGTATCGTGAGGTGCTTCGACATCAGCGGCCGCTAATAACTCCAAGGCTAGCTCCGGTAAACTTTCTGCAGGACCCTCGTCTCCTCGTCTCGGTACCATCCCGCTGTCGCCATCGCCTTCGCCTAGCCGAGAAACCGTACCGGCTGGAAAGAGATCGTCGTACCCGTCTGCGGCAAGCTCCGTCTCGTCCTCATCCTGCAGCACTTGTAATGACATCTCTGCGCCAGGATTGTACCTATCTTCTGCACCTGGCACACCTGGACTCATATCCTCATCAGCAGACTGCTCGTCATCACCCTCGTTGCCTTCGTCGTTATCATCACAAACCTGACCATCACCCCCTTCCGGCATTGACGACGGAATCTCAGCAGCAGCAGCAGTGGCGAGAGGTGACTCTGGCACGTAGTTATTCGACGCAAGTCGCTCATGCACACCCACATCCCCTTCTCTCTCTCTCGCGCGCGGCGGAGTCTGATATACCTGCACCTCCTCATCTTCTGCCACAGGCTGCGTATCCTCTATGTCTCTGTACCGCTGGCTATCCCTTACCTCTCTGTACCGCTGACTATCTTCCTCAGACTCTGGGTCGAAGATGGCTTGCGTAGACGCTAAAGCCTGTGACTCCTGCCTCATAACTCGCCCAGACATGCTCCTTTGCTGACTTTCAACGATAGGCTGCGTAGGCAATAATGCTCTCTCTATCCGCTCATACTCGTCATTCGCATCATGCCCGATCTGTGTAGGGTAGCCAGACCCCCCAGCACTAGCGTCACTATCCGCAATAAGCTGCGTCTCAAGAACTTCCTCACCGCCAGCTGTAATGCGATTCTGTGACGCTTCAGACTGGCTCAGAGATGTTTTTTGTCGTTTGTTGTCATTGCGGAGTGTCTGTGAGTCGTCCATGACGCGCTTGTTAGTCGTGAATGGCGTCAATACATCGTCGTCCTCGTCGCTCGTAAGCAGTACTAGATGCTCTGGTACATTCATATTCAATCGAAGCTATCTTTTGCATCCGTTCAATATATATCAGGATCAGAGACAAGCGGACTTGTAGCAGAATGAATAATTCAGCCTTTATAACAGACAATCAACACTCATCAAATCTTTAGTGAATCGCCAGCCTAATGCTACTCCTTCATTCTCTGTAACAACAACCAGTTCTGTGCTCAAACTTGATGTTCTTCTCTCGAGCAGATCAAATCAAAACAGAAGTACTCTGTGCGCTGACCGCATTATCGTCTTACTAATCGCTTATTAATGGCATATCTACGTTTACTGGTATCGCCTGCAACGCAAAACGAAGAGTACTCCTCCCTCAAAACCAAACAGACTACCAAAATCCCTGTTTTCCATATCAAACGCCAGCTACAGAGCTGATAATCCAGCGTCCCAAACGGGGTGGATGAAGGAAGTATGTGGGGAAGAGTCGAAAGTGTGGTTTAGGGTCGGAAGCTGGGTGACGCAGGGATTCCGGCGGGGTTTCCCCACAAAGTTGAAAACATCCAGCGGCTCTGCGCAGGAGTCGAACCACTTCAACCCCATCTCCACTCTGTTCTCTCCTCTTCTTTTGAACAGACTAGAGAAGAAGAGTTGCCTGCTTTTAATCATACACCAGATCACTATGCCTGTCGCAATTGTCACCGGAGCTGCATCGGGAATCGGCCTCGCCCTCACCAAGCACTTCCTCGAGGCCGGATGGAAGGTCACGATGGCGGACATGAACGTCGAAGCCGGCACCAAGCTCGCCGCCGAACTCGGCCCGTCCGCGTTCTTTAAAAAGGCTGACGTCTCGTCCTGGGACGACCAGGCCGCTCTCTTCCGCGAGACGTTTGAGAAGTTTGGGTCGATCGACTACGTTGCCGCCAACGCCGGAATCGACGACCGTCAGCTTCTCTACGAGGACGTTTATGAGACCGTCGACGGCGTTCAGGTCCCCGTCAAGCCCAACTTGAAGACGATCGAGGTTGACTTGAACGGCCCGATCTACAGCTTGTGGCTCGCTGTCTTCTACTTTAGACGAAACCCGGCTGGAAAGAAGGGCAAGGTCGTCATTACTGCCTCCAACGCTGGCTTATATCCTTTCCCCACCAACCCCCAGTATGCCTCATGCAAGCACGCCGTATGTACACTTCTTTCATTTCTTTACCCAGCTGTATATTGACACAGACAGATCGTCGGCCTTGTTCGCTCCGTCGCTCCCATCTTCATCAAGGAAAACATCACAGTAAACTGCATCTGCCCCGCGTTCGTCGAGACCAACCTCGCGCCCAAGGACCTCCTCCGCCGCATGCCTCGCGAGCACGTCACCCCAATGTCGACCGTCCTCCGTGCGTTCCAGAGCTTTGCTGACGACGACGCGCTCACGGGCCAGGCTGCAGAGTGCTCGCTTGGCGACATCTTCTACAGACCTGTCTTGCCTTACCCGAATGAGAGTGAGAGATGGATGTTTGAGGAGAGCCACAAGATCTGGGAGGCGGGATATAACCAGAGCTAGGCTGTTGATCTATGTTGATGTTACTATCATGCTGCATTATGACAATATAAAATATAACAGTAGATTAAGATGATAATTTCCCGTTTAGTTTCATATTCGTAATATAGCATACGTCTCAGGAACCGACGATGACGGATCTATGCGCAAACCCTACACAAATCCCAGGAGCTGTTCCGCTGATAAGATTCCCCGCATTCAATATAATTACTATCCTATTCCGCTGCTCTAATGCGGAATCTCGAGCCTATTCTATCTTAACAATTCTTAAAATAATATCTAAGTAAATATTCAACGGAAATGTAGAGAAATTCTCTTTATATTGCTGTTCGCTCCGGGGCGCTTGGCTGGCGGAGTAAGGATCCAGAGCGGAACTGATCAGGATCGGGCGGCGCGTACCCCACATTTCAACTCCACCAACTGGCATATTCACATCTTGCATCTTGAACAAATACATATACCTCCCACTCTCTTCTATAAATCTCTCAACTCAACTCAACTCAACTCAACCTCAAAATAAACAGAGTAATCGCAATGCCCGTGGCTATCGTAACCGGCGCCTCCTCAGGAATAGGCCTCGCTCTCAGCATCCACCTCATCGAAAAATCATGGACCGTCGTCCTCGCTGATCTCGCCCCGCCACCCGTCTCCGCCCTCACACTCTCACCAGGAAAATCAGAATTCTTCAAAACAGACGTCACGTCCTGGGACAACGTCGCCGCGCTATTCAAGCACACCTTCAACACCTACTCGCGTCTCGATTTCGTCGCTGCAAACGCCGGGATCGACGATCGCGACGACGTCGTCGCTGAATCGGCCGCCGAAGAGCCTGAACCGCTTAATTTCAAAACTATCGATGTCGATCTATACGGGTCTCTTAATACGTACTGGTGCTCGCTGCATTATATGAGACGAAATCCGGATGGAAGACATGGCAAGATTGTCTTTACTGCTTCCTCGGCTGGCTTATACGCCTTTCCTTCCAACCCAGAGTACTGCGCTGCCAAACACGGTGTAAGACTCCTGCTATATCAAAGCTCTTTCGATCATTATTTACTAACTTCTCTCTAGCTCATGGGGTTCACGAGATCAGTGGCTCAACCCCTAGAAAAAGACAAGATCACTGTGAACGCAATCTGCCCCGCGCTCGTCAAAACCGGTCTCGCCCCCGCTGAACTTCTCCGCCAGATCCCTCAAGAACAGATGACTCCGATGTCGACAATCATGCGGGCTTATGACATCTTCCTTGACGACGAAGACTACAAGGTCACCGGCCAGACCGTGGAGTGCTCTTTGGGTGATCTGTTTTACAGACAGCAGCCTGATTTTGCCAGCACCAGCCAGAAAGTTATGTTTGGCAACGAAGTTAACGTTTGGATGGACAGCTACGAACGAACTTGATGTGATACTGTAATTTGTATTATTACTGTGAAAATCCTACACTAGCAGCTGAATCAAACCCTTGGAAAGATTGTGCCAGGCTCTCCAGAATGTCCGTAAACACCATCCGGTTAAAGTCATCCTCCCTATCGATCCCCGTCAGCATCGGCCCTGATCCTGCGTCTACCTCTCGCATCATAGAACTGTAGTCGTCTATAGTACTCGTACTTGGATCAGTATAATACGAACCAAGAGCAGCCTGCTGTAGTTCTCTAAACGCCGGGATATCAGACACACTAGGAATCTGGGCCAACAAGTCCGGCGGGGTCAGCCCGCTATCCCAGTGGTCAAGCGATAGCAATGACGGATCCGAGAAATCCAGCGCCGACGACTCTTGCTCTTCCATTGATTCCTGCTGCATAGGCGCCGACATTGACGCGCTCAGTAACTCTGCCATCGGCTGCTGCTGCTGCTGCTGCTGCTGTCCGCTCAGATACCTCCGAACCTGTCTCCACAGCTCTTTCAAGGCACTCACATATCTCTTTGCCATATCACTCTGTGTACTCAACCGCATCTCGACATCGCACAGCTTTCGAGCACGATCGAGGATGTCCTTGCGCCGTTCGGTCTTTGGATTATGGGCAAGATACACAAACATGACTGTGATTGAGCAAAACACGACGTAGGAGGTATACCAATTCGACCCCGAGAGCGAGCTAAAGTCGCCCATGTCTGCAACCTCCAGGGCCGCGTCCAAGCACTTTTCCTGCTGTGCCCGTTTGCGCGATGATGCTTTTAGTTGATATGGCCGCTGCTGATTCTGTCTCGCCGCCATATTCACGGGTTCAAAGAGATTGAGCGATGGCCGATAGATTAGTATGAGCGCATGGGCATGAACGACATGTATGACATCAATCTGCCGAGCATACGGCAGCTTTAATCCATTACTTGACGACAGCGCGTTCAGTCTCAAGAAACTAGGGAGCTCTTCTTCCCAATTCACCACCTCAGCCGCCAAGTTGTCAATAAGCTGCTCTTGCTCTTCACTCGAGCGGTCGACGTTGGGGTTGAAGTATAATTTTCTCAACGCAGTCCGAATTATCTTTGATATTTTTGCGTGCGCGATAGGCGAGTGTAATAAACTAGGCCCCGACTTTATATCGCCGTAATCCATTGTGCTCAGCATATCTGCCGCCGCATTCCCGTCAGAGTCCGAGACCCGTTTGAGCAGTGAATAACGCGCCACAGCCGGGAGGTCGACCGTGATGTCTTCCTCTGCCCAGGTCAGCGACTTGCCCAGCATGGTGCACATGTATGTCTCTAGAGTATACGCAGCCCAGAAGCATCGCTTGCGTAGCTCAAGCCCTAGCAGGTCCCATCTCCGTGGTCGATCGGTTCCATAGGCCGGATCGCGACGGTTGAGATCAAGATTGGATGCTATATTCTTAACCCTCACAAGCATGTTCCACGCAGCCTTTACACGTGAAGTGGTCAGCAAGTAGAGACACATGTTAAACTGAGCCTGTAGCTTGATGAGCATGTCTGGTGGGCCGGGGTCGAGCCGCAGCTCGCTTTGGGCAATGAGGAAAAACTGTCTTGAGCGGTAGCTCATCAGGGCGCGTTGATCGGGCGCGTTGAGCCGACTGCCGACGGGGAAAAGACAACCCATTGCAAAGATTGAAAACATGACGGCCGAGATTGTGTGATCGTTGAGCAGGCGGTTGCGTACGTTTTCCTCTGTCGCGGTTCGTTTCGGGATCGTGCTGTGGCTGGTCTCGTCGAGGTCGAAGGGGGAAGGGTCGGCGTAGAAGCCGCATTCGATCCATTCGTAAACTAGCGGACGGTGGAGGATTCGGTAGCTCGGACTCGCGTTGTCAAAGTACCACATCGTGAGATGGTATGCTAGCTTTTTTGATGGAAGCGCCAAGAATTTGCTGTCTATTTCCCCCAGATGAGAATCGTTGAACCAGAACGTGCTGCTGTTTGCACCCGCGCTGCCGGAATTATTTTTCCCAGGATGGTCGACCGGAATATTTGACTGCATTGTGCCATGGAAGAGTAATTTCCGTATCTCCGCTTTTTCACGAGCAACTTCTAGCGGGTCAACGGGACCTCCTTCGATCGGCGCGGACAGCAGTCTAGAGGACTCGCTTAGATACTCATCCCCTGCGCTCGACTTTGGTGTTTCAGACGCAGCACTGGAGTCTTGCAAGGACTTGTCAATCCTGCTGATGTCGTCGTTGCTTCTGGCTTTGTGATCGACTGTGGTTGTATGATGCCGAGTCGGTGACGAGATGGGGTCAGTCTGGACGGCGGAGGATTTCATTGGCATGACATAGGTGCCGCGAGTATACTTCAGGTCGTAGGTACATTCTGGGCGGACGTGTTAGCGGATCAGAGTGGATCAGAAGGCGGAACGGAGATTGAGAGCAACATACTCGAGTTGAACTTTGTGCATCGCGCGCAAGGAAGGGTTCCGTCGCAGCGGCTCTTTCGACTGGAGATGATTATTGTCAGAGAGGTAGAGAAGGTGATTGTAGAGAGAAGAGTTACACTCACGTTTTACAGATGTCGCACGCCCTTGTGGAGTTTTTCCTCTGCCTCTTGCGCGCACTGGCGGCGGAGGAGGAGTCGGGGGAGGCCGACGCGGGACTGGACTGCCGCTTGCTGGACTGCGACATCACGAGACGGAAGGAGTAGAGGGGGAGGAGGCTGATACATGACACTGCTGCTCAGCGCACCACTGACGAAGAGCAACGAATTGCTCATCGCCTGTATGACGCCAGCACCGCGTGAGCTCAGAGCGCAGGTCAGAGCGCGGAAATACCCCGCTTTTCCGCTACAGTGCGCAAGAGTGGGGTCTTAGTCAGCTGCGCGGAAGCTATGACATAACGAGTGTTTACTGCGGCGCATGCTACCCCGCATAGTGCAAGTGGGCGGCCCAAAGAGGAATGAAGTAAGCAGAGGGATGGCCTGACAGCAGCGGTGTTGCAGCGGTGCTGCAGCGAAAGATAGAAATTGATTTAAGGCATCCGAGCAGACGAATTATGCACTCGAACCCGCAGGAACAACACTGAGCAGCAGCAGAATAAGGAGCAGCGTCGGTAGGGCTCGGAAGCGGATCCATTGTCAGTCGTCGGATAGGGTTTCTGTGTACAAATCACCTGACGTGGGGTTTGCGCTCAGATAGGCAGCGGGCCAAGTAACCCCACATTTCCAGCGCCCAAGACCGCAAACACTAAACAAGCAGCCCGCCTTTTTGTGGGGCACCGCCTGGCCGCAACCTGTCCCCGTTCTCACTATTAATAATGCGCTGATTCTCTTCCTCCCGGTCTCCATCTTCCCCATCTTCATCAACAATGTCTCCCGTCTCAATCTACCCGAGCTCCATCGACGAGCAGCGCAAGCTCAAGTGCATCACAGTCGGCGCCGGCATCTCCGGCATCCTCGCCGGCATCAGACTCCCCCAGTACATCCCCAACATCGACCTCACTATCTACGATAAGAACTCAGACGTTACCGGAACCTGGTACGAGAACAGATATCCTGGTGTTGCCTGTGGTAAGTGCTCTCCTTCTTCACTCACTCATCACACCTGCACTCGCTCACATCATTCCTAGACATCCCCGCACACTCCTACCAGCTCTCCTTCGAGCCCAACCCGAACTGGTCCCACTTCTACGCCTCCGGCAAAGAGCTCCACGACTACTGGCAGGGCGTCGCCAACAAGTACGGCGTCACCAAGTACACCAAGCTCTCCCACAAGGTCACCGGCGCCGAGTGGAACGAGGACGCAAACAAGTGGTTCGTCACCGTCGAGAACCTCCTCACCAAGGAGTCCTTCATCGACGACTGCGACATCCTCTACGTCTGCGTCGGCACCCTCAACGACTGGAGATGGCCCGACGTCAAGGGACTCCACGACTTCAAGGGCGAGCTTCTCCACAGTGCCGCCTGGGACGAGAGCTGGGATGCAAAGGGCAAGAACGTCGCTGTCATCGGCGCCGGCTCCAGTGCCATCCAGATCGTGCCTACTCTGCAGAAGGTCGTCAACAGACTCGACAACTACGTCCGCGGAAAGACCTGGATCTCTCCTCCCTTCGCCGCCGCCGAGGTCGAGAAGCACACATCATCTGAGGCCAACTTCGAGTTCAGCGAAGACGAGCTCAAGCGATTCAGAGAGGACCCCGAGTTCTTCCTCAAGTACCGCAAGGCCATCGAGGATGAGATCCAGGGCGCTCATCACACCACCTTCATCGGCCCCGACTCTGACGCCGCCGCCGCTCTTTTCCTCAAAAACATGGAAGTCAAGCTCGCCAACCGCCCTGATATCTTCAAGGCCCTCATTCCTTCCTTCCCCCCTGGATGCCGTCGTCTGACTCCCGGACCCGGCTACCTCAACAGCTTGGTCCAGCCCAACGTTAACTTCATCACCACCGGAATCGACCACATCACCGAGACCGGCCTCGTCACCGTCGACGGTGTCCACCGTGAGGTTGACGCCCTGATCTGCGCCACCGGCTTCGACACCACCTACACCGGTCGTTTCCCCATCAAGGGCCGCAACGGCAAGCTCCTCAACGACCACTGGACTCCCTACCCGAGTAGCTATCTCTCGATCACCACCGACGGTTTCCCCAACCTCTTCACCTCCTTCGGACCCAACTCCGCTCTTGGCTCGGGCAGTCTCAGCATGATGCTTGAGAAGGTCTGCGAGTACGTCACCAAGACCGTCTCCAAGATGGCCTACGAGAACATCCTCACTGTCGAGCCCAAGAAGGAGGCCGTCGACAACTTTGTCGAGTACTGCCGCCAGTACTTCAAGAAGACCGTCTTCTCCAAGCCGTGCCGGTCATGGTACAAGGGTGGAAAGATGGAGGGTGACATCATTTCGCTCTGGCCTGGCTCGTCTCTCCATGCTATCTGGGCCTTCTCGCACCCAAGATGGGAGGACTTCAACTACACCTACGTCGAGGGAAACCCGATGGCCTGGTTCGGTGACGGCTGGACCGAGACCGAGCGACGAGTCGACGGCGACAGATCATACTACCTCAACCCTGATCAGTTGGATACCCCCCCTGTTGCCGCCTCAACCTCCAAGAGAGCTTAGATGTTTAGAACATTTAGATAACAAAGATTTTGTCAGAAGAAGGGTGTTTTGTTTTTGTTTGTATTTTTCATAAAGTTAATGATCATTGTTTTGAGGTTCCAAGAATCTGGGTTTTGCTTTTGTTCTTTAAAGTGTTGGTAATTCAATCACAGAATAAGAAAACAAGTTAAAAAATATCCCTTATCGATTATGCAGCTATCTAAGAAAATTATCTAAAACAATTCCAGTCTATGACAAAAACCTAAACCCAGTCGAGCCGTCCAGACCGTCAACAATGCCACCGGCGGCCAACTTCTTGTTAAGCGCGTTCAGTCTGATCTTCAGCACGGTAGCAGACACAAGACCCAGCAACGCAGTCGCGATACAGACTGCGAATCCGGCGTAGTAGTGAGGCGACGCCTTGCTGTAGTAAATATACGGAACAAAGATGTTTGGAATGTTGCCACCGATGTTGACGCACGCGACTGCCGCTGCTCGTTTGATGGGAGGACGCGGGATGATCGACGCAAGCCAGGCGTAACCCAAAGACCAGGAGTTGTAGACCTGTAGCAAGAGCATCATTGCGACGTAACGGGGCGCGGTTTTGGTGGTTGCGATACCAATCACAAAGCCCACGAGGGACAAGGTGGGTCCCCACAGGAAATGGAAGTATCGCTCCTGCTTGTAATCTGAATGGTAGGAGTTCAGCACCGAGGTGATCGCCACCAAGATCCAAGGAGGTGCCGTGAGAAGGTATGTCTCTTCGGTGCCGTATCCAAGCGACTTTACGATCGAAGGGAAGACAGTATTGACACCAGCAGTAACAGCCAGGAAGAACATCATAAAGAACGCGATACAGACTTTGAAGTCTTTCGATGCAAGAATAAATCCTTCCATTGCAGTTTTGAACTTCCCATGCAGATCTTCGACGACTGGCTCGCCGTTCGCATCGAGCTTTGGCGCGTGGTCATCATCTGCTTGTCCGACGTCTTCAATCATGCGGATCACTCCAAGAAGACGTTCCTCCTTTGACAGCCATTTGGTAGTGGCCGGCAGCTCAGGTAGAATGAAGATAGACACAAGAGCGACTGCAACGGTGATGACACCTTCGATAAGAAAAAGCCAGCGCCATGCTTCGAGGCCGCGAGCACCGTCCATATTCTTCATGATGCCATACGCGATCAGTCCAGAAAACGCGCCCGAGACCCATGAACCGGTGACAAAGATGGCGGACCGCTTAGCAATCTCGTATTTGGTATACCAGCAGGACAGGTAAAACATTACTCCGGGGTAAAACACTGCTTCCGCGAAACCAATCAAGAATCTGACCGCGAAAAGACCACCGAATCCTTGAACTGCGGCAGTGCACGCGGACAAGACGCCCCAAATCGCCATGGCAAGGGGGAGATAGAGCGAAGGCCGTCCGAGCTTCTCGAGCAGGAGGTTAGAGGGAATCTGCATCAAGATGTAGCCGACAAACAGGATAGAGACACATGTAGAGTAGTTTGTATCAGTCAGATTGAGGTCCTCGCGAAGAGTTCCTAGCTTTGCAGCGGCGATGTTGTTACGGTCGAGATAGCTGGGATGACTGTTAGCGAGGACTGCGTAGATACAAAGAATAACTGCATAGATACAAAGGATAGGGGACATACTTTAGAATGTACATAGCAATGACGACCGGCATGATAGTCATATCGATCTTGAACTTCAACTTCTTCTCCATTTCCTCTCGCTCGGGAGTGCCCTTTGCTGGTACAGTGACTCCATCGAATTCACCGGATAAGTCTCCGAGAAGCTGGATGGGGTCATATTCAACGTTCAGGTTGGAGGGCTTTTCCTCGTTGAAGGATACAGAAGGTCGCAGAGTGCCGCCCATGATTATTGTTAACCAGTCGTTTGTTGTGTGGGATATATTGTTGACAGCAAGAGGGGCCAGACAGTCCTTTATAGCTCCAGCCGGGGAGCGTGTTTGGGGCGGATAGCGACCCCGACAGAGTTATCTTGACAGATTAGCCGGAACAGAATGTAGGTCATCTGAGAGAACAAGACGATCCTGTTACGTCTCCCCCTGTTTTTACCCCAGTCCCCCCACGAATTGATTGATCACCTAGTGGGGTGTAGACGTAGATCGGAAAGTCCGAAGCCCATCGGACGAGAACAAAGGCATGACGTCAACCAATATCCACTCAACAGAACAACAGAACATCATTCCCTACTTCCTCACAGAGACATCTTTTTTCTTGATTCGGGACAATGTGCTGATTGTGCTCAGGACAATGCAGCGGCATTTGGATTAGTGTGGGGTTGAGGTGAAGTGGGCAGAACCCATATAGCCGTGAACTTTACTTATCCTGCTGAACAGGCGTTCGCGTCTCGGATATCCAGAGGTTGCTCCCAGAACTGCTGTCTGCTGACTTCAGAGTTTTCCGGGAACGATTTTCTGGAGGTGTTTTGACTTGACGCTCAGCAGAGTTTCCGAATATGGCAGGCTGGCCGACGGAAAACTGTCTTGTCTGATGTTGCGGAAATTATGTCAACGAGGTTGAGTGATTTTCGGCCCATCGCGCTTAAATCAGATTGAGCTCGTTAATAGGAATTAGAGTAGAGAAGGCGTGGGGGGCGAGCAGTGTTGTTGTCGCACTCTGGTAGTAGTTTGTGGACGTCGTGTGCGAACTTCGTGAGGTTGCTAAATCATCGTCATTTCCCTGAATTCCAAAACAGCAACAAACTAGTCTCACCTATTAACAGCAGAGAACAACAATCACATGCTCCAAGACTCATTGCATGCTCGCTGCACATGTCCCCTGGTATAGTCCAAGATCACTCACTCCGCTGTTCCTGCTGTTCTCATCACACCCGTCTGTCATAGACCCAATCGGAGTCTGTCTGGTGATGTCATGATGTTCGTCGGGGGCGGGCCGACACGATGCGCTCATCGCTTACTACACGCCCTCGATACCCTACCAAACCACGGCCGAGGAGCTCAACGGTCGATGAGAAATTAATTACGTGTGATTGCGGAAGAGCCAACTGAGCCTCACCGTTGAAGATCACGGAGAGCTAATTCGGATGATTGTCTCTGATCTTACAATGATCCCGATGACCACTACAAAGAACAGCTTATCTCTGATTAGAAACTGCAAAACTTATCTGCAATAACATCTTCTCGTCTCGCATGCATCCACACATGCATCCTGGGTGCAGTAGCTGCTGCTGCACAAAGGCCCTACCTCGGCCGCCTGCACATCTGTTGCTGCACCAGTTGCAGAACTCTTTCCGCCACTTTGCCACTCGTCGTCGAGCTGAGAAGGCGCACATCTGCGCTGTTCCCTACAAAGCAGTTGTAATCGCTATTCAGTCGTCTCTCCTCCCGGACCTTACATCCTCTTTATTTCGCGGCTTGGCCTCTGTGGACAGTCAGGCAATAAATAGACGCCTCCAGATTTGGTTTTGCCGCTTGCGAGCCGTGCCTGAACAGTTTGGACAGAATCTGGATGTATAAACGTAGAACACGTGCGCGTTTACTGTATAATCGCACAATGTTTGTGCATTTGACCACGTCATAAAAGTAGGGTTTGTGCACATTCGCCTATCAGATGTTTTCGGGTCCGGAGTTCTCTTCTTGGCAGCTGCTCTCAGTCTGATATTGTGAGACCGTCTTACTCGCAAGAATGGACAGATGTTTATATCAGTATCTGCACTAGTCACATTTATCTCAAAAGACTGAAACTGCACTACCATCCTGCAGCAAGAAGACGAGCGCCCTGCAGATTCGGAAGACGGACTGACGCGGCCTTGCCAGGGCCAGTATGATCAGCGAAGGGGTTCTCGAGCAGCTGCAGCACTGTATAAACCTTCGAGACCTCTTAGAGACACCCGAGTATAGGTTTAATAGTTGTGATGAAGCGGTACTGAGAGTCGGACCGGGACCATAGTGCCAGTTGGTTTCTCTCGGAAATCCTCCACCCCCGTTGAACACAGCGGCGGTAGTCAGGAACCACCTGCAGCGGCAGCGTGAACGCAGTCTTTCTAGATTTCTGGTAAATGCTGCAGCAACACTTGCACCCTAATTTACTAATTTGGAGCCGCTCCAACGCAGCCAGCCCGTTGCGGCTTGGCCCTGCTCTGCGCCTTCTCAGCGCGTCCCCCTCGTCGTATTCTAGACTGCTCAGCAATAACAATGAGCTGATGATTTAGTAGTATTAAACAGATATATATTAACTCATATAATCCAATCTCACTCCTCTAAACCGACGCGGCTAATCTGTGCAGCTTCTCGGCCGTGCGATCCGCGAAGGGTTAGCTTTAGAGCTCAGAAACCTTGCGCGTTCTCCGTCCGCGCGTCGATTGAAATCCGAAAAGCTGGTAAAACGACTCCAAATGCAGTCATCTCCACTCCTTCCCCAACTTCGTTTTCTCGCGTCACCTCTCTCTCTCTTCTTCTCTCTTATATATCCTCTCCCTCTCCCTCTCCCCTCCCCTTCTCCCGCAACCCAGACCGGCAAACCAACACTATGATCGTGACCAAGGGCCGTCAACCTCTGGTCATAGCCGCCTTGGCGGGCGTGGTCGTCTTCCTGCTCCTCCTCTCAAAGACCGCGGTACCTACCGCCAGCAGCAGTAGCGTGGCTCAGGGAAAGGTTGTTACCCATGACGGCCACGTCTCCACCGACGCCATCAGCGATATCCAAAACAGAACTCTTGGATTCGGCGCGATCCTCTTGCTATCGCTTCCCACCAGAAGCGACAGACAGGACGCCATGTCTCTGCTCGCCTCCGAGACAAACTTCACCATCACAGACACAATCCCGGGCGTTTTCTCAAAAGACGTCGACGAGAAGGCCTATCCTCCCGGACCCGGCCGCGAGAAGATGGCCACCGAGAGATACTTCCCATACCTTGGCAGCTGGAGAAGTCATATGAACCTCTTCCGTTACATTGTCGATAACAACATCGAGTCCGCTCTTGTCCTCGAGGATGATGTCGACTGGTAAGAACCTTTTCAGACGCGTTTGTGTTTTTATTGTTGCTAACATTATCACATTAGGGACTTCCACCTCAGAACACAGCTCTCCGCATTCGCTGTCGGTCTCCGCCAGTCCCCTCTTAGACGCCCATACACCGCTGATGAGATTGCCAACTACCCCTACGGTGCCGACTGGGATATGCTTCACTTCGCCGCGTCCAAGATCCACACCGCTCCCGCCCCGCGTGACAAAGCGCGCACTGTCTACAACGATCCCTTCCGGGCCCCCACCAGCGTCGTCAAAGACGCGTGCACAGATCGGGGTTGGTTCTGCTTCATAGAGTTGATGAAGGACGCCGGCGTCGACGAAGGTAGACGCGCTATCGTTCCTACTTTCGACACCGTCGGTCTTAGTGCCTTTGCTGTGTCGCTCAGAGGTGCCAAGCGTCTCCTTTACTACCTTTCGTACAAGGAGCTCGTCGATACCCTCGATCTTTCGATTTCAGACGCTTTCCAGAAGGGCCATCTTCGTGGATGGACCGTTATCCCTCCTATTATGGCTGAGTGGAAGACCAACGGAATCGGCGACAGTGATCTCAAGATTTTCGACGACAAATTCCCCAAGGGCCAGGGCAACTCCGTCGGATCTAGCGCTGCTATGCACTGGAGTATGCGTGCGGGCATCAAGAGCACCATCGAGGGCGGCAGCTACTGGGAGGAAGAGGAGACAAGCTGGAAGATGGCCTCCCAAGGTATCAGCGGAGTCGCTGGTGCCTCCAGCCCTGCCAGCCTTGCCGCTCCGGCAGTCGCCGCCCCTGCGGCGGCCAAGCCAGTTGCCGCCGTCCCTGCTGCCAACCCCGGCATTCCGGTTGCTGCGGTGCCTGCTGCTCCTGTTGTGGCCAATGCTGCCGCTCCTGGAGATGGCTTCTAAATATAAAGATCAATCTGAGAGCTGTAGTTTTTGGAGTGTCCTGGATGTATCAGCTTTCTGCATGACATTATGACTGGTAGAGTTTTGTCACGTTGTCTATGTTACTAGTTATGCATAACTTAATACAATAATTGAAATAAATTTGATAAAAGTGGTTCATTTCAACGCTGTAAAAACAACGTGCTTGTAAATAAATAAGTTGTTGCATGCTTGTAGTGAGAAGTGCACCCTACACAATCAAGCATTAGAACCTACGACTGGGTGTCTGTCAGAGCAAAGTGAGGGAGACTTGTGGTGTGATTTCTTTAGCAGCGTTCGGTATAGATCAGAATTCCAAGGCAATCGTAGATCTTCATGTATATCATTAATATCCAGCAAAGTAGAAGGCGTACAACAGGGTCAAATCATTGGACGAACAGCTAGTAAGGACGATTAAAGAACTAAGATGGGGGTGATGGTATTCGTATAGGTTGATTCATACAGCTCGAGAGGCTTTAGCGCTACTCACCATACTTGATCCAAGAAATATCGATAACACTCTCTTCCGGAGGCAGAGTTGATATAGATAGTTCCAAAGTCCAATGGAGTAGCAATATACTGAAAGCCAGCGGGACATCATGAGTGGAGCGTTGCAGCGAGTATTCGTAAACTAAGGAGGAGAAAGCAAAGATTCAGTGATGGATGATATGAGATGAGATGACGATATACCTTCAGCCAGGAGTGACTAGAAATGGCAAGGATGTAATTTTGATGCTATCATGAGGTAGATGGCCTAACGAAGAAGCTGCAAATAGACGAATATCATACGTCTGCCTTTCTTACTGTACAGTTCGTCATCGAGTAGCATACTGAATCTGCCAAAACTAGTGACTGGACGACCACGACGATATGCCGAGATCTTGAATGGTTGACGGATGATCATCGGAATAGTATACCGCCGAGTTGATACTTGTTTGCGTGGATGATTGTATCAGAGAATTTCGGCGTTTAACAAGATTGTTCCTCACGTTTGGAGATACCCCGCCTCATGCGATGAATCCTGTTTGTGACAACGATCCCCACGTCGAAAATGCCTCTAGATTCAGGTTGCGGGGTACTTGACTGGATGATATGAGGCCATACGGCTGACAACTGAGAGCATTATATCACATGGATCATAATTGTGACACTCTTCGTTTTGTATGTATTGCACGCATCAGATAGGCATTGAGTAAAGACTGTAGATGAGTTGGAGGTCAGCGCAGAAATATCACATAAGGACTCAAAGAGGGAGATACTATACAGAGTATAGTTTGGTAGTAGCCGAGTCTGAAAGTGAGATATTGTCTTTGAATTCATTTTCCGAAGCAAAAAAGAATAATAAATGCGTGGTGCGGGTTGACATCAGTTCTGAGAGACGGCATCCTTGTCTTCGATTCGGAGGATAAACTAGCGAGAGTCTAAAGGTCTGAGCGCGATTATAACTCGGAACGGTAGTCATCGCGCGATCGTCGAGGGCTGGCGGTCGATCATGAGAATGCGTCGTCGAATTACTGTTCTTTTCATAGTTATCCAGATTAGCTAGCTCTGTCATTTAACCCCGCAAAATTCTGTCAAATGAACACTGTCGGAAGGCTATTTGGCAGACGGCTCGGCTGAGGTATCGGTAGTGCTGTACTGTGCGAGAAACCGCGTTGCATTGCATATCGTGGGAAGTCGATGCAATCATATAGACATAGACAAATAAGGAAATACAAGTGATATAATAGAGCAAGTGTAAAGGTCAATTGGCATAGTACACTCAAAGATTGATGTAATTTCGGCACTTAGCAGAGGAGGATGAGCCCTGCCGCGGTAATGATGTCCGCTGTGGTGTCCGGATCCCGTGACTTAAATAACAGAAAACTAACGATTATCTCTCAACCACAGCGCTTCTCCGGAAAAAACACCGATTGATTAGCAGCAAACTTGCCATAGCAAGCCATCAACGCAAGCTGGCAATACTAAGACAGCAAAACTGGACATCAGGTACTCAGAACTACGGCAGAAATGCTTCCAAGTTCCCGTCGATATAGCTTCTGGACGAACTTTGCAGTCTGGGGCGCTTAATATACATGGGGCTCGTTAGCTTGGTTTGACCCCACAATGAGCCCGAGTAGGCGAGGCCGGACAATGCGGGGTATCGCATGAAACGAAATGTGCTCGGTGAGTGTCTGTGGTTCTGGGCTCTGTTTCTACGGAGATCTGTGGTCAAACTGCAATCCTTCATACTTTCCAAACACGATCAACAGCTAACTGTGCACCGCATACAGGAACAAGGTCCGCCGGATGCTCATATCTTTTATATTATTTTATTCCTCAATTCTACCCCGCAAAACCATGGCTCGATTTCCTCGCTCGCTTTCACAATACCACCATTGCATCGCTTCCATCTTGCACTCTACACCGCGATTTATATAAGACGTCATGACGTCTCGGCCTGTCATTCTGTCCTTCTGCCCCCTTCACCTCACTCCTCATCCTCATCCTCCTCCTCAGATCAAGATCAATCATGAGTAATGCACCCAAGTACATCGGCCTCCGAGGCATCTGGCTCAACCGAGCAGTTGCCTTCATCGCCGGCACTGGCTTCTGGCTCTTCGGATACGATCAAGGAGTAATGGGCGGCCTTCTCACCCTCCCTACCTTTGTCAAAACCTTTCCCGGCATGGACTCTACCTCTGACTATCTCTCGGACGCTCAAAAATCTCACAACTCGACTATCCAAGGTGTCGTCATCTCAATCTACGAAATCGGATGCATGTTCGGAGCCATCTTTTGCATGTTCTTCGGCGACAAGTTCGGTCGAAGAAAGATGATCTTTGCCGGTAGCGGGATCATGATCGTCGGTGCCGTCTTGCAAGCCTCTGCCTTCTCGCTTGCTCAGATGTCAGTCGCTCGAGTTGTCACTGGTTTTGGCAACGGTTTTATAACCGCGACAGTACCAATGTGGCAGTCCGAATGTGCCAAACCGGAAACCAGAGGACAGCTCGTCATGGCCTCTGGCGCCCTTGTCACCTGTGGTATCGCATTCTCTAATTGGTACGTCTTCTCGATTTACTTATATCTGTCCGGTGGCATGGCTAACGATGGAACAGGATTGATCTTGGATTCTACTTTGTCGACTCGAGTGCAAGCTGGAGATTCCCTATCGCTCTTCAGATCGTGTTTGCCATCTTCCTCATGTCAATTGTTTTGTACCTCCCCGAGTCCCCCCGCTGGCTTATCAAGATGGATAGATTCGACGAGGCCACAAATGTATTTGCAGCGCTCGCCGATGTCGACATCGATAACCCGTATATCGCGGAGGAAATTAACGAGATCAAGGAAACGTTGACTTTGGAGCAGGGTATGGAGTTTAGGAAGATATTCCAGAAATCCCCGAAGAAGCACTTCCATCGGACGGCGTTGGCTATTGGGATTTTGACTCTTCAGCAATTGGGAGGAATCAACATCGTCTCTTACTATGCTGCTTTTATTTACGAAAAATCTGTGCATCTGTCGGCACTCAATTCGAAAATCATTGCTGCCGTTTCCCAGACTCAGTACTGTATGGCAGCTTGGGTGCCATTTTTCATCATTGAGAAGGTAGGACGTCGCCAACTGATGATCTGGGGTGCAGTAGGTCTCGCTATCACGCTCGGCATCATTACCGGAACAGTTCACGAGGCTGATAAGGGCAATTCAAAAGCGGGAGTTGCCTCCGTGGTGTTCATTTTCTTGTACGACACTTGCTTTGCGATCGGCTGGTCGAACCCTCCTT